TAAATATCTTGATAATTGTAAATATTTTTTCAAAACTGACAGATATTGTGATTTTATGAGAACTTTATTTATAAGGATGGATTCGTCTTGCGAAAGTCATGTCGTGATATTTCAAAAATAATCCATTATTTATTCATTACCAGTTACAAGAAAACTTAGTAAATATCAAAAGAATCGACAACGTTCAGAAAAGGTAAAAAAAACTCGCGCGATATTGATCCTTTTTGAAGTAGGTTTAAAATTATCATTATTGGGTTACCAGGGTATAAGAAGATCATAGGACATTCATCAATCAGGCGTCAGATCAAACACGGATCGTCGCACGTCACAGTGTAGATAAATCGTCCCTGGAAATGTACAAGCGGAATGGGTACTGTGCAAATTGGAACCGCGAGAAAAGCGAATTTTGACTGAAATTAGTATATTATAAGAATTTTATATAATGTTTGAAATGAATAGACTCAATAAAAATTCTAATTTAATTCATTCATAGTAAATTACATTAGATATTTTATATCGATCTACAGATCTGTATCTGTTAGAGAAAATACTAGAACTAGTGGAAGAGTGTCGAGTTAGGAGTCTATTGAGTATCTTATTAACTCCGATAGTCTTCTCTTGTTCATATTATACAAAGCAAGCTGCTCCGCGATTGATTACGCATTTGCTTGAAATATGTAGATGAGACAGAGATGAAAGCAGATGACTTTGCACAGAGTCTACCTTCTTTAAATTTCTACTTTACTTTCTAACTACTACACATACGATGCTGGGATGGTAATCAATTCATTTCATTCATAATATAAGAGGTACTCTCTTATCGGTGGAAATCTTGACACTTTCTACAATTTTCAGTTATGCTCTTTAAATGTTGACACCAATTGACTCCAATTCTGTCTTTAATTTGCTTGATGTAGCTGTGCCTTGGTTTTCCCCTCCACCTCTTTCCTTCTACTTTTCCCTCAATCATAATTTTCATAAATTGATCGTGCTCTATCAAGTATCTAAATATTTTCCAATATATTTAGTTTAGTATTCAATAATAAATTCCAAATTTCTTGCAGAAACCTGTACAAAAACGTGTATTTTGTGTAAAGTCAAAACCTCTTATGAATAAATATTTAATAAACTTACACGAAATTACAAAGTCGACCTGAGCTGTAGTTATTAGGCATTAACCTTAATATGGTGCTTTATTAAAATGAATTTATATACCGTTTGGTGTTATCACCGCCTCCTGTCTAGCCCGACGCGGACACGTAAATGATGTTCGTGTTCATACATATTCAGTAGATAGCTCGCTTGCTTATGTTACCTTGTTACCTGGTCTACGTAAAAACTCCTTATTCTCAACTCACGATAATATCAGTTACAATATTAAATAAAAAAAAACCCTCTATTTTTTCCATATTCGTCCATCTTCTTTTTAATGATGGATCAGGCAAAGATCCTTAGACCATACAGCCTAATATCCTTCTAATAAAAAAAAAGTTATTTTTTTATCGAGGTCAAAAACAGGCAAAAGAAATTGCTGTATGCGGTCAAAAAATGCCTCAATAAATTTATTTGAATAAAGGTCACATACATATATTCTATTCTGCTACAGGAATGCATATAGTATTCTAAATTTAAATTGTAAAAACACTTTGTCCCTATATACTATATATTACTACAAAACTTTAAGCAGAGGTTCAAGGTTCATTTCTACTCGACTTTTAGCTGACATCTGCAGAACATCCATTGACCGTCATAAGGCAAAATATTGACAAGCTGAAATGGCAGAAAACCGATGATATAACTTAGTGAAGCGATAACTCATTGCAACATGGGAATAAACCTTAACACTTTCACGGAATCGTTGAAATCAGGTCTTGCGAAGAAATCATACAAAAGACTCAAATTGTGAAACTCCTTAACTTTATAAAAAAAAGATCTTATTGGAAGAAAAAAGACTTTGTGAAACGTCTGTATAGCAAGTTTGCAAGCATGTAGGTTCGTTCTATATTTCGTAATCTGAATTGTTTTAAAAAAGTAAACATTCAAAATAAAATATTGAAGGTCACGAATATATATTTTTAATAAATTGCAAGGTCGCAAGCGTTTAGGCTTGTTCTATGTTTCCTATCTGTATGTATATCATTACATAGTATAAAACAAAGTCTCTGTCGCTGTCTGTCCGTCCCTGTTTGCTTAATTCTTAAATACTACGCAAGCGGTTTTTTTAATAGATAGAGTGATTCAAGAGGAAGGTTTATATATATAATACATGTACACCCGGGCGAAGCCGGGGCGAGTAGCGAGTAATATATATAATAAAAATTTAAAACAAAATATTCCACTTTCTGAGGAGTATTTCTTATAATAAATGTAAAAAATTCGATTACTTATACAACTACGAATTCCTATACCTCAGTAGGTCTAGCAAAATTGCAAGTATGTAGGCTTGTTCTTAAATAGTTTATAGATCGTAATATGTTATATTAAATATATAACAGATTACGATGTATAATAATGTATTGTTAAGTATGTATAATTAAATAATATAAAAATAAAAAATAAACTTTTAAAACAAAATATGAACTGCACGAGTGTATTTTTTTAATGTAATAAATGTTCTATTACTTATACAACTATAAAATCCTTTGACTCAAAAAAAATATTACTGACATTAAACAAGTCAAATGTAGATAATGACTTTGCAAAGGTTTCTGAATTATCATAATAAATCCAGTACACGTATTAAACAATAGTATACGACTACAGCACCAGTTGCCAGTTACCGAATATATATCACGAAGATAAATTGAAACAGATATGGCAAACGTTTATTTTAATGGCGCCTACGAGACATCACCCGAGGCGCTATAAATTGTAATTTATGCTCAAATCTGCACAGACATCGATACCTTTGTCGCGAGGGCAATAAATATGTTAAAAAAGCTGTATTAATATTTTCCCGCCCTTTTGCCGTCTACTCAAGAACTATGCAGCCATATTTGCCGTCATAAATTTCCGACACGTACTCGCTTAGTCGCCGAGCATATATTATGAGAGATAAACCGAACCATAACGGGGCTATGTGACGTTTATTTTATGGTGTCACCGAAACACCAACGTGGCTCGTAATATGAAGGAAAGTCTAAAACGATTACCAACGTTTACGATCGGTATTGTTTTGTTTTGTTATATAAATATAAAGGCAGTATCTAGAAACCTAAATCTCAGTGTATATACATGTTTTACTAAATTTCCGACTAAAGTACTCTCTAAGTATAGATAATAAATACAATAATTGACATATTAATAATAATAATAAGAAGTATAATCCGTAACTCCAACCTATAACACCGAAATTTCGAAATAATAAAATTTATAAATAAGTAATAATAATAACCCTGGACAATTAACACAGCGCCATCTAGTCTCACGGTAAGCAGAGCTAGTATTATGGGTACTAAACAACTGATATAGATACTTAGATATATATTTTTTTGTAAATACATACCAACGGAAGAAAAGCGGTGGCGTATACCGCTAGATCATCGAAGCTGTAATTCAGAATCATTACATTGGCGATTTATGAGGTTAATAAGGAATAAAAGAGTTCCATACGGAAAAACTGGTTAGTTTTTCTATTTGAAACTGATTTACGGAATAATCATTATATATTTCGTAACTCGGTTGACAAGCAAAAGCGAGGGAAAAGTCAGCACTACTATTTTTTTTTTGGTTCGGTTTTTCCCTTTTTAGGGAAAGGGAAAAGGACTCGGCCCATACAGCCATTGTCTTCAGTAATATTTTCTTATATTTTATAGCACTACTATTACATAGACAATAGAATGACATAAATGACAATGACATTTGTTAACTACATTCAGCATTACTTCAGTAGGGTTGACAATAAATAGTCTTTCCTTAGTTATACCATTAAGGAAATATTATTTATTGTCAACCCTACTGAAGTAATGCTAAATGTATTTATTCTTTATTCGTAGTTTAAAAAAAAAGATATTCAAGCAACAAAGTATTTACTATAAACAAGAATGACTAAACAAAAAAAACGCAAATTAAATTTATTTGAGTACAAACATCAGGTGAACCGCAAGCTCGTATGTCCTCTATGCTATAAAAAAAAGGCTAGCAATATTATAATTCAAACAACAATATTCGAACGAATATTCTGCAACATATTATATGTACGAAAATAATGTAAATGTGTATCTATTTATGGAAATTGTTAGATATAATATATTGCTGTATTGTTTTCCTAATGACTAAAAAATAAAACAAATAAATAAGAAACTGTAACGATTCATATTGATCTCTGAACCAACGTTGTTTATTGAGAATCATCTAACAAACATCAGTGACGGTGCAGTATTGTCAGTGCCGCCATTGAGGTCAACCTGACATGGTACATTGTAAGCTGTTCAAGACAATTTGAACCTAAAATAAATATAAATATTTTGTAGTATATATTTTCGTTTTGTAATGGCAACACTTAACAGTTTAAAAAGGATTCATTCAAACTGTCACTCCCCCCTTTCTGTTTCTAACTATCAAGCCATACACACTGTACTCCTGTAAATCAAATATAAAAATACAGTCCAAACATATTAAAAGCATATGTTGTTTTATTAATCCAACATTAGCAATAATAGCATCAGTCCATCATACTAACAATTCCCTTTCCTCGACGTAGCGCAAATGAATTACTTATTTAATGAGATTAATTTCAAAATATAACAATCAGATAGGATAACCGTTTTGTTACGGCCTTCGCCCTTATCCTCAACCCAATATATTGTACCTACCCATTGGTATACTCGTACTTAAATTCGTTTTGTAATTGGACGTCATATTAATTGAGCACGACAGTTATGTAGTTTTTTGTTAAATATATATATATATATATATACAATATTATATACTTGACACGTATGAAAAAGCTTTGTTGATTAATATTATGTGACTATATCAATTTTGTTGCTTTGTTCCAGATCAACATGGGGCACCTGCGTATAGCAAGTTACTGGGTTCTGGTGTTGATTTCTGTAACCGTTTGTGCTCAAACTGGTGAGTAATATCTAGTATAAGACTATAACTATAGTCATCCCACTCTATCTACTGAAGTAATAATAATAATATTTTAACTCGGACAATTCACACAGCGCCATCTAGGCCCATGCTAAGCAAAGCCTGTGATATGAGTATGAACAACTAATATAAAATTAAAAACATACTTGATATAGGTATATAGAAAACACCCAGACCAATACAAACTTTGAAAATTAATCAATCACAGTTTTAAAATATAAATGTGTTGGCAATTAGCTATAAGTTTGTATTGTTGTAAATACTTAGATATAAATACAAATGTTTGTATCGTAGAATCGAACCTGTGACCTTCGAAAGTAAAAAAGAAGAATTGTATTTTATAATAAATCAATATTAATGTATTATTATTAATAAATGCTATTGAATTACTAAAGTATATTATATTAAAAAAAACCTGAAAAAAGAAATAAATGTCATATAAAACACTTCCTTTGTAAAAAAGCTTACTATATAATTGAAGTGTTTTTATAGAAAAACTTAAAGTTCATAGCGCTGATAATATTATCTGATTACACTAAAAATGAGTGCGTAGCGGTGTCTATGTTGATTATCGCATGCCTCTTACTTGTTGTATATATAAAAGAAAACATCTTTTCAACAGAGCAACACAAGTTTCTTGCTCATTCTTCTTGTAATGAATCTGCATTCCGAATGAGTGGTAGAATCAAAAATATGACTATTCAAAAGTGCTTGTAATGAGTTTGTTCGAATAAAGATTATTTTTATTTCTATTTCTAAAATATTATCTTGGAATTCAAAATCTTACCAAGTTTACATTAAACTAAAATTGTATGTCTATTGGAAGACTAAACGTCTTTTGATAAATTTACTTATGGTATGGTGGGTACTTGTATTTTATAATAAACCAAGATTAATGTATTCTTATTAATAAACGCGGTTTAATAACTAAAGTCTTGGAAATGCATAATCTTATTATATTTACATTAAACTAAAATTTTAGGTCTGTTGGAGGACTAAGCGTCTTTTGATAAATTTACTTATGGTATGGTGGGTACTTGTATTTTATAATAAACCAAGATTTATGTATTCTTATTAATAAACGCGGCTTAATAACTACAGTCTTGGAAATGCATAATCTTATTATATTTACATTAAACTAAAATTTTAGGTCTGTTGGAGGACTAAGCGTCTTTTGATAAATTTACTTATGGTATGGTGGGTACTTGTATTTTATAATAAACCAAGATTAATGTATTCTTATTAATAAACGCGGTTTAATAACTAAAGTCTTGGAAATGCATAATCTTATTATATTTATATTAAACTAAAATTTTAGGCTATTAGAAGACTAAGCGTATTTTGATAAATTTACTTATGGCACGGTGGGTACCGTTATATCCAGAACGTTCGCAAGTTAACGAAATTTAGAATGCAGTTACGTAGTTGAACTTTGCGAATAAATAAAACAGCTGCGACATTCGGCTAGCACTAAATAGCTAAGTTTCCCCATTATTAGATCGAGCATTTCCTTATAACATTCGATCCTTAGGAACAATGCCGAGAGGTCTATATTCTATATTGATGCTTTGAAATGTAGAACTCTCTTTGAAATACAGACATCCTTAATATTATAAATGTGAAAGTAGGGATGTTTGTTACACTTTCACGCAAAAACTACTGAACCGATCATCATTAAATTTTGTACACATGTTCTTGAAGGTATTAGAATGAGCATAGGATACTTTTTATCTATAAAAATAATATTTATTATGAAAAACAATAAAATAAAATATCAACATTTTGCTACTTCAGCGCCATCTAGCAACCAGTAATGATTCAATGCGAGGGCAGCCGCGGGTAAAAGCTAGTATAATATGATATCTCACGACAATTCACACAGCGACATCTAGTCCCAAGCTAAGCAGAGCTTGTGTTATGGATACTAGACAAGATCAAGAAAAAATGTCAATTGTTTAGTAAATCTAGTCTGTTACGACTAGATTTACTAAACAATTGACATTTTTTTTAAATACATAGGAAACACCCCAACAAATACAAACAATCATACTCATGAATACAAATGTTTGCACCGTCCGAGGAATTGAATCCGCGACCATATGATATAAGGCGGAGTGCTAAACCGCTAGACCACCGGGACGGTCCCCATTGCAACTAACCATTATGTAGTTATAGTGGTTTCAATACATAATTAGTATAGATAATAATAACAATAACCCAGGACAACTCATACAGCGCCATTTAGTCCCAAGCTAAGAAATGCTTATGTTATGGGTTTTAGACAACTGATAGAGTCACTCCAAACATTCAAGCTCACAAACTTTACCTCTTTATAATATTGGTAATAATACCTAAAACTTACCCTTTCTTACCATTCTTGCCACCCACGTTTCAGTTTGATATAGCAGTTACTCCCACGGCGTATAAAAATAGAAATTCCCTGTTATACCTCCATTCTGCACTGACAGTCAGCTCTGTAGTTTAGGCAGCAGGAATATGCTGAGCGGAGATTTTTTAACAAATAATTTATTACAAATAGAAATAGTCTTTATTTAAATAAACTTAATATAATTACTGTTGACTAGTCGCATTTTTTTTATTCTACCACTCATCGTCGCGTAAGACTCATCAAAGGAAGAAACTTGTGTGTTATTCTCTCTCTCTGGTAGTACTAGTTGCCACGTGCATCTTAGTCTTCATCACAATTACGTGACAAATATACATAATATCTTTTAAGCTATGTTACTGTAAAATTTCATCAAAATACGTTCCGTTATTTTTACGTGAAAGAATAACATCCATCCATTCATACTCACAAACTTTCGCGTTCGTTATATTAAGTTATCTGTGATATTAGTAAGATTGCTCATTATTAGTAAGATAGCATATTGCTCATTTTTTTATTATGTTAGTGTAGCCAAGTAGCCATGTTTATGTACTATATGTGTAGGTGTGTATGCATGCTGCCAATTTAATTTACAACTACAACTATTAGTTACATATTAATGTCAATAATATTTATTAAATAAATGCATAACAATATTATTCACGGTTTTAATGTCTCTTTTTTTACATTGTATCTTTCCGTTTTTTTTTTGCTAAATAATATATGATGTACCAAAAACGGACAAAAGATTCTGAATTAATAAATATAGTTAAAAATACTGTGCCTCGATAGGTGAGATAGAAGCCGGCAAAGAGCTTGCTTTGTAAGCTGTTCCGGTTTGAAAAGCTATATACGGTATACTGATAAACAATAGAGTACGGAAACAGCACATATTAGTCTTTAGGAATTAGGGAGTAGGTAGCTCAGGCATCAAACGATATGGTGTCCGTGATGCTGCTCATATATTGCGATGGTTGCACATTCCATTAATATCCAGCTAGGTTTCAAAGCAATTCATACGCTTCGTCTCCCATCACCAATATCCACGTCAGTGGTTTCATTTCATTTACCACAAAATACATGCCCAGTCTTTGTACATATGCCGACCATGTGCTTGCAACATTAAATTCGCACACTCTGCCCACAAACATTTTGTTTTATATTTAATTATAGTATTTATCATTTTCACAACTGTTTTGCACTTCCGCGTAATTTATTCTATAACTAGCTACACCCGCGACTTTGTCCGTGTGGAAATTAACTTTTTTAAATTCAAATTCAAATTCAAATTCAAAAATCATTTATTCATGTAGGACATTTTAGCCGCTTATGAACGTCAAATTTTTACATTATAATTTTATTTTTTTTCCCTACCGTCCAGTTCGGTATATAGATCCAATTGAGAAGAACTGGCAAGAAACTCAATTGAATTACTTTTTTTTTAAAGCCAGTTTATTTACAATGTATATTTATATAGGTGTCTATGTCTAACATTAAATGAAAATTCAGTGCATGAACAACTATTGCCATGCACACTCGTCATTCAAGTAATCGTTTAGTGAGTAATAGGCTTTGCTCAGTAAATATGATTTAACAGATGTTTTGAATTTATTTAAGGGTAATTCCAACATATCCTTTGGTATCTTATTGTAAATTTTTATACCTATTCCCATAAAAGACCTATTAACTTTTTCTAAACGATACTTGGGGACAGCAAGTTTGTCTTTAAATCTTGTATTAATATTATGAATATTGCTGTTTTTTGGAAATAAGTCAAGATTTTTATGAACATATAGGATATTTGAATATATAAATTGAGAAGCAACGGTGAGAATATTTGCCTCTTTGAATTTCTCTCTTAATGAGTCACGACTCTTCATACAGTAGATCGCTCGAACGGCACGTTTTTGTAATATGAATATATTTTTAATATCTGCCGCTTTTCCCCATAGTAATATTCCATAAGAGAGTAAACTATGAAAATAACTAAAATAGACTAATCTAGCAGTATCAGTATCAGTGTACTGTCTAACCTTACGCACGGCAAAAGCTGCTGAACTTAGTTTCGCTGCAAGGCTTTGAATTTGTGCACCCCATTGTGTTTTATTATCTAGTGTGATTCCTAGAAAGACAGTAGATTCTATAAATTCCAGAGATTCGTCATTTAATTTAATATTGCAATTAGTATTAAAACTTTTAGACAGAGAGAAATTAACACATTTTGTTTTTTTAGCGTTTAACATAAGATTGTTAGTTGTAAACCAGTGCAGGAGACGCCGCAAAGCACTATTTACATCGTCATAATTATTAGTCATTCTATTAACTTTAAAAATCAATGAAGTATCGTCTGCAAATAATACTATGCCGCATCTATCCTGCATGGCATATGGGAGATCATTAATGTAAACTAGGAATAAAAATGGACCGAGAATAGATCCTTGAGGTACACCAATTTGCACAAGTGACCCGTCAGACGTAGCGTTGCTAACCTTCACTTTCTGTATTCTATCAGATAGATAAGATTTTATTAAATTTAAAGCATGGTCTTTGACGCCATAAAAAGCAAATTTTTTTAGCAATGTATTATGATCAACGCAATCAAAAGCCTTAGAAAGGTCACAAAAAACACCTATCGCATCCATTTTAGTTTCCCATGCAGCAAATACGTGTCTAAGCAACTCTGCACCTGCGTCTGTAGTTGAACGACCTTTGGAAAAACCGAATTGACTATTGTGGATTAAATTATTTAAATTGAAATAACTGACAAGCTGCATAAGGATTATTTTTTCAAAAATTTTACTGAGTGCTGGGAGTATAGATATAGGTCTATAATTTATTGGGTCACTTCTATCTCCAGATTTAAAAAGCGGTATGATTTTACTAATTTTCATTATGTTAGGAAATTTACCTTCATCTATACATTTATTGAAAATAAAAGCAAGAGAGGGCGCAATAATTTCCATTATACTATCTAGTATTTTAACAGATATACCCCATAGATCCTCTGTTTTTTTATTATTAAGCTGTTTGAATATTTTCATTATTTCTACTGATGATGTATGTCTAAAGTTAAATACAGCTGATGACTTGCTAACATTGTCTGTTAGTAAAGTTTCAGCAGCAGACGGGGAAGATTTTAGAGCCTGTGTCGTAATTAATGGAATATTAGTGAAATAAGATTCGAATGTATCCGCGACCTCTGTGTCGGAATTTACCAATTTGTTATTAATATTTAAAGCTATTTTACTATTTTGAAAATTAACTTTTCCAGTTTCGCTATTTATTACTTTCCAAGTGGCTTTTATTTTATCTTTAGATTTAGTTATTATTTTACCTAAATAGAGAGACTTAGCTGTATGACAAACCTTTTTAAATATTTTCGAATAAGATTTTACATGTTCATGAAATAAGGGATCGGATATATAGCTTCGTTTTTCGTAAAGTTCGTAAAGATTAGCCCTAGACTTATAAATACCAAACGTGGCCCAGTCACAAAACTTTGATTTTACACTAGTTGAAAAGGTTTTTGTTTTAAATTCACTGCTAGCTTCATGTTCAATTAAATTAAAAATATGTTCACATACAATGTCCGGGTCATATTGAGGTACTATGACACTAGATATTTTATGTTCAATTTTATTTTTAAAACGTGCCAAATTCTTTTGTGTTATTTGTCTGCATGTAATTGTTTGAGTCCCTTTGGATCCCTTAGTTTCAATTATAACTTTTTGTCCATAATGATCAGATCCAAGACAGTCGAAATTCATTTTCACCTTTACTTCACAATTACAAAAAACATTATCTATACAAGTGGCAGAATTTCCTGCGACCCTAGTGGGTTCTAAAAAAAGATTGTGCAAATTAAATGATTTAAATAAGTTAATCAATCTTAAGCTTATTGAGCATTCCGATAATAAATCAACATTAAAATCGCCACATACAAATAATGTTTTATTCCTCCGTGCGACTCGTCTCAATGCTTCCTCCATAGCCAGTTCAAAAGAATCAAAACAAGCCGATGGCGGACGATAAACGCAAATTATTATACAAGTAACTAATTCTACGCAAGATAGTTCAATTGTTTGCTCAATAGAAATATTTACAATGTCTTGACGGTTTTTATATTCTACATCATTTTTTAAAATAATAATTGACCCGCCATGAATGGCATTGTTCCTAGCAAAAAAACTAGCTATATTATAATGTTCAAAGGGACAAATTATTTCATATTGTTTAAGCCAATGTTCTGTCAGACATAACACCCGTACATTGTTAGATTCTAAGAATAGACTTAATTCTAATTCTTTGCTGGAGAAGCCACGAATATTTTGATGAATAATGACCATATCCTGTGGCTTAACCAATGTCGTAGATGTTAGTTTAAATTAACACATGTCACATTATTAGTATTATTACTAATATTACTAATTAAATCCGTTATACTACTTATAATGGGATCATAAATGTTATACGCTAGTAAACTAGCAATAGTCTTTTTTTGTTTTTTAGGAAGATAAAAATTACCTCCCGTCATATAATAATTTGTAACAAATTTGTTACTTTCAAAATAAAATATATCATTACAATGATATGTCATCGAATAAATTAAATTATTTATACTATAAATGAACTTATTCTGTTCATTAGTCAGGGATTGAGAGTAGGGAAATGCGCATAATAATATTTTACCTATACCAAGCTCCACTATATTATATAATGATTTTATTAAATTAACTATATCAGATTTACGCATATGCAAACAATTCCCTAACGCTATTACTAGGGTCGTGTGAATATCATATTTTTCATTTACTATATTTCTTATAATCTTATATATACCTGATCCCGGAAAACAATTATTTATTACTTGTTGCGAGAGACAGTTCGATAATAAACTACCTAAATCCTTGCCAAATTCATCTGAATAAATAATTGTTCTCCTGATGGTTTCATGTACAGTGCTGCATTTATTTACTTTTGTACTGTTGCGTGTGGGTAAACATGAAACGTCTGGTTCCGTGACGGATGAGATATCAATGTTCAACTGATTATGGTGGGACGGTTGGATATAGTTATCAGACTCTGGTGAATTACAGTGACATCTATCCGTAAGAGAAACAAACCGCTCCATGTTGTAGTTACCTAATTTTATTAAATTATCCAACTGATCAGAATATTCATGTATTTCATTCTTAGCTGATTCGTATTTCAAAGATAAATTGGACAACGAGTTCTCTAATAGTTTAATTTTTTGTGATAATTCATCTATTTCTAAATCTTTGTTATATATTTTTTCTTTACAATTATTTAATTCTATTGATAAGTCAATTTTTTGCTTCCTAGTAATAATTGACTTTAAACACTTTTTATGTCTTTTCACTAAATTTTCTGATTTTCGAATAAATTTATTTAATTTTACATATTTTTTTAACTTATTACTACTATTAATAGGTACTTTATTAGGACTATAGGAGCTTGGTGTATTTGTCAAATCTATGGTCACAAGGGGCAGAGCAGATGTTTGATCACTAGTAGTATTTAACATTTCTGTATACAGATCCATGGTCTCGTTATAACTACTCAACCGCCTGTGATCCAACAAAGATTTATTTTGTGATTGAACTTCCTCAAGGTGCCGCTCTAGATGAGTGATTTTCTGCAATGCTGACTCATATGTGTCTCTGCACAGATCATATTTATTTACAATTTCTTGAAGTTTTTCATTTTCGATATGTAGAACTTCAAAGTCTGTACTGATCTTCACTAGGTCATTCTTCAGAGCCACATATTTATCAGACATCAACTTAATTTCAATCTCACTTTCATCTCGTTCCTGTAATAAGGCCTTATTTAATTCATTGGATTTTTTTAACTCTAAGAGTGTCACCTTGAGCTTAGCATCAAGATCACATGCTCTGCGGGACATCATTTTTAATTATTATGTTAAATATCTACGAAACAAGACAACAATGAATATTATTCAATAGAAGAAATACAGTGTTGAAAGTGCGCTATTTCCCTTCAATAAAATAATTTAATAATAAATAAATAAATAAATATTGTTAGTAAAAACTTTAAATACCAATACTGTTACAAAAAAATAATTAATCTTATATATTACCACTACAGTATATATGTCTTAATTTGTCATATGATATCTAGCAATGGCTATGGATTACTAATATTGTATTGTTATTTAATCAAATACATAAGTTTAGTTTCGCACAGCTATTTGGAATATATTATCAATATGATAATAAATAAATTTTATGAGCTGTATTGTAATAACAATAATATTTTATGTTAGTGGGTAGTTTTTTTTTTCCTCTCAACAACAACAACCGATCTTCACTATCGAATATTTAACTTTAATATTATTGTTTATTTGTAAACGGATATAGTAATAGTGAAGTGTAATAACTGTATTTAATTATTAAAGGAGTCAATAGAAATCCAAGACTTCTATTGTAAATTACCAATACTTTGACAGTTGGCGGTCCCACAAATTTTGTAACGTAGATTTTTGTCACAAAGAAATCACAGATTTGCACACCAACAATAATCGACGTTACTTATGCCCAAAACTCACTGATTATATACACTAGTATCGTTATTTCACAAGTAATAAATTAAAAACAATAAATAAATAAGAGCCAACTGACAAAGACTGTTATCGGCAGTGTTGCCAGAGAGAAAAAAAAACTTTATTTTTCTAAAATAAAAGTAGCCTAAGTTACTCCTTACTACATCAGCTACCTACCAAAAAAATACCTTCATAATTGGTCCAGCCATTTCAGAGATTAGCCGGAACAAACAGACAAAAATTGTAAATGTTAAATGCATGTACTGAAAAACGGTTTATTCAATATTACACATAGACGCTCCAATTTTAATTATATGTATAGATTCTCGTAGCCAATGTAGTATTTTACAGGGATCGAAATAAATACAAGTGCGAGTGTCCAACTCATCAAAACTTTATTTTCTTAACCCTCACATAATACATACTTAATCAACCATGTACTACAGTGCGTCAACAGTTTACCATTAAAAAAAACTAATCTATACTTCAGAAACGGAAGCACCGACGACTGCGACCACCAAGCCTGCCCCGACTACTACTGTGGTCAGTTCCACGTCGACCATCGTCTGGGAGGAGACGTTGAACGAAGGCCAAGCGATACAGAAGGCACTGCAGTACCTGCTACAACACCGTCAGCCGGACTGGGGCTGGGGAAATGATACGCATCATGTTATGCTTACTCTGCAGGCGAGTATTGATATATCAATATTTGAGTACCATGTCACAGTGGAATAATCTATTGGATTCAAACTTTTATAAATATAATTAACTAGCGAGCTGTCCATGCTTCGCACAGACGCATTACACATCTTGGAGTTTCTCGGCTTGTTCCATACTATAATACATATAAAGCTTGCTCTTGAAACACACTATCTATTACTGAAAACTGCATTGAAATCCTATGCCTAATTTAAAGGATATAAGCGATCAGACAACGGCTGCGACGTGCGCGTGCGCGTGACGTTTTACATATACTATGTAAAGATGAATTCTTATTGTGACAAAGCATAAATCTCATTATTTCGCTATTATATATTGGAGTCTCGTTTTTAAAATATTATTAATGAGTTGTTATTGTGACAAGGTATAAAGTATTTACATAGCATCTATCGTTGACTATAGTTTATTCATTCTAGAAGCGACCTCACATATGTTTTCCGTAGGAAGTTGTGTTCGTTATTTTTTTCTAGAAGTAAAGAAATGTATAGACAATAGATACTCCGAATAAATCACTGATATATTTGAAGCAATATTTACTATTCCGCACAAATTTTTCTCAAAATATATTGTTAATAATTATAGTCTATATATATCCATAAATAACTAAAGATTTCGGTAAAGAATTTTGCAGAAATAACTTCATGAATTTAAAAAATAACCTAAGTAGTTATATGAAAAATAACCATTGATTTATCATTATTACTCATGTAATCTGTTTACAGTTAGCCAACAACACTGGAAAAGAAATTGAACAGCAAGGTCTGGAAATGCAGCTGTCAGCTAAACAGATGGAGATAGAAATACTGCTTATGATATCCAAGTAAGTAAATCATGCAACGCCATCTAGTGTCAAAGTAAAAAGAGGAAAGAAGTATTGGAACCTCTTAAACAATATCATGGTGAATATCTTGTTTATATATAGATAAAGTTGACAATTGTAAATAGAGTTTATACTATGAGTACCAAATAACTTTTTTTAATCTTACTAATATTATAAAAGTGGAAGTTTGTGAGTGTGGATAGTTGGATGCATGGATATATGTTACTCTTTTACGCAAAAAGTACTAAATGGACCTTAATAAAACTTTACTGATATAACGGTATGATATCTGTATATAAAAAAACCGCAAAAATCGAATTTAGGAAATGTTAAAAGTAAAATAGTACTCATACAGATTTTTTCAAATTTTTTTTTTGCGGGCTAATCTCCGAAATAGTTAGATCGATTTAAATGAAATTACAACATTTTAGATACTTTTAATCACGGAAAGATTTTAGATAATTTAATTTATCTAAAATCTTTTAATCAAAGAAATAACAAGTACCACGCGGACTAAGTAGCTGTTAGTTAGGGATAAATAGTAATTGCGCCATTCATCATCATCATCATTTCAGCCTGGAAGACGTCTACTGATAACAATTGAGGTATTAAACTTTGTTAAAGGCACCACGAGTCACCACCACCGTTAGGTCGTCTCGCAGCTTACACGCTGGCCCTCGGCGCCCTCTGCAAAGACCCTCGCTCCTTCCACGGGAGGGATTTGGTGACCGCCCTTCTCCACCGCGAGCCCCCTCACGACCTGGAGTTTGCCTACGCGACCCTGGCTGCTTGCTCTTCAGCAGCGCATGTCCGACGCCGTCACATTCGTCGGTTATTGGACATTGCTAATGCTGCAGCTGACCATAGTCTTGGTAAGAGAAACTGGTTTCTTATAGCATAGGAGTTGTTGGAAATTCTAACAAATTTAATGGTATCAAACCTTTTTTTTTATGGCTAACCTATTTTTTATCAATGCTGAAAAACAAGCCTAAGAATATTCTGATGGTAATCGGTAGTCTGAACTACGAAGACTTTCTTCGTATTTCGTAAATCGTACATATTGCTTATGGGTGTAGACTATATAAATCCATCAAGTAGTAAACTAAATGTAGTTTAAAACACATGTTGCAAATTCAATAAATAATTGTATACTGAAAGTATACAATTATTAAAATACGGTACGATATGGTAGTACCCTGATTTAGTCCCGTCAGTTCGTTTCGGACTTTTATGATACAAAATATGTCATCTCAAATTGCAGATACGATATCGATGGTTATATTGGCGCTTCGGTGCGTGGTACAAGACCATCGACACCGTAGCTTGATCCACTTCGTGCGCCGTCCGATGGCAGGTCTTGCGCGGCAACAGCACCCTGATGGTAGCTTTGGAAGCCTCACCACCACCGCTCTGGCTATACAGGTATATATATCCTTGCATATAATAAAATCGTAAAATAGTGAATAGACGAAAACTGTCTCTATTTGCATTAAGGTTTTATTTAAAAAAGTCCTTCGAAATTTGGACGAAATTTTCACATAATATATTGGTAAATAATGGTCCACATATAGACTATAGAAAGCTCAAGAATGACGTAAAGGAAAGAAATAAATAAACGTAATACACCACCTGCAGTACTGCAAAAGGTTAAAGGAAAGAGACAGATGATAAATATTATTGAGAATATGTGGGGAAACACGTAAGGGCATGATGAACTTATAAATAATATTATCTATGGAAAAATAGAAGAAAAGAGGGGAAGAGGATGACAGACAGAGCTACATGAGACAGGTAAAGGAAAAAGTTGGATTCGTGTATATTAACGTTACGGACCAGAGGCGGTAGTCAGGTCTCTGCACTAAATATTCTCTAACCTCACATATGCTAGCTGGTATATATGCTGGTAGCGGAATGAAACAAAATAATACAAATTCATTAAGTAATGCGTTACCACAATTGTTTTCGGTTTAAGTTACATAACACAAAAACTGTTTTAGGCTCTCGAAGACTCCGACAGCGGCCCAGGTGCCCACCAACACTGGAGCTTACCAGCTGCAAGGAAGTGGCTATTAGAGCGCCAGAATTCTGACGGCGGATGGGGAGATGTGGCAAAGACTGCTGCAGCAGTTACAGCGCTGACTCCAGCCTCACTTGCCGCTGTACGACCTCCGCACTGTAGCGATAAGCTGCTTGATAGCCGTCATGAACCATTAGGTATCTACATTTATGTACCTACAAACACTTATATATTGATTAATATTTAAATATGTAATAAAGAACTAATCGTACTAACTGACAGGCTCGGTGGTCTAGCTAAACAGCTACAGCACAGCGCTTTACTTCTGTGCCTACAGTTGTAGTATTTCTGTCAACACTTGAGACCCATCCATTATTTTACGTCTCCACTAACATACATTCAAGTTTAGTGTAAAATCAATCTATGTACATCCTGGCTTCGCGTCAAATATGCGCGTTACTGATAAGCCAAGTACAATAAACTTACTAAACATAGGACAATTATTTCACCAATATGCTCACTACCTAAATACTACAATAACACTCTAATTAACAATATACTATGTAGCGACATCTCATCACATCATACACATCGGTACAGTGATGAGGTGATACCACCGTGCTAAACTTCCAATTGTTACATATTCGATTCCTTGCTCGGTACAAACACTTGTATTCGTGTCTATTCTGTACATGATGTAGAGGACTTATAATGACTACTTCTGAAAACTTTGTGTTAATAACGGCAGACAGTAACAACGGTGACGGCAGCGTGAAGCTGGCGTACCAGTCGGGACAGGCAGCCAACGAGTCTGATGCTAGGAATGTCTCCTTCACTTACACCCTCTGGTTGGGCACCAACGTTACCGACAACTTTACGCTGCAAATGGTCGCCCCTAGGTAAGACGTTCTCTGTTATTTTCTTAACATATACTTATTATAAAGAGGTACAGTTTATGCGGTAGGGGGTAATCTCTGCGAGACCATATGGTTTGACGATACTAACACACTCATAAGCGATTTTGTTGAGGTGAAACTCTGGCAGTACCCATCTACATCCCTCGGGGCACGATCCCGGGGTAATCTCTAGATCTACTGAACCGATTTTTAAATTCCTTTTAAAGTCATATAACCTATTTATTTATCAACAAATATTATGGGCTATTATAAGATCAATCAAAACGATCAATCCGAACTGCTGAATATCTCTTGTGAACCGATTGTGAAATTTATGGATGTATCCAGCTCTGTTTGCACCTGTTTTCAGGTGCTTTTCAGAACCCTAATTGTAACAGTGTGTACTTTGCAATCTTAACTCAAGAGGGGCAAATTTTTTTTTTTTTTTTTTTGGTATAAACCTCCCATGAAGAAATGTCTATATTATGTATATGTAGTTACAAAATTATATAGTATTTATTTCAGTTTTCTATGCACGTTATAATTTTCTTGACATTATTTTACCATATATTATTTAATATGTGGTACACGTTTATACTTTACGCTTCAACATACCTGGTAGCATATATAGTATTTACAAGAAAATCAATTGTCTAGTATACACAACACAAACCCTGCTTAGCTTGGGACTAGATGAGGCGCTACGTGAATTGTACTAAGTTATTATTCTACACTAAGATTTTGCTTTAATTCCAGAAACGTGTCATTCTACCACGTGATGCAAATGGCCGCCGATCAAAATCCAAAATTCAAATTCGAGGCGAGCGAATGGCCAAATGGCCACTATGTCCACACCCTGGCAGGCCATAAGGAGGAGCCAATGGGCTACCACTACTGGTTGCTGTACCGTCTGCCCGAGATACCAGACCCCTCCAGCCCACCTGGCAACCAACTCGTCGCACCAGTTGGTAAGCTCCTAAGCTCTGGTATACTATTTAGCTCTTGTTCACTATACTTCACTACCTACCTTTACACGACATATTCTTTTACGGGCGATTTAGCGCGGGAAAACTAGCGTGCGCAATCGTAAGTGATTGCATTTAACTATTTTTTGTTATCACTCTTTCACGCGTGATTATGCGAATAGTTCATGTTTTTTCTTTTAATATTTTAAGTTTTATACCACTGACTTTATTTTCCAAAGTCTCTTTTAAGTTTTATAAATTACTCTTCTTATTTCTTTAATATTTAGGGACTTTCGTACAACGTACAAAAGTACATGCCAGTCCCATTGTACCTTAATAAATTACTCTATAATTATGTCTTTACCCCACAGTCACATATCAGCCATTTTGCAATGATAATTTATTTTAGATATTTTAGATAGATTCCGATCAGTTGCATTGTCATTGCAAAAAATATAGTTAAGCAGAAGAATCATACGCTTTTCTTTCTTCTTCCAGGTGTGGACGACCTACTAGTCGAAGACGGTGAACACTATCTTTTCTGGTATAAGAAGCTGTAAATCCTGGACTGAGCCTTGAGCCCCATTCATTTCCATTTTTTGTTAATTACAATGAAAGGCTTAGAACATCCCATCCCACAAGACCTGATTGACATTGTTCAGTGACCAATTAATTTAATTTAAAACCGGTTGCATATTTTTGAAAAGTCTGTCACAAAATTTGCGAAGGTTTATCTTCTTATAGCTTCCGGTAGTGATGGTAAGGTTTTCAAACTGAATGATTGTAATCTCACACGTGCTGAAAGTAGCAAAATAATACAAATCCATTGTGCAGTATCCACGGAGAGTGTGTCCGGTAAATGTAAGAAAAACCTGACAGATTTTTTGACAATATACGGTCGGGCTTTATGCAAAAGAGGGCCATATTTCTAGTACATCGCATAACACACGAGAGCCAACCATTGCTCTTTTAGAAACTGATACAAGTTCTAAAAGTATTAATAGAGTCTATCATCAGCGCTGACTCTAAGCTCATGGTTGATACGCCATCTGACTTTTATGATCATATTTTCATCATATGCATTTAATTACATAGGTTAAGAAAGACATTTAAGTTTTATCCGTGCAATATAGGCGTGATCTTTTAAATTTCAAACTAAACATTATGTTTAATCAAAATATGTTTCTAAGATCTTCATTGCACGCAACAGAATTTTAACAACTTGTTAGATTCAAAGTAAGCGAAGTTCGAGTCTCTTATGGCGGATTACAATATGTAATATCTTCGTTAATTATATATAATGTATTCTTGTTATAACTTGGATAGGTATTAGTTTTGAATTTTGAATTTTGAAAGTATTTCATATTTGCACATAACAAATATGAAACACTTTCTTAATAACTTCATAATCAGATATTTTATATATGGCATAGGTTTACTTATTATTAATATAAAAATATTCGTACCATAAAATATAAATGGCATTTTTATTAGAAAGTTAATTATTTTCACTTCTACATTTAATTTTAATATTATTACGTTTGATATATCATTCTCCAAATTTTTTTCACAATATTTTGTTCTGTAAACTTTGGAAGTTCAGGAATATTTCTTAATATTTGCAATAGTTTTGTAATACTGACAAATGATAAAATATTTATACGTCTACAAATACTTGGGAATAAATTCACGATATCCGTAAGAGACTCGAAGCTTTAAATTTTGAATTAAACAGACGTATATAATTACTTTAGATATAGTAACCATAATTCACTAGTCATAATAATCAAACATTCATATCTTTAATATTGTAAACCAGTAATCTTCTCAAGTGATAGTAATTTACGTTTTAGCTGTGAAAGGTACCAAAGACTTGTGATTCTACGTTTGTCATATTTCTTCCTGAGACTATGGTCTATGTAAATAATTATAAAGGTGTCGCAGCACGGTGGTGTATTTAAAATATGTACTTATATATATTGGATAACGTAGTCAATAATTTAATTAACAATTGTATTTTGCATGTCAGAAATGACTATATGTGGGAAACAAAAATGAATGATTCAAAATATCACACACAATGTACCATATTTTATGCCATCAAATTTCATTTCATATCATTACGGAAACTATTATAATAGTTTCATGAAAACAATTCGATTGATACATTCAATGAGTCTTATCTCCTTTTTTTTCATCAAATCAAATCAAAATATCTTTATTCACGTCTCTTATGATATGTCAAAATTTACCGCCAATTCGGAGATCATGCAAGCTAAGAAGACCTGACAAGAAGCACTGCTCTTATTCTTTTCAAATGTGCTTGTACATGTTTACAATAATACAGATTCATTTTTAAGTTCAAAATTAGGCAAAATAGATACCACCAGCCGGTCTATTGACAAAATTGTCAATAGAAAATATTTTAATCGTCATGTTTTACAACCATAAAAATATATAAGTAATATATACAAATACACTGCTTGCTACAACACCAATGTCGTGAGATTAGCGTCAAAATACTTAATATGTATTTCTAAATACAATAATAATGCATTTGAAACTGTTAGATGTTTTTGGCAAGGCAAAATAATATAGTAATTTGATTCCCACAGTAAATATGTTTACTTGGGTTTTTAATGGATATAATAGAATGGGGAACCCGCTTGCGCTATCGGTTTATAATGATGGGGCACCAGTGGAGGATGATAAAATGAACATGAGGACGGGTCAGTAAGCCCATCGCGACAAATTCTTACTAATACAACTATGTATAGCATTTCAGCTAGAAAAAGCATTTACTATTACTTTGTCTATACAAGCCTTGCCAAAATTTCTAACATAATATAGCTACAATATTCGCATGCATTAGTCTTACAGCATGTAAAATAGCACTTATAATTAGATGAAATAAGATTCGTGTTTATAAGCAATTCTCAATTTGAAACTCTTAACTCGCGTCGTATCAATGGAATTTAAACATATCCAACGACATTGTGAGATGCAGATATTGTATGTCGAAGGAGAGAGCGAGGCGGATAGAGTAACACAATGTCTACGTCAATGTTCCATTGATATAACGTATTATAATAGGTACGTGTATTCTCATGTTAGAATTGAATTAATCATTTTAGACGAGACTGAAGACTCAACTGTTATTGGAGTTACAAGTGCGTTAGAATAACATTTTTATTGTACCTACTGAATGGTTCTTAATAAATATTAATTTAAAAATATTGTGACTATTTTATTTGTTAACTCTACCTATTATTATAATTTTATGGTAAATAATATAGTATTTTTTTTATAAATGATAATGTAATGGTGCACCCGCCTGCGCTAACGGTTTACGCTGGCGGGGCACCAGTGGAGGATGATAAGATGAGAATGAAGTCAGGTCAGTTAGCCCATCGTGACAAATTCACCAAGAATTTATCACGATGGTTTCCAGCGGGAACTGCGTGGAGGTCAACCTGACATGGTACATTGCTAGCAATAAGATAATCAATCCACATTACTAACAATCCTCCTTCCCTCCAATAATATAGTATTTACCAAAAGTATTCGTGTTATAACCTGATCTAACTATATTAATAACGCGAAACTTAAAAAATAACTATACATATTTAAATTACCAAGCTAGACGATATACAAAGTCATCTGCTTCTCAAGATATAAAGGGTGAGTCATGGCAGTAAAATGACTGGGTACAGTGGCATGAAACCTATCATCAGAATTGAACGTATAACTAATAATACTGTAATTTTTTTTTTGTATGCGCACCTGTCTGCCCTAATGGTATACTGACAGGGCCCCAGTGGAGAATAATAACCATGAGGTCAGCATAACGTGTTAAATTGACCAGGAATTTATAGTGATGTGTTATAGGGGGAACCACGTGTAGATTTACCTAACGTGGTAATTTGCTAGTTATAAGGGATTACTGCATATTACTAACAATCCCCTCCCGGTAATACGGTAATATTGTTAATATATATAGACAACTTCACTTTCTCTCAGGTGTGACATTAGTGTGTTTGCAGGGTGGAAACAATTCAAGTCTTCCGCTTCCCTTCTTTCCTTCTATTTTACCTTCGATAATATTATTCATAATGGCGTATTAAGTGCCTTCTTTTCCCCGCCTATTCCACTACTGGAGTAAATTAAATAAATATAAATAATAAATGGCAAGAAATGAAAAAAGAAATTAGAACCAACATTTATTAAATTTGTACAATGTACACAACACCACATTGCTAGGTACATCCGAATACCTAAGTGCATAAGCTAATATAAAATAGATACACTTTGTCGAAAATGTTAAGATATTATCATAAAAATATCCAATAGCATTTATATACATACGGTGCTCGCGTGAGGAGGTATAAACACTGTACAAAACTATATATTGTTTGACATCAGTACAACCATTTTGTTGACATATTGTAATATATAAACCATCTTCATTTATAAAAACGCCGAACGTGTAATATACCCATACGCCTATTTATAACCAGTACGGTTTCGGTTTATCTCTGTTATTAATCTATATTTTTATTCTAAGTGTGAAAGGTTTATCTGTATTTATATTCAATAGTATTCTAAATTTGAAAAATTGTAAGATAATAGGCCAAGGAATATTGTTATACGTTTTTACGAACCAAGATGGTATGTTTACAAATATTAAATTATATGGAATAATTACAATAATAAGTACTAATAGATTCGACTAATAACATTAAGAATTACAATATATATTAATTATAAATATTCAATACAATATTACTTCAGATTGCTTTAATGTTCCAATATAAAAGTAAAACATCAAATTGAAGTAAAATTACAGATAACGAAATCATATATAATGAAAAATCTCAAAGAGATTAATGATTCATTAAAAAAGATGTAAATATATTATAAAATGACTTATACCCGAATAGGTATTTGTCTGTGTTACAATCGAAGCTATATTGATCTGTCATTTATTCAATTAATCTGAATCAACAAGACCACGTCCAAATCTTGATTATTATTTAAATAGATGCCTTTATACGATACGTTCTCTCACGCGCGATTTTTTTGTGATATATCAATTTTTTTATGAACATCTTTCGCGCGTGATATTGCGTTTCAAGTCATTTCACTTTCTTTTAAACTTTTAATTTTGATTCCACACCTTTTATTTTCTAAATACACCAATTTATAAATCACCAATAACTCTATAATTATATCTTTGCTCTATAATCTGATGTCCGCCATTTTGCAATGGTAATTAAATTAAAAAACAGGAAATAAAGCACTGACGAGTGAAGAAAGCGGGAATGCGTTCACTGGCGGCGCGCGCGAAATTTCTCGTTTTCTTTGTCTACATTTACATGTACATTCTTTCGCGCGTGAAAGAGCATACGTTTAAAGGCAGGTAATGGCCTACACATGACACTAAAATCTGGAGAATATCGTCCCATCGATGGGGGTAAGATTAGCCAAACGAGCGCACTATGTAGAATCAGCCTCGATTTCGCTACACACGGGGCTATTTCATAAAAATAATGTTAATACCAATCCCGAACAATTCACACAGCGCCATCTAGTCTCAAAGGTGGTATGGGTACTAGACAACTAACAGAGTACTTAAATACATTTTTTTTTGTAAATACATAAGTAATATATATTTAAAACACCCAGACCAATCGGAAGTGAGGCAGGGTGCTATATAGCTAAGTAGCTAGTGCCAGATATTGCCCCTGATTTTAATTTCATGTACAATCCATGTTATATATGTAATCAATTTTTCTACACATAAAAACGTGTATGGAAATTAATAAAACTACTGTTACACATTTATAGAATGATTTGTAGCAGTCAATAATATTAATTAATATATATATTAAAATAAATAAATTATTGCGTATAATTTCATGTCACTAACTTTATTTTTTCTATTTACCTCTCAATTTAAAAAATTAATATTAGTTTTATCACAATCATTAATAGTATAAAATAAAATATACAATGGGGACTTTTATAATTTACGATACGGTCCGATACGGTACGATACGATACTATATGGTACGGTACCATAGCAGAGAACAAAATGGTAAAATGTTGCTAGAAACGCATGGTGGAGGACCGCCATTCGTCCAGATGATCAGGACATGATTTTAGTTTCTGGCCGATACAAATGTATTTGCTTTTTAGTGTAATGTGAATACATTTTATACTATCATATATTGAGTTCAAATAAAACAATATATATCGAACCGTAGTATCGTATTTATACGATAAATTATAAAAGTGCCCATTTAGTCAACTAAATTCTAACTGAAACAGTAAAAAATCGCATGGTTTTTCTTCCTATCTTCTTTATAAATAATAAGTTTGGTGACTAAATTAATTTTGGCAATTAGGATGTCTTTTATAACAATAAAGAATACACAAACAACACTGTACTTAACCTCTAATTTAATGAAGGAATTATCTATACACTATTGTGCAGTAATGAAGGGACGTGTGTGTTTGCATTTATTTCTTTTGTTACTTAGCGGTGTTTAATAAAAATTTATATATGTTTGCAATATAATCTTGTATGTAGGATTGCTTATAGTAATAATATCGCTTTTGTAAAGCTAATGTTCTGGTTAGGAACACTGATTAGGTCTCTCTATTCTCCCAAATTTGAATTTAAAAATGAATCTGTATTATTGTAAACATGTACATTTATTTGAAATAAACACGACCTGAGTTTCTTGTCAGTGCTTCTCACCTTGAAATCATTCCGAACTGACAGTAGATTTAACGTATCATAAGAGTCTGTAATAGACCTACATGAACATAGATATTTATAATTTGAATATGACTTTTAAAAAATCCAATTGAAAAAAAAATACTGCTGAAATGATAAAATGTAGTATCTAATATACTGCGTTTTATTATTTCTATTTTTATAATAGGATTTATTTTAATTTGAAATTCATTCTTATGTGAATATTGTGGCACATGCGTAAAACATGAATTTTATTAAACTAAGTAATCTGATTTGACCCTCAACTTGGCTTGATGCCTTACCTTTTCTAACCTACAAAAAAAACTACTAAAGAATAGTATGTTACTTTTTACGAACGTAACTGCTATTACAGTGCTAAGGCCATGCTACCACAGATGATTTCAAATGTACAGAGTGTAAGTTTGAGCACTAGTAACATTTGAAATGTGACAATATTGAAAATTATCACAATATTAGAAATAGAGTTTATATTGGATGTAAACTCTATTTTACTCTTTTACTCAGTTACAATTCATACTAACACTATAAATGCGAAAATTTGTCAGTCTGCCTATTACCTATTTACGGCTAAACGATTTGATAGAATTTAGCATGAAGCATTTAGAAGGTGTATCACAAGTAAAAAAGATATTAACTTTAACTTTAAGAAGGGCGATTGTCGCGTACAAACGGCAACAATACGCAATACAAGGAGCGTTCTGATCGGAGCGCACACCCATCCAATTTGAATCCGCTATATAACGTAACAGACTTAAAAAATCTAATCGATCGAGGCAACGTACTTTTTTTCACTCAACCAATTTTGTAATATATTTACCCAATAAATTCAAGATGGCAAACAAAATCTATCATTTCTACAACCCGTAATCTACTGAAGCCATCACATCACCAAGAATCATCTGTTAATTCGAGCCGCAGCATCACGTACTAGTGATGAAGTCGCAAGTATAAACTAGTATTCCATAATGAGCACTAGCGCATAATCTTTCACTCTGTACATTCAATACTCTGTGATTCTACTAAATAACTACCGCAAGTAACATACGAAATAAAGAGACCATACTTTATATCACATATACAAACCGTAGAGGTAATAGTTGCACGAATTTTAGAATGTGATCTTATCTATAACGAAATAGAGTTCATTACACTACGCGGCGGGCGCAGCTGTCTCCGCGGCGATGCGGTTCATCACGGTGGTGTAGGCGAGGCCTAACGCCCACGAAACCTCGTGACCGTTCACTTTCTTGAATAACTGTAAATGTAAATGTTCAAGGAATGAACTACATATTAAAGGTACACCAGCTGATTCAGCACAAACGTCGTTTATCTATATAAATTAAAATGACTATAAAAAATAAGAATCGGTAACAGGCGAGATAGATAAAAATTTTGGGTTGTATGTATTTTTTTTATAAAGTGGCATTTATAACAAAATCAACATAAAATGTTAGGGTTGGACAAACCCTAAAATTATATTTTATACGTTTACATTTTGCATTTTATTAAGTAATCTTATATATAAAAGTCTCGTGTCACAGTTTTCGTTCCCATACTCCTCCGAAACGGCTTGACCGATTATCATGAAATTTTGTGAGCGTATTGAGTAGGTCTGAGAATCGGCCAACATCTATTTTTCATCCCCCTAAATGTTAGGGGTAGTCCACACCTAAATTTTTATTTTTATTTTAAGGCAAAACAACGTTTGCCGGGACAGCTAGTATTTTATATATTGCAAAGAAAAAAAATCTCCGGGCGCGATTTTAGGAGCGGCATTTATTAGCATTTGGCCCGCCTCTAAAAAAACGAAGATCCAGGATAGAAGGAACCCTCCTTCTATCCTGGATCTTCGTTTTTAGTAAGTAAGTTCGTATTTCGTTTTTACTTAGTAAGTAAGCAAACGGTACTGACCGAGACCGGCTGGTGGTCGTGCATCTTGTAGGCGTCGTGCAGCAGCGCCAGCACGTAGACCAGGTCGCCGCACGCCCACGGCTGCTCCACGTTGGAGGCCGAGCACGCGCGCAGCGCAGCAGCACGGAACGAACCCACCGCCGCCGACCCGCCCACCACCACGTCTGCGTCCGACACACCGCACAGGTTCGTTTCACATTTTAGGAATAAGTTGCGAGTTCAGAGAAACAGTCTGCCCATTAGACTGTTGTTAGAATAGAATAGAAAATCATTTATTCAAATAAACTTATATTGAAGCACTTTTGAATAGTCATCACATTTTTTTAATCTACTGCTCATTCGGAAAGCTGTTTCGTCACAAGCAGAACAAGCTAGAAACTTTACACCTCCCGCACCCGTTTACGAGTATGACGTGTATGTTTTTATTAAATTCAATCTGTTAATACTATTCGATTATTTTATGTTTCTATGTACAACTAAAAATTTCATCAGAAATTATAACAATAATTTTATTTTGTACCCAATATTTACAATTTAAATTGTTCCCTGGTACCTAAACTAAGTAGAAACTTGTATTTTAGGTACCAGTTCCCTTCTCTTACAATTCACAATGTTTAGAATTACAATTTATAAAAAGACAATTAAATAAGTTAATAACACAAGCTTATCATTATTTACTTGCAAAGTGTATGTGTATGTGTGTGTGTGTGTGTGTGTGTGTGTGTGTTGTGTATGTGTGAGAGAGAGGATAAGAGAAGAAGAAGGAGAGATAAATATTAATACCAATACTAATACGGGGACACTAGTACTACTACTACTAATTGTCTTACGTCCTTCGCGGAGTAGGCTTCGTTACGTGCAGTCATAGCCGCCACGTAGCTAGTGATGAGCGTACTACTCACCGATGATGCCCGCGTCCGCGGCCACGTCGTAGAAGTAGGACATGGCGGCCACGTCTCCGCGCGGCGGCTGCGTGGGCTCCCAGTCGAGGGTGCGGGCGAGGTACTGCGCCACGACGCCGTGGCAGCGCGCCACCGCCGCCTCGCGCTTCATACCGCCCGCACGCGGCGCCCCACTGCCGGGGACACGGATGGACTCATTTGCATTGCCTTTATACGACACACTTTTGAGCCAGCGCGCGCAATTGTGAGTTAGATTACATTTTACAATTTTTTGTGATGACTCTTTCGCGCGTGATAGTGCGGATATTTAAAGCAGTTATTCTTTTTTATTAGTTATTTTTTTAATACACTATTTCTATTTTTGAGTCACTACTGTGACTACTCCTAAACACATAAAGAGAAAAAGATTTTAATGTCAAGATACGTTTAAGAACTCTTATATATATTATTTTGCTCCATAGTTAGATGTCAGCCATTTTGCAATGATAATTAAATATTAGCAAGTCTTTAAAATACGACCGATCGAAGAACGCTGGAATGCACGAACTGGCGGCGCTAGCAGTATTTCTCCATCTCTTTGTCTACATTCACATGCATATTCTTTCCTACATGATTCTATTAGCGCGTGAAATAGCATACGCATAAAGATAACTATTGGGAGAGGTGACCCAATATATGTTTTCTTTATTACCATTACCATCTAAAATAAAAAGATTTAATTGTCGAAACCCGTTGAACCTGTATTAGAAATCCGACCATATTCTACTATATATAATATACAATATAACTTACCTGATGATGTACTGCTTGTTAGCGTACGTCCAGGGCTCACGCTGCACGATAGGGTCAACGCACACAGACGTGAACTCGTTAGTATTATTGTCGCCCGCCTCCATACGGAAAATGCCGTAACGTGCTGCCAATAAGCCCAAGTTCAGGTAGCTGTCGATAGAACAGAATAGAATTTTTTATTGAAATGTCCTTACGAAGGTAAACTGTAAATTGTCGTCTGTGTGTTTACATCAACAGGTACTCTGCTTCAGCGTATATGGCCAAATTTTCCGGAACGTCAGATTTATCTGGTAAACACACTTTATATAAACGATTTGATACCAAGCAACCATTCCTTAACAGGAATCTCTTTCTACTTAGTGATGTTAATCAAAATATTCCAGCATCGGTAACAAGCAGTACATCATCAGGTAAGTTATATTGTATATTCTACTATACATAATATACAATATAACTTATTAAACGATATAAACGATTTGATACCAAGCAACCATTCCTTAACAGGAATCTCTTTCTACTTAGTGATGTTAATCAAAATATTCCAGCATCGGCAATACTACTTAAATAAGTGGGTATCGATACTTACTAATTTAAACACTACGCGAATCACATTTCCATAATACTCATCCCTATAATATCGACACTTGCAGGACTAACAAACAAGGTATCGCCATAAGGACGTCAGTTGGTTTGCAGTATCAGTTCATAAAAATAGTTACGTGACGATGAGTGGTGATGATGGTGATGATGATGATAATGATGACAGTGATGATGATACCTGTGCGTGTAGAGCGTAATGTTGTTGTTCCCGGCAGGCACGAGGTATCGGTCTGCGGCCGGGTACAGGGCTGCGTCGCGCTCGCTCACCCGGTACGTGATCTGCGTGGAGCCGCCGCCCAGGTCCAGCGCGGCCATCGTCTCACCGTCCATCAGGTCTGGTGACAGTATCCCAACCAGTTAACACTCAGTCATAGGCTTACTATACTGCGGTTCCAATAGATCTTATAGAAAAGGTAAACAAAGACGCTAACCTAGCCATAGCCACCAGCTAGGGTGGTAAGGTGGTAAGGGATAAATGTTTTAATGGCAATAGTAGACAGTGAAGTGACATATATATAAATTTGTTTTATAGTTTTGAATAAAGAATCCAAAAAAATAAACTTTAAATATATTAATATCAAAGGAGTTTCTCAACAGTTAGTAATGTGTAATAATGATCCCATAGCTAGAAATACCATGTTAGGTAGGCCTCTACGCAATTCTCCCTGGAAACCATCATGATAAATTCCTGTCAATTTTACATGATAGGCTAACTGACCAGACCTCATCTCATCATCCTCCACTAGTGCTGCGCAAGCGAAACCGTTAGCGCAGGCGGGTGCGCTATTCCATTATCATCCATTAACAAACTGTGCAACAAAACCAATATAACACAAATAGAAGGAAAAGACGATACTCACTATGCAGTAAGTTTAATGTGTACCAAATGAAGATACCCTCATCTGAGCCGTCCATTATCTCAACACTGTTACTTCCCACATCATAGCCTAATCTGAAATGATATAGAAGCAATTATAATAATGATATAGATATTAACACTAAGCTATTAATATTAATTGCCTGATAGTGCCTTGTTCTGAGACGATACACGTTTCGCAATATGGGTTTACATTCAATAGCGGAATAATCACTATTACTGGTTACTCCAGTAATATTAGTATATAATAGTAAGTAAGTATTTAAGTTTTGATTTTTTTCGAACTATTCTAATGCTGTTGGTCGTGGCTGGCCTTTACAGCTTCACCGGACGATAAAGGGCGAGTGCAGATGACACTCCGAACCTGCGGAAGGACTTATGGAGCTGCTGAAGGCCAACTCCTATTAGACCGATACGGCCAACTCCTGTTTGAGATAATCTTAAAGGGGGTGGTGAAATAGGGGATGAAAGTTTGTATAAACGAAGTCGTGGGTATTGGTTAGCAAATTATATAAACTCACGGTGCTATAGCTTTGGAGACGTGTACAAGCAACTGTTGCGCCTTCTCCTTGGGCAGTAACCGCAGGCCGGCCGTCGCGCGCACTATGAGCGGCGTCGACTTCCGTTTCTCCTCTGGTATGAGGAATTCAGCTTTTTTTATTAACTGCACTATTGTGTCGGCGCCCTATAATGATAAGACAGTAATAATATTATTTATTGACGGCCTCGGTAGTTCAGCACACCACCTTACTTCAGATGGTCGCAGGTTAGATACCTCGCACGATACAATTGAATACATGAGTATAATTGTTTGTATCGGTCTGGGTGTTTTATTGTGTATTTTATTAAGTATATATTTACATCAGTCGTCACTTAGTTCCAAGCTAAAAAGAGCTTGTATTATTGCTACCAAAAAAACGGATGGAAACACTGTGAGTTACTACATTCATAATATACATAGGTAACACCCAACCCAATACAATCATAAAGAGGATAAATATGAAATGAAATGAAATGTTATATATTATATATTATCGAATTATATATTATCGGTATTGTTTATATTATTTTGTTTAATTTCGCTGCCATTAGCGTGTGTGAGACTAACAATATTCGGTGTAACCTGACCACCGCTACTGGACCTTATCTTCTCTATTAGTGATCAAATTCCAACCATAACTGGATGGATATTTCTGTTCTCACACTCTCTCTCCGCTACCAAAATAATATAAATCCATTAAGTTAATATGTTTGAATTTCTGTTAATGAGTCTTAATCTGCTGACCGGATTCAAATGAAATTTGATACATAGATACCGATTACAACAAAACACATACACATACATAGGACACTTCTTTCTATAATATATCATTAGATTTTTCCAAATTACAGCGTTATCATACCTTTTCAGGTTCGTCCGCAAACGACGATAACCCGGGCTTCGACTGCTCAAAATATTCATCCACGAGATCCAAATTCGCCTGACCAAATACTGAAAAAAACATAATTATAAAATAAACAGATGTAAATAAAAAACTCCAGTGAAGAAACTATTGCTATTGGTCATAGACATATCAATAAACATCTAATAACAATTTAGATGTTTATTGATTTGTCTATGACCAATAGCAGTATTTAATAGGTATTTTTAAACTTTCGTGTTTAATATACATTATTTATATTGTTAATTGGTTCTGAAAACGAATAATATAAAGGTAAATAAAGGTATTTACCTCTCTCGACGTATAGACAAATAACATTAAAAACAAACAATATTAATCTATAATCTATTTGACCACAGACTAACAATAAACAAAAGAGTGTGTTTGACACACATACAGTCTGTGTATTTTTTTATGCATAATTAAAAAAAGAATTTTTTTAATTATGCATAAAAAAATACACAGATCAGTCTGCACTCCTTGTTCTTCATGCGTTTCGGACAACTAAGATGTCATGTCTATATGACCTGTAATTTTATTTGTTCGTCTGTATTTGCCGTTTCTCGTAATGTCAATGATATGTTGTTTGTGGTGCTTTTTATATGTACATAACAAACTTTTGTACAACCTTTACTAAAAGTTACTACAGGGTCATTTACAGGGTGATTTATTTTTCTGATTGCTATGATGACTTAATCTGTCGCCTGCTTTAGTTTATCGTCGTGTTTTGGCACACCTGTATAGGCAACAGCTGCTTCAACTTTCTTCCATTCCATTTAATATAAAAAATACAAACCTGTGAACGGTACTCTGAACCTATACGCCAGCACTCTGGACCCTGAGGAGCCAGCGTCAATGATCACCGCATAGTGGTGAACGCTCTCATATCCTAAACTTTTGGCAATACCGTCTAACCATTGGGCTTGACCTGCAAATAATCCTGTAACAAAAAAAAATATTAGCAAACTTCCTAGATATCTCTGGACGATAGATGATGATGCGAGGGTACCTCAGTCACACGCTGGAACCTAAGTGATCTCGGACAGTGCTGTTTCAGAGGAGTTTTCAATTAACACAGTGCTATCTAGTCCCACGGTAAACAGGGTACTAGAGAACTGATGTAAATATTTTTATGTATATTTTTTAAATACATACATAATATACATAGAAAACACCCACCGATATAAACAATCATACTCAAGTATACAACTGTTTGTAACCTGCGAGAAATCGAACCCACCACCATTGTAAGTAAAGCGGTTTGCTAAACTGCTAGACCACCGAGGCAGTCAAACGTTTACTCAGGCGGGTGCAACATTCCATTATCATCCATTAAAAAAAATCTATCTACAAAAAGAAACCTTAAGTTGGAATTCTAAACTACTAGATCGTAACGTTCCTGGCTTTATTTACTAAACAGTTATTTGGGGTTAACTAGTTAGTTAAATATCATAGCTGCAACGAGTCATATCGCGAATAACGAGGTATGTACCACAAACAAACATTTGAATAGCGAGCAAAATACATTATTCATCATTACATATATAATATGTTTAATTTACGATTGTCAAACATGTTAACAATGACGGCGATAATTATACAAATATATGCCAAATATTACACTTAAGTGCAGAATAGACTACCTCTGTGGTCTAGCGGTTTAGCACACCGTTTTACTTCCGATGGTCGCGGGTTCGTTTCCTTCGTTTTATTATCTCCTATAGCTCTGCTTAATTTTGAAATAGTTACTTATCTAAGCCAATATTATGAAGACTACTAACTTGTTGTTTATTTATAAAGCATTTGCAATTTATTGTAAAAATAAAAATCAAAATAGAATGTCATACAAAATATAATAACATAGAATAAAAAAAATTGTAACACTTTTGCCCAACAATGAGCAAGAAGTCAGATAAAGAAGGATTTAACCACGATTGTTTCAAGGGGCACTGCACAGAGATCGTTAGACATGGTAAGTTGCTAGCAATCTAGTCACTGGTTACCATTTTTAACCACCCGCTCCCCCCCCCCCCCCCCCGCCCCCTCCCCCTCCCAAAGAGGATTGTTATAATTATTCTATATTCAAATGTACACATCATTTACATTCATTGGAATACAAATTAACAAACAAACAACATGGCAACCAAGGTCAAGGTCCGATAATGAGTTCCATAGACAAAAACTATCGTATTTTAATTTTTATGTCATTTAAAGTCAATAGTAATTTAGACAGTGTTACGATTTTTTTAATTATATGACTGTTACAGCCACTTGTATTTTGGATTAGTACGTGTTCTTCAAATACGAAAATGCTTAATTTTAAGTTTATTTGAATAAAAAAAATTATATTCTATATATATAATTAAAATTGGAGTGTCTCTTTGTGATATTGAAATAACAGTTTTTTACTATATGCATATGAATATAAATACGGTAGGTACATACACCAAAATAACATTTTTTACAATTTTTGTCTATCTGTCTGTCTATTTGTTCCGGCTAATATCTGAAATGGCTGGACCGATTTTGACGGGTCTTTTTTTGGCAGGTAGCTAATGCAATAAGAAGTAACTTAGGCTACTTTTATTTTAGAAGAATTCTTTAATTTCAGAAAAATAAAGTTAAATTCCTGGCGGACGAAGTCGCGGGAACAGCTAGTGTGAAATAATAAATTCCTTAAATCAAACATAAAACTTCCTGTTTTTATCTATTAAAATTTTTATGTTTGCCTATAAAAGTTTACTTTGAATTTATATAACATTTTACTCTAAGAAATAATTAAAATTGATAAATGTTTTCTTTGAAAGTAGAACTGTATTAGTAGTCTCGTTTGATTATTTGATTTACTAGCTGATTAACATTGTACGCGTGGTATCCAGCATAAAAATAGCATAACTTTTTGCACTAATGCGCACAACGCAAACAAACTAACATGTTTGTTTGTGAACCGATTGCAATGTAACAAACACAAGAAAACTTACTATACCTCAGTCAAAACATTACTAACATCAGTTAAGACATTTCTGAGGTTACCTGCACAAACGGTAAACCAAATAGTACCTACAAAATGTAAAAGTACTGCAAGAAATTTAACATAGAATATGTATAATTTATTTTTACTAATTATGGTAATACCGTTTATAAAGGTTACAAGAAACTATTTTTTAAACATCCTATGATTTTTTTTATTCCTACTAATTTAATACCGTTAAAAAAAGGATAGAACAAATACCTGCAATGAGAAGGGGCAATGTACGCACTACAGTTGTCTCGTTGGCCATTTTGCAGTACACGATCGGGAACAGTTATCTACTCACTGTACATATAAGGTAAAGTACACACGTCCGTCGGTCTACGCGACTCGTTGGACCACTGACCAAGGAGCGACCGGGTTCGTTAGGGTACGAACACACGAGTGAGTATGCGACAGAATGCGCCGCTGACGTAATCTTAGCAAACTGCATTATTAGGGAATGAGTGGAGTGAGCAAATAGGGTTTAAGATAAGGCATGAGTAATGGTAATAATTGTACACACTATAAGACACTAACAACGGGTTTTCAAGTCATGTTTTGTGTAAATATTATTACCAACTAGCCACTCACCCCGACATCGCACGAGTATAAATGTATTATACATATAAACCTTCCTCTTGAATCGCTCTGTCTATTGCTAAAAACTGCATTAAAACCCGTTGCGTAATATAAAAGATATAAGTTTTGTTTGTTAACTAACTTAACCTAACTTTGTTTTATACTATGCAAAGATATCTCGTTAACACATAAAATCTTACAAGTTATAAGCACCTGACCAATACCTAGGCGAGGTACTAGCAATGTACAGTGCAATATGAAAGAGAGTCGATTCTGTGAAGTAGAGAGTAAACTCCGGAACTGCACTTATATGTCAAATTCTTTCAGCTTGATAGGTACAGTATTCTAAAGTAACATGTTACAGAAAGAAAGAAAACCCACGATAAATCAATAAAGCCGATTTTAAGATTAGCGACCGCAAATAAACAGAGAAAAATTCGTTTGTACTTTAAGGATGATAGGATCATCAGAAATTAACCAAGAAGGTTTACATGGGGGACATAATGGCTGTCGACCTGATATGATTAGTAACATTGTTAGGAACTAGTCCCCGTTACTAATAATCCTTTCCCCCAAGCGCACATTACAACTATTCCTTGTTCATCTTATTTCCTTTCATATGACTCTTTCTACAGATGAAATTTACTATTATCCATAGACGCATAGCATAAAATATATACCACACACATTTCAATACATATCAATAACAAATGCAATAAAACCGTTATAATTGATTTCATTGAATTATTATAACAAAATGTCCGCGAACAATAGTGAAATTCGACATTGAATACATTTCACGCAATACACGTTAAATATTTAAATATGCTTCTACAATAACCACGTTTTCTTACGTCATTTTAAAAACTATATTAGTTTCTCACTGAAACCACGAAACGAGTTTAGAAAAATACCATATTCAAACAAAGGAATATTTATGTGTAATTAGGTTTAAACTGTTACACATGCAGTTTAATTTAAAAGAAATCATGGTCACTTCTGTAGGAATCCATCTTTTTTTTTTTCGGACTACTACAATGCTGTTGGCCGCGGCTGGCCTTTACAGCTACACCCAACGATGGGTGCGAGTGTAGATGGCACTCAAAACCTGCGAAAGGACTTATGGAGCGGCTGAAGAAAACGAGCTAACAGCTAACGACTTTAGTCTGAATGCAAGCTAGGGGTTCGAACCTCCCCACGTAGGAAAAAGAGGGTTCGATCCTCAGGGCAACAAGTACATAAACTCATAGCTTGATATTTAATAACCTATAACTTTCTTCAAGAATTTTGTTACGAATTGGTAAAATATTCTTTCAACTACGAATGGACTTCCTGAGTTCAGCACTAATGTGCTGTTTGTTTTAATAAACAAACTCTGTAGCTTTGTATATTAGTTATTAACAATAAATGAAACGAATGAGACGATGATTTCGTCACGGTTACGAAAACAACACACCATACATACATTGTGGTGACGGAGCAACAATACAATCACTTCTATTTGTCATATAAATTTGTATATATCTTAGAATTATACAATTTCGGAGGACGCCAGTTGCTGAGTGTGAGAAATACCATCCTGATCAACTGGATGATTGGTGGCCCTCCACAGTGCGGTTTTCTAAAAACTTTTTGCCACGCACAATCACATTGTGGAATCACCTTCCAGCAATAGTATTTCCGTACCGATATGCTATTGAAACCTTTAAAAAAAAGAGTTTATTCCTTCTTAAAAGACCAGCAACTCTCTTGGTGTTGCGGGTGCTCGTGGGTGGCGGTAATCATTTTGAGCTTTTTAGTTAGTCAGGTAGTTAATCACTGATAGGCTAGTTGGTCCCTTGTGCTATAAAAAAATGAGGGCGTCGATAATCGCAACACAGTTTTATACCCCTGTGAATCGTTCTTCAGTATTTGTACACATATAAATATTATTATTAGATTATTAAAAATCACCAGGATAGTACAAAAGCTGCACAGGAAAAACAACGCACAAATACATTGTTACAAAAGATCTAAATTTAACAATATGTGTTAGTATTGTTAAATTTAGAGGCTCGACTGTCATTATTGTAGTGATAAGGCAGTAATTAAAATACCTTCACGACTATAATCTCAAAAGGTATAATCACCTTTTAAGACTAACTATCCATTATCATGTCAGATGGGGTATGATGACCATACATGACCATACATGATCATGACATACCATAACCTCTATATCTAGATTGTCAAATGAAGTCATGCTAAACGCAACATTTATTCCCCCAACCAACGAACTGTTGGGGGGGCCAAATGTTGCGTTTACCGTGACTTCATTTGATTGTTAGTAATGTGGACTAATATCACTATTGTTGACAATATACCATGTCAGGTTCACTGCCACGAGGTTCCCCCTGGAAATATCCTGGCGCATTTGGCACGATGAGGTAACTAACCTGACCCATGCTTATCTTATCATCCACCAATGGTACCCCGCCAGCGTAAACCATTATTGTAGACGGGTGCACCAAATAGTTATCTACAGCATGAGGTTTTTTAAGAAAGGTATATTAAGGTTTCTTGAGGGCCGGCAACGCGCACGTCACACCCCTTGTGTTTCAGGCGTCCATAGGCTACGGTAAATGTTTACCATCAGATGGGCCGTATCTTGATTGCCACCAACGTGGTATAAAAAAAATGATCACTAATTTAAAAAAACGCAACATTTAAGAAGCCCAATATTTCAATCTATATCAAATATACACTAGACAAGCCCGCATTTAACTCTCGGTCGAATATACAATTTGAAACCAATTTGGCGCCAGCCTAGCGCCGTCTATCCGATTTTTTTTAATGTACCTGAAATAGCAAAACAGTTATCGGCCCACCGGGTTGTATTTGAACGAACCGTATAATTTGGCAACCTTCGCAAACCTTTGGCAAATAAAAAGTATTTGGCAACCTTCGCCAATATAAGAATAACTTTTATTTCTGAAATCTTAACTTAATTAACATTTAAACTATGAACCCGAATATCCACTCCAGGGAGCAGGGGATTGTTAGTAACGTGAACTATTAACCCCATTGCTAATAAGGTACCATGTCAGATGGCTAATTGACCTGACTTATGATCATCTTATCGTCCCCCACTGGTGTCCAGCGAGTGTAAACCGTTAGCGCAGGCGGGTGCACCATTCTATTATCATCCACAATAAAATATACCCTCCATTTATACACGAACACTGCCAGGGACATTGCATCATCACATGACACCCATGCGTTCTCATTCCAGACTTATCCTATAATCATGCAAGCAAGCTGCTTGGCGGCTGAAATAGGTATGACTGGGGGGAATGGGATTATTAGTAATGTGGACTCACGACCCTATTACTAGCAATGTACCATGTCAGATCGACCTCCACGCGGTTCCCCCTGGAAACCATCGTGATGAATTCCTGGTGAATATGTCACGATGAGCTAACTGATCTGACCTCATGTTCATCTTATCATCCTCCACTGGTGCCCCGCCAGCGTAAACCGTTAGCGCAGGTGGGTGCACCATTCCATTATAATCCGTAAAAAAAAAATAGGTATGACTGAGGTATCCTCGCAGATGACTGCTAATTTTGGAAAATCAATTTTATTGATTCACTTTATAGGCTAGTTTAGCTATAAAATATAATTTTTGAGTGAACACAGTTTTATATTAAGCATTTGATATGTATACCCAACTTAAATTAAACATAAAACATGTGCAGTTGCACATGTTTTCAGTCGATTCGGTCTACAATTATGTAGTTACATAATTGTAGACCGAATCGAATTTCCATAATTTGTATAGCCGATATGCTAATTATATACGGCTATATTTTACAAGTAAATTTTTATTTCACTTTGAAAGCCAGTAAAAATATTATTATAGAGAAGCACAATTCAATAAATGGGTCACTCACCTAAAAAGTATGTGACAAATAGTGCTAATAATATGAGTAGAATGAATACTTTCTTCAAACGACGAGGTTGCTTTAGTGTCCTAGATCTTACATTGATATGTGAAGCTGAGGTATCATCTCTTAACTGTAACCAAAAACATTTCTGAATAAATTAAAAGATTAATTAAAATCTCCATCATAAACAATGTTGCCATATTAGGAAAAAGGAAATATATGTCTGCCTCTATTCCACATTGCTTAATAGGATCCATAGTAATTGTGTTAATTCTGAAATAATTCTACATTGTTATGAAATTCAGAACCACTTTTGAAGATTATAGGATATTAATATAAATCATTTATCAATTTTGAAGAAAGACTAACATGAAATTCTAAAGTAATAGTTATCGAAAATCAGTTCTAATAACAGCATATATTGTATAATAATTGTAATAGGACCAAAATGATAGTGAATGATAATAGTATCTACATTATCAGTCAGTATTCATTATCATCATCTGCTTCTTCCTTATCCCATTTATTTGTGGTCGGCGTAATATGTTTTTCTCTTCCATTCATCCCTGCTCACAAATTATACAGTTATTTTGTTCTTTTTATTTTTTTTATACCTGTACTAACATTTGATTGTCAACCAATCAATCAATCACAATATATCTATGTATTCATGTAGGTCCAATACAGACTCTTACGATATGTCAAATCTACCATTATGAGTGCTTTCAAGCTAAGAAAATCAGCTCTTATTCTTTTACTATAAAAAATATATTTAATTCATATGAAATATTATAGTAGGTGCTATGTGAAAGACAGAGAAGAGATATCAGTTCTAAATTTAAATATTTAGTTTTCATAAATCATAGATAAACAGTAACTCCAAAGTGGAACACCAGTAAAACAGCTGCTATCCAAATTAATCTGTGTAATCAGAAAAATAAATAATATTATCTATCATCACACTATATCTTCAAGAAGGGTGCCTCTATTCATAGTAAATAGTATGAGTAATATTTTATATTTATATAAAATATAAAATGCCTGTGACATAAGGGATAAAATAAACAATAATTACTGCTATATTTTTTAATGTATGTATTATATCGTTTTTGTAAATTACCTATGTTATTGTTTTTGTAAGTTGCTTGTCTTTGTATAACTGTTATTTTCTAATTCTTTATATTGAACAAATAAACTATTTTAAAAATTATAATTTTTAATTTGCTTTTTAATTCATGGATATTATTTTTAATGTTGTAGCTTCATTGCAAATAAATCTATAGTTATTTTTAGACTCTTATTATTCCTTAACGATTTTAGGTATTACTTGTATTGTGTATTACTTGTATGTATACTATAATGTTATTACTAAATTTTATTTAGAATAATTTTTATCTATATTTTTAACTCTATTGAACACTTACCTCTAAATACCTGTAAGTACTGAACTTTCCCATAACGGAGTAAAATAAACATCACAACCAGAAAATACCTTCAAATAATACTTAAGATTTTAAATATACTGCAAAATACAAACATTATCAATATTTTTTCTAAATAAAAATATAAAAGTTGCACGTATTAAAATGGTAAGTAAAAATTGATAAAAACAACACACACGCGTTAAAATTTTGCTAATAGTTAAGAATGTCAAAAAATACAGATGATATACGTCAATGTCATGATTGTCAGTACAGACAAAAACAGGCTCACAGAGTAATAATTATATTTTTATGTAGCTTTTGACAATTGAATAGATATCATTTCCATGTTTTCCACCCCGTTGACTTCTAATTTAACTTATACCTATTTAGAATTCGTACAGCAAATTAAGAATACTTACAAAAAAATACTTATCATAAACTAAATATAGTTATTAGTAATTAGTAGCTGAGGTGTTATCAATATTTACTATTGCAAAATAGTGAGTGATTTAATAATAAGCAATTATCGTTATCGTTTAAATAACTTGTCCAGATTTTATTTTAGTGTACCATATTGTGAACAAATTGTGTGCACAGAAACAGCCATGAATTGTACAGACTGCAAATCGATTGATTGATTGATAATGATTGACCTTAAATTGTATGTTTGTACTTTGCAACAAACAATATCAGTGACGCAATTTTATTCATTCGCCACTTTTATGAACTTATTATTACTTTGGAAATTAAAATATACGTTAAAGTACAATAATTAAGTTTAAATAATACTTTAGTTAATTTTGTTTCAATATTATTTTTAATTGACTTGAGTTGACACACGAAGTGATCGAAGTTTAGAAGTTTGTGATTCTACCTCTAGAGTTAACACGTTACATTAACTCTGTAAACGGTAACTAAACTAATAATCATCAATAAAGACAATCAACAAGTTCACCAACTTAATTTATTACTTTTTTATTATTAAAGATGTCCATTCAATAATTAAATTTGCTTTTACGCTCTATAAACTCTAGTTCAACATATATATTTGAATTTAGAACAATAACACAGAATAACTAAGTATTAAACGTATAATTTAAGATAACCTTGCACAGAATTTCTTGAGTGTTTTATTCATTTTAGGTTATAACAGGGAAGTCTCGTGTAAGTACGTACTGAGATATTATTATAAATTATTAATATAAATTAAATACCTTTCGCTGTCGCACACTCATTTTCCTATTGTGTAATCGTTACTTCCAATATTGTGTATATATTTTACTTCACTTTAATAAGATTGTTATTCGAATAATAATTTATACGATCAACCTGTAAGTACATATACGTAGATCTAACGAAACAAAACTTATTAAAGTGAGCATCGAGCGAATGACGTGCAGCTATAAAGATAGTAAATGAGTACCATAGACATACTTATAAGCGGACATTTCAGGTGCCATTCAGGACTGGTACCGCAGATTTGTTTACATCTACGTATGATGATATAACTCATTAATTATATGACTTGCATTATATATACAATAGTGTATCTAGGCAGTTATGTAGGTATAAGCTATGAGAGTACTAGGTTATCTATATTGTATAATCAAATAGAAATTATAGCTGCTTTATAAGTGCCTTTATTCTTAATAAATGCGTTTTGAGTATGGATGGATGGATGTTTATTACTTTTTAACCCAAAATCTGCGAAACTGATTTTCATGAAACTTTACAGTAATATGGCCTATACATTAGAATAACACTTTTTAAGCTATAAATTTCATAACGGGTGAAACTGCGGGCATAGCTAGTTTTATTTGTATATAGGAAATAATTTTTGTCATACCTACCATTCATTATATTATTATTAGATATACTTAAATGTGTAAACACTTATACCTAAGATTTATAAACCACAAATGAAGTAGGTACGGTATTTAACTCACAGTCTTCTAATTTGTGGAGAGTAGGGGAGGGGCTTTACGAGAGTTTTTTTTTTAATTTAAGGGAGTAACAACCATTTAATATTAGATTGACCCATTGGAAATTATCGTGGTTAATTTCTGACGAAGTCGCCTTGAAAGTCTGCTCAAGATCTTCCTTAAATGGTGATCCGTCAGCGTATACCTTTAGCGCAGGCGAGAGCACGGGCACCATCTCTTATTTATTAGAATTGAATAGAAATTTATTCAAATAAAATAAAAATAAAATACAAGCACTTTTAAATAGTCATAATTGTTTATTCTTCCACTCATTCGAAACGCAGATTTATCACAAGAAGAACGGAGCAAGAAATTATAGTGTTGCTCTTTTAAATATTTAAAAAAAAATTATTATAAAATAACAAGTATGAGGAATGCGATAATCAACATAGAAACCGCTACGCTCTCATTATTAGTGGAATCAGATAATATTGTCAGCGGGTTTTTTTACAAAATCAATTAAAAAAGACCTTCATGTGAAATAGAAAAGTATCCCTCCAATAAATGTAACGGCTAAATAGTTGCATTAAAATCGGAACATCAACAGCGATGTCTAACATACGCTTCCCCGACCTTGAACACAAATTGCTTGCCAGCGTGACTATACAATCTTAGTATATAGTAGGTATAGATATGTTTGAAGGTTAAATTATACTTATCATGTGTTATACAAAACTACGAATACTATTAACAAAAGAGCGGCAGTGTTTATTGTTAAAAGTAATGGTATAAAACCTTTTTAGTGGTTTATTTCATAATTTTCAAATATAGAATCTCGAGCGATCGGCTTTTGTTCTACTTCTTTTTTTTTCTGTACGCTATTTTTTTATTGTATACTAGCTGTGTTCGCGGTTTCGCGCCCCGCATCCGCATGAAATTTCAATAAAAATATAGCCTGTGTTATTCTGATGCATAAGCTGCATACTGTAAAGTTTCATCAAAATCCGTTCAGTAGTTTAGTGAAAGAGTAACAAATATCCATACTCACGAATTTTCGCAATTTTTTTTTCAATTACTGATATTATATTAATATTATGTCACGAATGTTATACATGCGAAAGTAACTCTGTTTGTATGTCTATCTGTCACGCTTTCATGCCAAAACTACTAAACCGATTTAAATAAAATTTGGTAAATCCGGTCATTTTATTTGCAAAAGAGTATGTTGTATATATATATTGGTGTTTGCATCATCGGAGAATTGGACATTAATGTAATTACTTTATCGGCCATATTCAAACTTGCGACCCAAGGTGTAAGTAGAATAGGAGTAGTAAACTACTAAGCCACAACGGGCAATAAAAAGCTCTACATCTTGAGTCTGTTATTGCGCGTCTGCTATAAATCTATATAGTACGTCATATATAGAATAATCTAGTATTATATATAGATTATCTTGATATACAAACAGCTATGTCATCTGCAACTTCGTCTTTACAAATTGTCATTTTCTATTTCACCCTCTTCCAGATTTATTTTAATATAAAAGTTAGGCTATGTCCATTCACATACAGTCTATTCCTTGAAACAATCAAAATATCTTTATTCATGTAGGTCTATTACAGACTCTTATGGTATGTCAAATCTACCGTCAGTTCGGAGTGCTTTCGAGCTCAGAACTAACAAGAAACTCGGCTGTTTTATTTTCAAATGAGCTTGTATATAACTAGGCAGAAAAAATCATAAATACAGATTGATTTTTTTATTTAAAATTTGGAAGAATAGTCATCCTTATGACTATTCTTTTTTAGTTATGAAAACTTAACAAACAGACTAATACACACAATTTCATTATTATTATAAACTAGCTGTACCTGCGACACTGTCAGTGTGGAATTTAACTTTATTTTTCTAAACTAAAAGTAGCCTAAGTTACTTCTTATTACATCAGCTACCTACCAATAAAAGTCTCGTCAAAATCGGTCCAGCCATTTCAGAGATTAGCCGGAACAAACAGACAGACAGACAAAAATTGTAATAAATGATATTTTGGTGTATGTACCGTATTTATATTCATAAAAACGGTTATTTCAATATTATAAAACAAACACTCCAATTTTATTTATATGTATAGATTGTTTCAGATGATGATGGACTTAATTAATTGTGAAAATATAAAGAAGTATGGCGTCGGTCGTCGGAAACTGGATGATGTTCTGTTTGCGTCGGATAAGCCACCTCCTCGCCTCGGAGTGTACGATCTGGACGAAGAAAACTTATGCCACGAAGTGTAAGTACATCAATATTGCTATATATGTTTTTACTAGAATCCCAAAGAGGCTTACGGCTCACCTCTCTGTAATTTCACTGCCTTATTGAGATTATATATTAGTGACTAGCTGTACCCGCGACTTCGTCCGCGTGGAATTTAACTTTATTTTTCTAAAGTAAAAGTAGCCTAAGTTACTCCTTATTACATCAGCTACCTACCAATAAAAGTCCCGTCAAAATCAATACAGCCACTACAGAGATTACAGATAGACAAAAATTTTAAATAATGTTATTTTGGTGGTGTACCGTATTTATATACATATGCATGTAGAAAAAAACGGTTAATATAGTATAAATACGGTACATACACAAAAATTTTTTTATTTTACATTTTTTATCTGTCTGTTTGTTCCGACTAATCTCTGAAATGGCTGAACCGATTTTGACGGAACTTTTATTGGCAGGTAGCTGATGTAATAAAAAATAACTTAGGCTACTTTTATTTTAGAAAAATAAAGTTAGCGGGTGCAGCTATTTAGTGAATAAAATCCCATGCATGATGGCTTTTAAGCCTTCTGTAATTTAGTGGGTCTCGTAGTGCTGTTACAAGGATATTAGTATGCGCTCCTATACGATCTCTGTGTGATGTTCAGATTTCCAAACAACAGCAATATTCATAATATTAATACTAGATTTAAAGACAAACTTGCTGTCCCCAAGTATCGTTTAGAAAAAGTCAATAGGTCTTTTATGGGAATAGGTATAAAATTTTACAATAAGATACCAAAGGATATATTGGAAGTAACTCTTAAATAAATTCAAAACATCTGTTAAATCGTATTTACTGAGCAAGGCCTATTACTCACTAAACGATTACTTGAATGACGAGCGTGCATGGCAATAGTTTTCATGTTCGGGATTTTCATTTAATGTTAGACATAGACACCTATATAAATACCTAGGCATTGTAAATAAACTGGATTTAAAAAATAAAAAGTAATGCAATTGAGTTTCTTGCCAGTTCTTCTCAATTGGATCTATATACCGAACTGGACGGTAGGGAAAAAAAATCTAATGTAAAAACTTTACGATCATAAGCGGCTAAAATGAACTACATGAATAAATGATTTTTGAATTTGAATTTGAATTTGAACTCATGTTCTGTGGGGGGAAGTGGATTGTTAGTAATGTGGACTCATGACTCCATTACTAGCAATGTACCATAAATTTTATTTTTTGTGGAAGATAAAGGAATGGTGCACCCACCTAATGGTGTTATCAATCCACATTACTAATAATCCTCTTCCCCCCTGTACCATAGGTTAGGTTAGGTTAGGTTGACCTCCACTCGGTCCCCCACTGGTGCCCCGCCAGTGTAAACCGTTAGCGTAGGCGGAAGCACCAATCCATTATCATCCCTTAAAAAAAACTTATGTTCTGTGCTCTATTTCTTCTCTTACTGTTCTCATTCCTGTGTACTCATGCAATTAAGTTGTTCTGATGTATAGAGGTGCAGCAGTTATTTTTTTATTTTGAGTGCTTTATTCTGAAACCGTCGCAAATAAATATTGGATTTTTTGCTGGTCCGAATAACTCAATGCGGTATGTCCAAACTGGTTTTATAAATGAGTATCTTGTTTTCCTCCTACCGTGATCCTCTGCCTGTCAGCCAGTTCAGATTTCTGAGCCGTGCATTCAATTCACCGCATTTTTTTTGATGTACATCTTAGTATGGACATTTTTTTTGCAGAATTCAAACAACATGCAACATCCCCGGGTGCACATTCATCGCGGAATCCATATTGGATTACGAGAATCATTACAACGCGTCACACCGGTACACCTGCACCCAATGTAAGAAGGTGCTGCCGTCACCACACTTGTTGGACCTCCACATACAAGAGAGACATGACTCGTTCTTCGCTGTGATGGCTGAAAAGAAACCTTCTGTATGTTGACTTGAAGACTGTTTATAGTATATCATAATTTTACTAATATTATAAACGCAAAAGTTTGTGTGTATGAATGGGTAAACGGATGGATATTTGTTATTCTTTCACGCAAAAACTACTGAACGGATTTTGATGAAACTTTTCAATAATATAGCTTATACATCAGAATAGAACAACACATTGGCTATAAATTTTATGCGGGTGAAACCTGGACATAGCTAGTTAATAATAATAATATAAACATATAATAATAATAATATATAAATAAACTCATGACAATTCACAGTGCCACGTAGTACCAGGCTAAGCATAGATTGTGTTATAGGTACTAGATATAACTATATACGCCGATAATACTTATATACGCCGTTTTTTTAAAAAACACTAATTACATAATTCTAATTTATGTATTTTCTAATACCCATAACACAAGGTATGCTTAGCTTTGTGAGGCGCCGTCTAACGCTTTGTGAATAATTCAGGTTTATAATTGTTTTTTTAATTTATCTATTACAAACAAAATTTATTTACTGGTTTTACTAGGTAAGTTATATATTTTATTATTTACAGTACTGTTGCTATATAGAAGAATGTAAAGAGAAATTCAAGACTGCCGACGAAAGACTGAACCACTGTGTAAAAATACATAAACTGCCAAAGGATTTCAGATACGAACAAAAAACAAAAATCGGCAAGAAAAAAAAAAGTGGCAACACTAGAAAAGTAGAAAGCAATGAATCAATGGATACAGATGGACCACCTCCACAATTTTCATTTACATATAACAAGAAAAAAGCAGTTACATCTTATACTGGAAGACAATTTACGAAAAATAGTGAGGAGAAAACATCTAGGGATGTAGATATGGATGAAATAGTCGATGAATTAAAAAAAACATTGCCAGATTAAATAATTGTTACCTATTTATTACTTTATTATCATTTCGTAACCTTTGCTTATATTTATAAATATGATAACATACGCCCGTAAAGGCAGTGACCTATAAAATACATACATTATTTACAGATATCCAGTACATTTTTATTACAAACATTCTGTGATAATTTACACTGTTACTTTAGCATTCATACTGAGTTTTACAATATTTGTATAACGTAAACGAAAAAAATCATTGCGAAAAATTATTGGCCAAATATTAATCTCGTTTTAATTTATAATATAATATAATAATCCAAACAAAATAAACTATATATTTTTTAAAATAAAAATATTAGATAATAGAAGTGCATTTATGGCATATTACCAAATTTTTTTTTTAATGTTTATTCTGTAATCTGTCGATTACAGAGATGTTGCATGCTTCTAATTTACGAGTAAAATAATCATATATTTATAAATAAAAAAAGAACTTTATGAAAACATTCCATTAACTAATCAATCTTAATAAACATATGCACATATACATATTATTTTTATTTAATAATATTTGTATTAAATAAAACAATAATTAATAGATCTACTTGGCTTTCCCCTGGGCGGCAACAGCAGCCACTGCCTTCTTAACTGTTTCCTCGTCACCGAGGAACACCATAGAATTAACTGGCTTCAGATTCTCATCCAATTCATACACAAATGGGATACCAGTAGGCAGGTTCAGCTCCATAATAGCGGCGTCACTGAGTTCTGTAATGTAAAAAAAAACTGGAATAGCAAGCAACCCCTCAAAACGACTCAAATGAACATGTATATAAACAGCACTCTAGTTCTTAACTCCTTTTACGCCAGAGAGCCTGCCGGCCCGCGTGCTCACGGGTGGGCACACAACATGTTTTACCAGGGGACCGCTTGTACACCTATGGACATGATTTAAATTTCCATTTATGTACAGTAGTTCATTCGCTGGTCCCTCGAAGAAATACTGCATGTAGCGACTTAGTTCATTTGACATAGCCTCACATAATTAACAATAGAAAAAATGCCAGTCTATATGTGAGAAATAAGATTTTTCAATGCGGTCTTCAACTTGTTAAATAAGAATTCGTGCACTCAATGGACAGCAGATTCGTCTGCCAATCAATCCGATTATATATACTGATTGCGGATATACAAGGAACAAAAATAGGCAAGCTTGCACCCTATCTGATGGTGAGTGGCAATCATTGCCTATATACTATGAATAGCATCACGAACCTAACGTCCACCACTCGATACGCCATCCGAGGACACGTGTGTTTCTAAATAAACTAAAAAAAAACACCTCAGGTATTATCATACATGAGGACTAATTTAACACGGCTCCATACCCTGTTATTACACTTCTGGTTGCAATAAATCTATCAAGTTCTGAACATACTTGTAATCTACTACTGCCCCATACCCCACTCCTATTATTATCCACCAAATCTGGGATAGTAATAACAAGAAGTCGACTCGTTTCGTTGTATGTCGCGTCAAGCACACAAGTTCCGTAACTGATTCATCAGCTGCGATCTCCGCGCGATCATCGTATTTAAAACATCATCTAGTGCACATCAGCGAAGTGTTGGACATTAAAAGTGGAACATTTACTCATATTTAACACCTACATCCGAGGTGACGCGAAATATATTTGTCCTCAAATTCCCATTTTATTTTACCCATCACCTGTCATGTCTCTTCTTTCAACCGAAATATAGGAACTTTGTACAAAAGCTTTGTTAAATTATTATATTAATATCTCTAGTTGTATTACCATCTAAATGCTTGACAATGCCTCTAAGACTGTTTCCATGGGCAGCAATTATTATCCTTTTGCCTTCTTTGATCTAAAAAAATAAAAATTAATACTAATTATGGATATCACCTACAAAACACCTTGATGAGATAATTGCAACTTTTTTTAGAAAATCATACAAGTAAAATATTGTTATTTTTAAACAGTCGTGTTTAATACACATCTACAATACATAAAGCTTTATTAATTCAGTGTCTTGATATGTTTAATTTTATGGAAAATTAAGGTATTTAGGTATTAATTAATATATAGTTATGTACTAGACCATTCAAAATGGAGTTGGACTGGCCATATGCTTAGCATATGGCCAGTGCAAAATAAATAAATGGAGCAAACAAGAGACTCTCTGGTATCCTAGAGATGGGACCAGAGGACAGAATCGCCAAGAATATGCTGGAAAGACGAAATCAACCTCAGACTCTCAGACTGTTCTGGAACAGGGTTGCGGAGTTTAATGGTTAAAAGGAGCTGGAGGATGTCTATGCCAAAAGGCACAACGAGTTGCGGGACATTTTGTAAACAACAAAATGTACCCCAACTTTGAGGAAAAAGGGCTATATTATTATTATCATCATCATTGTTGTATCATTAACTCAGCTTTTGCTGGTTTTATTATTATTATTATTATTATGTATTAAAATATTGTTTTCTTACCTGTGGAACAATAACATTATTCCAGTATGGCAAAGTTCTCTCTATAGTGAGCTTCAGACTCTCATACATGGGGAACTCCTCAGGTTTAGGATCTCCAGCGTAACGGGGATCTTTCACAATGGTGTCGTAATACGGGTGTTCCTTCTCCATAGGTGGTGGTGGTATGTCGAAGCTGCGACGCCAAATTTGTACCTGAAAATTCATAACTTAATAAATAAGTTGACAAAAATATGCTTAACTAGTTGAGCCATGCCTGACATAAGAGTGTGAGAGAGTAGAGTGGGGCAGACTTAAGAGGAAAAACAGTAATGCATTTCTTTTTTGTATAACATTTCTTTGAAACTCCACTCCAATTGGTTATAACAAAATGTTACATAGCCTATATATCCTTCCTGGATAAAATTCCATTCCATTTTCAATAGTTAGTCACAACTTGTGAAGATTTCAGTCTTGAGGGCCAATGTATGAGAGGTAACCCAGGAATTATATAATAAAGTAATGTCTATAGTGCTATTCATGTACCATCTGGTGGGCTGTAAGCTTTAATACAATTATAAATACAAAGAAGTTACAAAAAAAATTGTAGAAATTAAACTTCAATGGACTGCTGTTGTTCTCCCTCCATTTCCACCAACCTTTCTCTTTCTCTCACATCTACCCCCTCCAGGTAACCCCTTGTCATGTCCGAAAAATCATTATATACTCTGTCTTTACGTCCGTTTTATTCAAAAGTTTCACTTCAAAATAAAACCTGCCTACCTGAGCCTCCCCATACTTGGCCGCAGTTTCTGCCTTATTAAGACCAGTGAGTCCACCATAATGTCTTTCGTTTAGACGCCACGTCTTGTTCACAGGCAGATCTGATTGCCCAATCTCCTTCAGAACGGAATTCAGAGTAATCTGAGCTCGCTTTAGCACAGATGTGTGAGCGACGTCAAATTGATAACCTTCTGCTTTCAAGGCTTGTCCAGCAGACAATGCTTCTTCACGACCTGGGATAGAGAAGAAAATCATATACATCTATACATATAATTAAAATTGGAGTGTCTGTTTGTAATATTGAAATAACCGTTATTTACTACATGCATATAAATATGAATATGGAATATACACCAAAATATTTGTTTTACAATTTTTGTCTGCCTGTTTGATCCGGTTAATCTCTGAAATGGCTGGACCGATTTAGATGGAACTTTTATTGGCAGGTAGCTGATGTAATAAAGAGTAACTTAGACTACTTTTATTTTAGAAAAATATCTAAATATCCTTAAATAAGACAGGATAGCAACAATTGTTAATATGAATATATTGTATCATGCAAATGGAAATGAAATTTATATCCTAAAAATGCAAACGAAAACGCGAGTCATAACTAGTACATAACAATAAACTAGGGCTGTTCCTTAAGCTATTGGGTAGTGTTTTAAATAATCTGTAAGTATTATTATTAAAATGTAATAACAAAATTTAATTGAATTCATCCTATATACAGTTCATTGAAGAAAAATCCTTAATATATACATTGCTTCTTTGGACTAACCTTTATCACTTAAATCAGCATCGAACCATCCGCAAAACAAATTTTTCTGATTCCATTCACTTTCGCCATGTCGAATCATAACAATTTTATATTTCGCAGACATACTGATAACGTAATTAAAGAATTTTAAGGACCGGTTAAATAAGAATGAAGTTCGACCTTCCTTCGGTGTTCAATAACAAATTTTAGGAATGTAAATATATCGATAATATTATTCTTTGACGGAAAATTTCGATTACTTAATCGATATTACAGTATCAATAATACATGCTAAGAGCAATATGTAGATTAAAGTTATACGCCTATTATGAAATAGATTTCTTATATAAGTAAATTACTTTTTTAGTTCAAAATATCCTACCCTACTAATGTAATCTGTCTAATTTCTAAGGCAATGTTTACTATTATTTATCATATTTTATTATCTAACATAAATCACTTACAAATAAACTGCTTAATAATACAAATAAGAAGTGTTTAATTAGGAAACATAACGTTATGAGTTCAGGATACTTAGAGATTATAGAATTTAATCTTTATCCTTACTCCTTAATAATATTATAAATCCGAAAGTAACTCTGTCTATATGTCTGTCACGCTTTCGCGCCAAAACTACTGAACCGATTTAAAACTTGATAATAATTTAAAGTAATTAATACTATCCTTATTAGTTTTACTTGTCAAGTAAAAAGTTTTAAAATTAATTCAAATTAGTAAGAAAAATCGATAAAGGGACAGTAAAAAGTCAATTTGAACATCGATATTTTGATAGTAATCACTCCCAACTCTTGTACCTTCTATTTGTTATTTGACAGATACGACCTTTATGACCTTTGTCAATTTGATTCATGATCATGTTGAACTTATTGCGGCAAGGGACTCATCTTATACTGCCTTAAATTATTTATAAATATACGTATAATTATATTGCTGACACTAAAATGATTAAGATCGTGTAAAAAGTATGTTTAACGAAAATGTAAAATCGGAAGACACGACTGTTAAATGTTTTTAGAGTTTTCCTGATTTTCACGTAAATTTTACGATTCAGACCATCCGAAATTATGTAATTTTTTAAGGGATAATTTGAAGTATGCAATTGCGTTAGTTTTATTTAGTGAATGTTAAAGGAATATAAATGAATGTAAACATTATTTATATTATAATTATAATCTGTGAATTTCAAGACCTCAGTACAAATTGGGCCAACCATTTGGAGCCTTAACTAATCCATTGGAACAATGGTCCTTCTACCAACTGGCAACATTTAATGTTATATTCAGTAAATCAACATTTTTCAATTTTATTTTAATTCATTCTTTAAGAAGTTGAATGTATCTTTATAACTGGTAAGATAAATTAAAATGGTCCATGGAATTGTATTTAATGCTCACAATTTTGTAGAAACAACTCCATACACTTATTAGTAAATTAAAAAGTTGGACTAAACCTACAAATAAAATGCCTCCTAGGAAAAACGTAACTAACACTACTTCTATTAAACTTAAAAAGAGTACTCAGGAGAAGACAACCAGGAAGAAAACATCAAAAGAAAAGCCGAAATTGAAAACCCCTAGTGTAATAAGAATTAGAATGCCTTCCAAAAGTAAGTTGCAAATTTGCTTATGTCGCAAATTTTTTAAATGATCTCATGCTTTGTAATAATATCATAAGTGCGCCAAAAAAAAGTTATGTAGAAGTACCCAACAAAGTATTCCCTATATTTTATTAGTATATTGAAAGGTAATTAAAAGTAATATTTTCTGTTTACTAATTCTAAACGCTCAGACAAGTTTGTCATTATAAAAACCTATAATTTGTTAACTGCTTTGGTGAGAATTTTATTTCTGCCGCATATAACGTAAGCAAATTATATTTACTTATAAATCTTGTAATAATATAAAGGCACAAGCTCTTGAAATGAAAATTTTATTATTTGAAATTTAACATAACTCAATCTGTTATATTTTATTATGAGTGGTAATGGTATGGGTTCCCACCTGCGCTAATCGGTTTACGCTGGCGGGGTACTACTGCAAGATGAAGTCAGGACTGTCAGCCCATTATTGTAAGTTCACATCTAGATAACAAAGTTCTGCTGGAGCAAAAGGGATTGTTAGTAATGAGGACCAACTCCATTGTTGGCAATATACTGTGTCAGGTCAACTTTCATGTAGTTTCCCTTAGAAACCATCATGATAAATTCCTGATGAATGTCCTGATGGGCTAACAGACCTGACCTTATGTTTATTTTATTATCCTCCACTAGTGCCTCACCAATGTAAATCATTAGTGCAGGATTGAGCACTATTCCACTATCATTCATTAGAAAATGTTCTAACATTCAAGTTTCAAGGGAGTGTGGAGGTCAACCTGATAGATATGTAACAATGTCAGTCAATCGAACTATTAATTATCATTACTAACTAAACGAATCTTATAGAATAACTAACACATAGTTACTAAGTTCACTTTATACTCGGTTAGTTATATGGTATTACTATCAAAAATTCATACATCTATTACCAATTGGTTTATTTTTATCCAAAACATTTTTTTTTTGGTAGTTAAGTATCTGCAATCAGTACTGGTACTATAAGCAGGTGAGTTGTTGGTAGTGGGATGGGAGGATCTCTATCCTTTGACTAGCTATTCCAACTAGCTAGAAATCTTTCATCCAGCTCAAGGATATTTGATCCAAAACATAGTGGCGAAGGAATAGAAGTCATTAATACTAAACACTGGTTAATTTATATTTAAATTATTTATTACAGCTACTGAAAATGATTTGAATGGTGATCCACCAAAAAGTATTATAATGAGTCAGACTACCCCAAAATTGCCTAAGAAACGCCTGGTGGTACAAAAAAAAGTAGAAACCACAAAAGGTTTGTGTTTTTATTAAATTTAATCTTCGGTTAAAAAAAGAATAATTGAAGAAAGATAGAGTATGTTGAAATTGGAGATGAAGAATGAAGAATGAATGGATGATGAAGTTGAAGATCCAAGTTAGATTGATATACCTGTTTCTTTTCTTGGATATTCTTTACCTACTAATCATGATTACACTGAAGTGTAAGCACAGTGTCGGATTCAGTCAGTTTTGTGTAGTAGGAACACAGAGTATGAAACTTTTAGTTTATATAAACTATAAGTGTTATTGATATTTTTTTTAATTATGCATAAAAATAGATTAAATTAATAAAAAAAATGTGTTTGACTCACATGCTCTTATATATACTCTTTTGTTTTTTACTATAACTGTGGTCAAATTCTGAATTGAATAATATTGTTTTTTTTTTAATATTAATTGTCTATAGGTAAACTGAATTTTAAATTAATTATGGTTAAATTTCGACTACTGTGTGACCACTATTAATAATTAAATGAAATAATATATGGGGTCTAGGGTATTTACCACTTGGTGTAGTGTGTACACGTTCATTTTATGCTAATAATCCACATATGTTTAATCTTGTGGTGTTGCTTGCCGACCTATAAGAAACCTTAATAAACAACATGTTGTGATATGTAGAGAAAACATAGATAATGAACAATTTCACAATCTGAGTGTGGAATGATACCCCTTCAAAAATCGCACTTCCAATATTGCTTAGGTTCCAAAGTGTGAGGATGAATTCCCTGTCAATGGCAAGTTATCAGTCAATCCCAGTCAATGTAGACATGCGGTAGCGTGTCAAGCCGAGTTTACTGTTAGGCTACAGTATATTATCCTAAGTTATAAGAAGAAATGATATTTTATATTGTTATAAATACATTTCAGGACAGACCATTAAACTTGGCACCCATTTAGATCTCACCTCTTTTGTCATAGAAGTCAACAACCAAGGCATATATCATAATATTAACTCGTTTTTGATGGGATATTATTTACTAGCTGTTCCCGCGACTTCGTCAGTGTGGAATTTAACTTAATTTTTCTAAAATTAAAGTACCCTAAGATACTCCTTATTACATTAGCTCCCAAATAAAGTCCAGTCAAAATCGGTCCAGAGATTTCATAGATTAGCCGGAACAAACAGACAAACAGACAGACAAAAATTTTAAAAAATGATAATGGTGTATGTACCGTATTTATATTCATATGCATGTAGTAAAAAACGGTTATTTCAATATTACAAACAGACACTCCAATTTTATTTATATGTATAGATTAATTTACATATTATAATAACATATATCACAGATGAGAATGTCAATGGTACACCAAAAAGAACGAGAAGCAATGAGACACCTCTGAAGCGTACAAAGAAACAGGCGTCTCTGCAGCAAGATCAAGAATCCCCTAAAACAGGTATTTATCATTACTAAAGTTACTTATATGCCTCTGAAATAAGAACTGTATCTTAAAATAACAATAATAAGCTAAGCAATTCACAAAGTCCATTTAGTCCCAGGCTAAACAGAGCCTGTGTTATAGGTACTAGATAATTGTGAGAAATACTTAATACATTATTTTTTTTGTAAATACATACATACATGGGCCTAACCACGTTGGGGAAATATTTGAATTTGAATGATAAAGTAATTTGAACTTTGCATAATTTGTGAAAATCTGATTTCAATGTGTGAGTGGCGCGCCCGCGATACAGTTAATTTTTTTAATCTGATATACAATTAAAATAATCTTTCCCGTTACAGTTTTAAGATATCAAATCCCAATACAGACGCCTATGGAGGCAGCAAAACCAGCTGAAGAGAAGACGATGGTCACAAGGCGGGGGAGATCTAAAAAATCTGATGATACATTGAATTCCTTAAATGTGGATAAGAAGACTGTATCAGAAGGTATGATTTTGTAACTTTCTAACCACTACACTTACAATACCTATTGTCAATTGTGGTCAGGATAACTAAGTCATAGGCAATGACTTCGTTATCGTGACCATAATTGACCCGGGGGAAAGTACAATTCATATTCCATCGTTACTAATATTATAAATGCGAGAGGGGAGATTAGAGGTTGTAATACTTCCAAGTATTGTCATTTTGAAAGCTAGAAACTTAAACTTATTTTATATTATTTACTTATTAAGATAAAGTTTGTAAAAATTTTACCAGGGGGTAAAATAAATAGGGTAAAAAAGGTTATATGGAAATTTATCATTTATCGTCTATTCCATGTGGACAAAGTCGCGGGGAAAGCTAGGAGATATAAATGTACGTCCTGTGGTATGAACATGAATACAAATGTTTGCACCTTGTGAGGAATCGAACTAGCGTTCATTGGAAGTAAAGCGGTGTGCTAAACTACTATACCACCAAGACTGTCATAGTTCTATTTGTAAATCATTAATACAATAAATATATTACAGAACCAAGTCCTGATAACAATACAATTAATAATGCACCAAAAAGTATTAAAAAAAACGCTACACCTCCCAAACTGATGAAGAAACAAGCTTGGCTGGAACATAAAGTAGACTTGGCCAATGAAGGTACATATAATATGTTTTTTTAGTGTAACATTTGGCTATTTCATAACTTAAAAAGTTCTAGAAAATGTTAACATACATATATACCTATAACATTTTTTAACATTTAGCCACAAAATATGATTTAAGCAACTGGCCTAATAATGGGCTACACCAATCAATACTGCAATAGACTATTGGTATTGAGTAAAAACGATATATGCATCGTTACTAGGGCCCTCACTGGACACAGCAAATTAAATAAACAAATGGCAAATTAGATCTTATACTTTAACAATCTGCAGTAGCCCACTCATGCATAAACGAAATATCTCCTTTGAAAAGTATACACTATACCCTGAGGAGATAAATACCATTGTTTCTAAGAATATCCTTAAATTCTTGTCGCTCACAGGCCTAGGTAGCAAACTTTGAAAAATGGTACAATTAATCTATGTAGGTCGCAGTGCTATAGGTTTTAACACCTGACAATAGTCCAAATCCCTCAATAAAAAAAAAGCAATGGGCCTCATAGTCTTGATAAAAATCTTGTGGTACATTCGCTGAAATATACACAACAAATTTTCTCTGAACTTCTTAAAAAAAAAACTCTATAAATGAATGGAAATGGCTAGTACATAATGATTTATTATATTTACAGTTGTACGACATCAGTTTCCAAACCAGAAGTCTTTTCAAACAGAAGATGCAGTTACAAATAAAGAAACTAGTATTGAGCCAGCAAAGGTGGTGAATAAGAGAGGCAGAGCTAAAAAACATGAAGTTACAATTGATTCGTCTAATGTTGAGCAAACTGACTCGCAAGGTAAGCTTAATATATATTTCAAAGAAAGAACAAATACGTTAATAGTACATTAGAAAAAAGTCAATGGTTACTGCAATTCACTAATATGAAGTCATAATTTACAGTTTTGTTATTGTTACTTACAGAGATTTCATTGAACCAAAAAAATAAATGTGTGAAGAAAGCACCTGTGAAGCTGATTAGACGAAAACAACAGTTACAAACAAAGGAAATTGCTGGTAATGTTTTTTTTTTCGTACTGATTTGTTTACACTTACTTAAGAAATCTTAAGTATTATGGTAATATAATGTTGTATTACTTATTTCAGATAGTCCTACAATTGATGTCAATCTGGAAAAGAAATCAGTAAAAAAGGCAAAAACAGATTTACAGAAAGTTCAGAAGATTAAACCGACACAGTCAAAGTCTAGAATTCTTAGAAAATTTAGAGGTAAGAAAAGTAGTGTAAATAATACATCTGTTAGTGAACCAACAGCTGTAGTTCAACATAAAGATGATGCATATGTTGATAATATTACTGACAAATTGAAGCAGTCTAAAACACTTGTACTGCCTAGAAAAAGAGCTGGAGCCATTAAGTCAAGAAAAGCATCATTAAACAGTAACTCCGATTGTTTATCTTGGACCAAAGATATATCTAGTTCAAGTACGACTACTTGCGTGACGGTATGTTCGACAGACATTGTTCGTATTGACAACAAATTACCAATATTAAAACTTCCACCTGTAGACTACCAAATGAATGAAATTAAAGCTAACCGCCGTGATGATTTGTCATCTTCCTCGTCGTCAGCATCATCATCCTCATCTGATTCGTTTTCAGATGAATGTTCAAAATGCGAGTCTGGTGGTCAAGTCTTAAATATAGATAGCCATTCTGTAAATTTGAGTACATCTTCTATTTCACAAATCAAGCCATCTCAAGAATCGTTACATATCAATAAAACTGATAGTGTTAGTAAACTTAGTAAAGCATTAGATAAACTCACATCGAATCTAAAAAAAATCGATCTTGAAATTTTAAATTGGATTGGTTACCAGAATGAGGACATGGATGTCGATGCTGTAAAAACACAAGAAAGAATGTTTAGAATTCTAAAAGAGGAAAGTGCTGTAGTTATGCACTGTAAAAACATTAAACGTGTCTTATCTGATGATAATGGCGAAATACCTACTTTCGATGAAACTGAAGCTTTCGAAAATAGAGCTCATGATAAAAATAACTTTGTAAAACCTAGTAATATTAGTGTAACAAAGAGTATAGTGCCTTTAAAAAATACGAATACCTCAGGAACATACAAGGACATTGATCACAATAAGGATAAGGAGACTTTACAGAATGAAACTAAAATCATTGAAGATAATTCTACAACAGATAATACCCATGTATCGTTTGATCATAGTTATGACGATGACGACGCGTTATCATTATTTGCTGAAAGTATTACTGGTATAGAATCTTCTCGGTTGACTAATTCAATTGGATCTCCGCCATCCCATACAAATTGTGCTAGCGTTGAAGAGTACATTCCTCAGCCAGTGAGAAATCAGTGCAGTGAAACAGAACAGTTAGTGTACTGTCCGACAAAAATTTCAGACAATGAACGTAGTGATAGTAATGTTAAAACCAAGATTATTTGTGAAAAACAAAATGCTGATTCCACTTCTATTTATAGGGAATCTTCACTAGATAGAACTATTAAAACTCCATCTACTGAAATATTAGATAAAACCAATTTAGATAAAAAATGTCTTAGTCCGAATATTACAAATGTAGTTCCTAGAGAAAAGAGTGGATCTTACCTTATGTCGTCAATATATAAACCATCACAAGCTGTGAAAAGTGTTGTTTTCAAAGGAATATGTTTCTTTCATCTAATATCTAGTTGTAGACATAACGCTCTGTGTCGTTTTCCCCATGTGGTACCAAATCCGAGAGACATTAAGGTTATGCTTCACAAGTTGAGCGAAGAAATATTCATACAAGAGTACATGTTGATGCGGAACTGGCCGGGCTTGAGGCGATTGTACGGGCTGTGTTTCGTGGAAGAGTGTGCTAGACGAGAACTTACGAGTTTCCTCGTCGAAATGGCAATGGACTTCGTAATGAAGATGAATAGCACATCTAGGGAAGATAGCTTACTTAAAATTGACGTTATAGAGTATACGTTATTGCATCTGAATACAGTTGATTTGAATATTTGTGACAATTTACTAAAACTCACCGTGCAACAAGACACTCTCCTGTGCGATGTGTTTATGGAAACAATAGCCGCGACACAGAACTTTTCGAGATTCAAATTAGTGTTCCTAAATCTAACCAATTTTATTACAAAAAATAACAGAACTTTCAGTTTGAATGTTGCAACTCAAATTTTGGAAAGGGTTTGTATTTTGCCCTATGAGGAGTCACTCGTTAAAGCGTTGCTTAATATTATAAAGCATACTGACTCCGCGATATTTGAGAATACGATGATGGCGAAATTCGAGCACCAACTTTCGGTAACCAATCGGGATCTTTACGATCAATTTGCGAAGATTAAGAGAGGAAATGTAAGCAGACCGGTTCTGGGGAACCTGTATGCGTCGTCGCCTATTAGGATCCGAGAGGTGGAGCCGACTAATGTAGCGATGTATCCAGAAAGGCAGAAGAGGTACACCTCTCCTGATACAACTCATCTGGATAATTTGGTAAGTTCTTTTTTTATACTATTCAAGGCAAGCGGCGATGCCGGCGATATGCAATCTCATATTTTTATCTTAGTTCTTACTAATGTTATAAATGTGAAAGTTTGGGAGTATGGATGGATGTTTATTGCTCTTTCGCGCAAAAACTACTGAACGCATTTTGATGAAACATTTCAGTAATGTAGCCTATACATCAGCATAGCATATAGCAGCAGGGTATAAATTACATGCGGGTGACACCACGAGCACAGCTAGTAACCAAATATCTTTTAAAATGTTGTTTCACTCTTCACAGAATAAAACTGACGAGCCCATCATCAAGAGGACGATAAACTTCGATCTATCCAGATCGGTGAGCGTCAACACGCACTATAAGAACTCGACGCAGTCCAATGAAGGCTTTGAGGAATCCCGCCCACAGACAAATCACTACAAGAACTGGCAAAACAATCGTGTCTATGATAATATGCGCTCGTTCAATTCGCACGTGCCTGTCAGGCAAGCTATGAAGCGGCCGACGATAAACCGCCAAGTCACATACGGAGGGAGCCCTTCTGTATGTATTTAAATATTATAATAATCTGAGGGTTTAAATAATATCATTCAAATTAAAAATATCTTTTTTCATGGAGGTCTATTACAGACTCTTATGATGTACCGTCAGTTCGGAATGACTTCGAAATGAGAAGAACTGACAAGAAAGTCAAAGCTCGTATTCTTTACAAATAAATGTAACATGTTTACAATAATAATTGGGAGAATAGAGTGACAGTATAATTTAGTAAAAAATAACAATATGATATTTACAAGTAAATTCATTATTGTATGCTAAAAAGTAGGATAGCTTAATGCATACAGGGTTGAAGATATTTACGGTGTTTAGTGAAAGGAGTCTTGTTTTCCTATTTATATGGTGATAGTTCTTATTAATGACTAGCTGATCCCGTGACTTCGTGCGCGTGGAACTTAACTTTATTTTTCTAAAATAAAAGTAACCTAAGTTACTCCTTATTACATCAGCTAACTAATGTGCAACGTTGTCGCGTAAGGATGTCTCCTCGGTGCATAGTCGACCATACTGACTATAAGCGAATTTGGGTGCGACCAATCGCACCCGAATTCGCTTAGTGAATTTCGCGGAGTGGAAATTACCATATTTTCTGATATCTAACGTTTGTTTCAGAAATTCCCGCGCCGATCCGGACCAGAGTTCTTTTAGTCTTTATATTGTTAAGGTTTTGTGTGACGTGACAATTGACAGGAATTTGTCAGCTATGTGATTATGAAGTCGTGACAGAATAGTATAGAATAAATTAGAGGTATAAAACCAATTTGATTTACACTTCATTTTATACACAGAATACCCTATTCGGGCCGAATAGGGCATTCGGCCTACCTATATACATATATATATACCTATATACCTTAAAGTAGCTAAAAGCTACTCAGTGGCATTATGAATGATAACATAAAATCTACTAGATAGTATTATCTAAAATTTATATGAGACCACACGAAAAAGACCAGTCTTTTAATAAGGAATCATCAAAGGCGGTCCCACTTGAAAGGTCTGTGGTGACACAAAAAATGTAGTCGAATTAAGATACTCCTATATATTTGTGAATTTATTCAATTTTTTTTTTATTATTGTGTTCTCTATACTTCGAGCTACTTCGGTAGCTCTGCAACTACCATAATTACTGGTAGATTGGTACAAAGTTGTTTCTTTAATATTAAGTATAAATATTGACCGCAACATAAAATAATATAATGGTCGCTGGAACAAGCTGTACCAGCGACTTTGTCCGCGTGGAATTTAACTTTATTTTTATAAAATAAAATATATTTTCAAAAATAAAAGCAGCCTAAGTTACTCCTCATTACATCAGCTACCTGCCAAAATCGGTCCAGCCCTTTCAGAGATTAGCCGGAACAAACAGATAGACCAAAATTGTAAAAAATGTTATTTTGGTGTTTGTACCGTATTTATATTCATATGCATGTAGTAAAAAACGGTTATTTCAATATTACATGCAGACACTCGAATTTTATTTATATGTATAAATAAAAGGTGATAATAATAAGAAAATTGTAGTATTATATATTAATGTAAGATAGAAATATATTTTGTTACTAAATGTGAAACTGGTACCTGCTTGAGTTGGGACATAGACTGTCCTATGTGTTAATATATAATATGTATATATATATATATATATATATATATATATATCTATCTGTATATCAAATTTTATTCGAGTCTAATCGTTTAATAACATTTATAAAAGTAGAATAATGAATAAACTGAATATTTGGGTGTATTTTGATAAAAGTACAAATTCATATATGTACTTAGTTTACACTTAGTGTTATTGTTTAAGTGCTTGGTTCTGTTGAACGTTTTATGATTTTTTATATAAAAATACATTGTTTTTATTAAATATTAAAACTTTTTTTACGTAGTCGATGGCCCACCCTATGGTAAGTGTTAACTATACAATCTATATAACTATACATCACGGATGTTAGAGAGCTCCGTAACCATAACCGAAAATATCGGATATCCGATATAAAAAAATATTCGTAAAATAATTCATAACCGAATCCGAAATAAAAGTTTCGGATAGGGGCGGAGCCTAATTGAGATATGTTATGTAACAATTTCATTAGCTGTTTGTATTTTACTTTTGAAATTCTTTAAAAAAATTAATATCCGTAACCGAAATTATCCAAAACTAACGGATAATCCGAAATTATTTCATATCCACATCCGTATACGGTCTAATAATCATTCCTATATCCGAAACCTATCCGTATCCGATATTTCATATCCATAACAACCCTGATATACATGAGCAGTACTGCAGACATCACGCTATCCTTTGACGCCTTCAACCGATTAACAGCTTATAAAAACAAGCTGCTTGGCGGCTGAAGTAGTGAGAAAGAGATACCCGACTTTTTAGTCTACCTTGGTTAAATACTTAATTTAAGTATATCGAGTATAAATAAATAAATTTATAATTATTTTAGGCTAGCTGTGTCCGCGTGTGAAATTTATAGCCTATGAGATATTATGATATATAAGCTACATTATTGTAAATTTTAATTAAAATCCTTTCAGTAGTTTTTGTGTGAAAAAGTAACAAACATACATCCTTCCATCCTTCAAGTTCATAATGTTAATAAGATATGTACTAAATTAGAAAGTTAAAGGAACTACATGAAGTCTAAAAATCATCATCTGCTTGTCTGTCCCATTTATTTGGTGTTAGCGTAATGTTTTTCTCTTCCATTCATCCCTGTTCGCAGTCAACTAATGAGTGAATAATGTTTCACCCCTTGTCATCTCGTTTTTCACACAGTCGCATCCATAATTTTTTCGGCCTTCCTCTGCTCTTATAACAATCTACATTTATATTTAAATTTCTAGAAATGTACAATAAATACACCCATTCATATTATGTATTTATTTACAAAATGTATCTATGTATTTATATCAGTTATCTATACCCATAACACAAACTCTGCCTACCATGTGACTAGATGGCGCTTTGAATTTTTCCCTGATATTATTATTAATTGTGTGTAAATGTTTTAGCGGTGTAAGATGCAAGTTTTTCTTACTATTGTAACACCAAAGTAATTTCGGACCTTATAATAAGCGAGACTAACACTCAAATTTGACTGTGCCAAAAGAATAATTTTGCACTGAAATAATTAACATAGTTTTTAATATGGAGACCATACTGAATTCGAATATAATTTATTATATTTCCGAAAAAAGTGATAAGTTTGATAATTATGTATTATATAGTTTGTGTTTTTTAGTTTCTAATTTTGTTTGCACTCGAATAGTGCTGTGATCTTTTTTTTCAAGTATTGGTGCCATTGGGTTGTTATTAAAAATTTTACATATAATGTTGTTATAAAATAAGCTACCTTTAGTAATTACTTACGATGAAGATAAACAAAATAAACTCCATTTGTAAAAATATATAAGACTTTATTTATCGTATGGAAAAAATATAACATACACATATGTACGGGAAAGCGATTTCATTGATATTAAAATAAAAAGAAATCATTATTGGCAGTAATTAGTTTTTAGCATTTAATTTTAGTCCATTTTTGACAGTTAAAAAGAAATATTTTCCCTTATGTTTGTAAGCCATAGCGGCGGCAATTCCCTTCGATCTATCCAATTCAAACGGGCCTCAGATTGAAGTCGTTTGCGTCAGGACTTTGCCTTCAGCCGCTTCATAAGTCCTTCCGCGGGTATGGAGTGCCATCTGCACTCGCCTCCTATGGTCAGGCGAAGCTGTAAAGACCAGAGGCCGCCAACAGCATTAGAGTAGTCCGGAAAAAAGTGGTGGTAACAACTCTTCACGTTTCACATTTCCATAGACAATTCAAATAGCTTAGTAATTCAAATTCGTTAGATTTTTTTTTGACTGCGTATAGTACAGTTTTTATATAGCGTACATGTATTAAATTTTTCCAAACGACAAAAATGTAAAGTAGGTAGGTATATAACAAATATATATTGTATTTTATTTTTGTACAGTTAAAGTCAGTATTCACTAATCAATAATTGACGTGAAAAAGTAAATGAGTAACGCGTGCAAAATTCGACTCGTGCAATACCAATAGGTATTGCACGAGTCGAATTTTGCACGCCAAGGATTCCGGATGAAAATATATATTATTATAACACTAGCTGTTAAGACTTCATCCGTGTGGAATTTAACTAAGATTTTTTAATTAAAATATTATACATTGAATTTCATAAATAAAATTGCCTTCAAATTCATTATATAGGTCAAAATCGTTTCAAAGACTAGCAAGAACAAAAACAGGCAAACATTTATTTTAAATTAATAATTTTATGAAAATGCCGTATATATTTTCATATGCATATAGTGAAAACTGTTAATTTGATATTAGAAATGTAAACTTCGGAACTACTGCACTGATTTGAGACCCCTACGATCAATCCCCGTCCAATTCAATCAGGGATCGAAATAACGACGTCCTGAGCTGAGGTTCGAACCCCTAGAGGTGCCCTCAGCATAAAGTCGTATCAGTCGGGCGGGAGTTGGGCCTTCAGCAGCTTTATAAGTCCTTCCGCGGGTTAGTGACAGCATTCGAAAAAAAAGCGGTTTGAGAAATTTTCTCATTACATTTTCAGTGACAGATAAAGTCAGTGCCTGTGCCTCAATTATTGCTTATTGAAAACATGATTTAATACAAGTAGATTAAGTAGAAAATGCACTGCTAAAAGGTATATTAATTTATATACCTTTTTGCATTAAGTATTGTAACTTTGTACAGTCTTGTTCTTTATTACTATTAATTAGCTACGTACAAGTCTCCTCATAGATACTAAGGTGTAATTTGTAAGTGTTTGTTATCATAAAATTCGTTAAAATGTTTATAATATAGAATTAAGATTTAGGTTTTTTTTTTAATTGTATTTCAAGAATAAAACGTGATAATGAAAGTGGCTTCTTTTATTGACTTAATAATTCTTATCCTGGGTATAAATTTTCTTTCCTGAAACACATACTATATACAGGTACCTTTGAGGTAGAATTTGTATCAGAGTCCCGACAAAATGAGTAGAAAAACCATATACCATCCCTCTGTTTACACCTATTATAAGGCTATCTGAAAAATGAATAAAAACGTCAAAATTCTTAAGTACTGCTTTATGTATATTGAAATTAATATGATTGAACGGGTTTTCGAAGCCTTGAATAAAACAAATAATTATAAATAATATGTTTAATTAAGATTTTAAAATTAAAACTAAATTATAAGTATTTATAGTAAAATTAATTACTTAAGTGAAATAAGGTAACATATTTCGCCTTGTATAAATAATGAAAATGTATCATGGAATAATTAGAAAGCTGCAAAAAATCTTACATTTTAATTAGGCATTTAATACCATATTACAATATCATCAAGTACTGTAAAATCAGTCTTACAGATTTGTTAAGTGGGTACCTACAATAAAACAAAAACTATAAGTTCTAAAAATATTCCAAAGCTATTTTAATATTGTACTGGTAAGGTACTGCTGATATTCATAAAATTCAGAGGGCGTTCTTAAATGCGCGGGAAAATAACTCGCAAGAAACATTTGTTTTTCTTTTATAGGTCTTAGGCTTGGTCTTACCATCTGATGGGCAATGATAATGAGACCTAGAATGTAGCGAGCTTATTCAGAAGATATCACAAAGATATTATATCTATTCACCATAGACTCGAAGAATCCGGGGTTGTATTTCTCCGGGAACACCGATTTAATGAACGATTGCACTTTCTCCTTCGAAACTCATCCTGGGGGTAGTTCAAAAACCTCTTTTACTTACAATTCGTTTAACCCAAAAATTCATGAATACCAACAGAGCTTTCCACTTGAATACAATATAAGTAAATAACTAACTTAAAAGGCCGTTTATTTCTGCTAAGAATTGCAATGCCGATATATCAAATTCTTGTTCATAGGGGCGCTCATATTCGTGTCGACTTCCGTTCGATTGGCACATTGGTTGCTACGCTTGGCAATATTTTTTATGTAATGTAATTGGAATCGCAAATATGCTGACGGCCCACCTGAAGGAAACCGGTATCCGTTGGATATATATGAAGCATTAAAGACACGACACTATCATCCGCCACTGCATGACTGGTATCAGACCAGTCGTGCAGTGGCGGATTATGGCTAAAGCGGCCTCTAAACATTGTAATTCCGGGCCGGGCATTATTAATCAACGATTCGGCATAATTTGGATACGTTTCTGCAATAATTTTGAATACCATGTTTTTTTGGTCAATTGAAATTAAAAACCATATTTTCGGACCCAAAAAAATACAGGCCCTAGGCACTTCCCTAACCTAGGACTGTGTTCGCTCCAGCACTCATGTGTCGTCATTCTAGAGGACTAAGATATTACTTTGGTCTTTGGGAATGCCAATCAAAAGCGAGTCAACCAGATCTTAATCTTTAACGTGAGCATTTTTAACACTACTGTATTCGTCCATCCATATGAGCTATGAAAAACAACAAAAAACTATATCGTCCCATTGCAATTTCTAGCTTCTCTTAATAACTATACCAGTTCCTATTCTAAGCATTAGCAGACTACAATATTGTCATAGCGAAGCGTATTAGGTATAAAATCACTTTTCATAAATACCTACATATAGTTCCAATACAATTTGGCATTATTAATACTGGATATGATTTATTATCTGTGGGATTAAGAGCTTAATAATAATAATAACGCAGGTCAATTCACACAGCGCCATCTAGTCTCAAACTAAATAGAGCTTGTATTAAATAATTGCCAGTATAATTAATACTGAAAAATAAATTTTATAAAGCCTCGAGAATTCATTTTAGGAATATACAAAATATAAGATATAAAAAAAAACGGTGGTGTACCAAAAAGCCTCTAATCTGTTTACTTTTCTATTATTTTTTGTTATGCAACTGGAATCAAACAATATTCAGTCTACCTAATATTAAGTGACCTACATGAATTACCAACGTTACGGGCATCACGTTATCATGTGACACCCGTGATACCGCTCGTGTGTTGCCATTTCAGAGAACTGGTGTTTAGAAATACATACATACAGTATGAAATTACCTTAAATCCAGATCTAAAGTATAGTAAAATAGTGTACTTGCCGGGAATCAAAATTCCAGAGAATATAGACACTTGATAAATGCCTATTTATTAGTATTAATCAGTGTTTCAAAATGGATAAAAATACAGGATTCATCGTAAAAGGTATATTATTAAATCAGTGATAACTTTCATAAAACTGAATAATTTTGCCAAATCAGCAATGTGGAAATTTTACTATAATATTTATATCTTACACAAAAACTGCGCATGGTATCTGATTAATTTAGTTTAAAACTAGCGACCATCATCACGGATGCATTACAAATCTTTCAATATCTCGGTTTCTATATTATTATATGCATATATTACACATATAAAACTTCCACTTAAATCACTTTATTTATTGCTGAAACGGCATTAAAATCCGTTGCGTAACTTAAAAGATCAAAGTGTTAATATAATGAAAATATATAAAAGAAATTTTTGTTGGGCACATCCCAACAAAATGAACATATTATGGTCTATTTAGTATGAAAATAGAAAAATATATCAGATTTCTTCTTTGTTTTTGGCATAAGAGATTCAGTTTCATGAGAGTAATTAGTTCACGACTTGATATACCCTTCTCGAATAACCCAGTATAGATTCGCCTGTGAATCTGATTCACAATTCAGATGCTTACAAAATATTTGTACATATAAAAAATACCTATCTAGTGTCATTTTATAAAATATAAATTAAAATACTTTCTTAGTAAATCTAATAAGAAATGTGTGTTTACTACTGTGATAACAGCAAAGCAGGACATTATTGTCATTTGAAGGAAAAAAAATGGACGATATTCAATCATATTCCTAGTTATTACTTTATATTATTATATAAATAAATGTGAAAAGCCTCATTAAATCATAGTGATTACTTACTCAATGAGCCTCAGAAAAGCAATGTATAATGTAATTTAAGGGGTTACATGGGTTTCACGGTTTCAAAAAATCGAAAATTTTTTTTTTGTCTTATTAAATTCTATAACATCTCTAGAATATTGTCCTAAATTTTCAAGTTGATCCGACTAATAGTTTCGGAGATACAGCCTTGAAAAGGTGGACGGTCGAGGTCAGGTATAGGCTGAGGGCGCAGTAGGTAAAACGCAGCTGCAGCTCATCTATTGTTAGCTGTAATTCTTGTCCCTTTTTTTCTTTATATAAGGTAAACTACTGGAAAATATTTCATTTGGTGATTTCTCGTTAAACTACGAAGTTCATTTTGAGGTTATAAGTGTTTGTTGTGAATTTTATTCGATAAAAAATGCCGTTTAAAGTGTCTAGAACCCAGACAACGGAAGGTGATAGTATCAGCATTATTATTAATTATGCACGGTATGGACCTAAAACTTGGCCCAAATTGCCATGAATATGCCCGAAATATGGATGAAAACCGGGTGACCGCAGCCGAAAAGAAATCTACCAGCGAGACTCGTGAAGCCAGGATTCGTCATAGACTGGAGCAAAAGGATGCCCTGGACAATGCAGGTGCAGCAGGTTCTCTACTTTATGGCCCAGGAATCGACGAATCAATGTAAGTTAAAAAAAAAAAAATACCCTCTTTTATTGTCTCTTAAAACTTTAAACGCGTTTTTCTCAAAACTATGTTTTCAAAGACGGTTGTCAAGATTTCTCGCGAACTACTCAACCGATCTTGATGAAATTTTACACAGGTCTTCGAGATATCATTTACAAGGTCTTGAACGAAGGATTTTTTTTTATTTTAATTACAACTATTTAAAAAAAAAATGACTAGAAATTTTCATCGAAATTTGCATTTTTTTTATAAAAACGTCTGCCAAAAATCCAATTTTCATTTATTTTTTTTTCCTTCGTCCAATACCTAGTTTATTGTCTTTACTAAAACACGTATTTTTTATTTTTATTTCAGATGATCCTGAAAGAAGTTCTGCTGACAACGCGGAGGCACCTTTTTTCCGAGGGACTGCCGGAAATGGCTTCGTAATGACCGCCATTTTGATATTTTTTTTTGACAATTTTGCAAAATGTTTATTAAATATGTATCTTTTAAATAAAAAAAAATTAATTAAAATATTTCATTTTTTATATGTAAAAAAAATTATTGAAAAAAGGCCGTTTTTTGCCCGAGGAAACCCATGTAACCCCTTAAAAAAAGAACTACATCATTATGACTTTTTCTCTATTCTTTTTTATATTTTTTAAACAATCGTGTGTTTAGTGCCGCATTCGATTAATGCTGTATTCGAAATATGAATATTAATTACAGCAAAAAATATATATTGTGTAACATCCTAGTAGACATTGTAAAATATACTGTATCACATGTATAAAATACCATGGTATAAAAGCACATATTATAAATTACTTACTAATTCAAGTCTCATAAAAAAAAGAATTGTAGATGCAGTCTTAATTAAAAAGTAATCTATTCGAGAAAGTATACGCATAAAATAAAAATAAAGCTCCCGCATTGGTTGACAAAATAGCGAAGGCTAATCCGGCTCATACTAGATCAAACGATCCCAGTTTTAATACATGTAATGGTGCGTATTGAACACAAAATGCAATAAGATATCACCACGACCATATACGGCCATTCTTATAACTATAGCAGTTGCTACAAAGTTTAAAAGCTGCCGATAAATATTACACGGATGACAAAAAGGAGTTATGTTCAGACTCCCAATCCTTTGCGTAAAAAATGAAACACCTATTATATTTAGTTCGTATAAACTTGTGTTAATAACACACTTATATGCTAATAACGCATAACATAACACCCAGAAGAGTGGTTAAATGGTTTCTGATGTGCTTACTAGCATATTGGAGGATTGGAGTAGAAGAACCGCTAGTATTCTACTAGCGGTTAGGAGAACCACTAGTACTCTTTGTGTTTTTATAGATAATTATGCTATAATACACATGTCTACTCTTCGAGTGGAATCGGATGATGAGCATTCAATAAGAACTTTATCATTCTTCAATCGTCCATTAAAAAGTAAAGCATTTCATAGTAAGTTGTAATTAAATTGAGACTGAGTTGTGCACTTTTTGTCATCAATGTTTCCTTAGATATAGCACCAATTGCATACATATTTAACACAGCTTATGGAGAAATTTGTCCTTTTGATAATTTCATGTATTGTATTTAGATATTAAATAATATTGTTATAGTTTGTCTTAACAGTAATTGTTTAATAATAAATAAAATAATCACGTAATTTTTTTATAATTACATAATCATTTTCTATGTAGTTAAATAATGGTTCAATTAATTTCTTTTTAAGGTTTGGTAAGTTTAATTAAGTATTATTGCGTTAATGCGTACGCTGCACGTATTTCTGCCGCTTTCGGGCAGCTACCCTTTAATATCCCTAGTGTAATTCGTTTTTAGTTTGTCTTTTGTGTATTGTGTTTTTTATTACGTTCTTAAACGTATTTGTAGCATAATTGTCTCAGTGGATATGAATAAAGATTCTATCTATGTATCTTTGGACAATTCACACAGCTATCTAGTCTTAAACAAAGCAGAACTGATGCCTTTGATTTCGTATCTGTCTGTGTAGTATTTCCATACAGTCTCTTCAATTACAAGTTTTATATCCATTATTAAAAAAATAATTAACTCTTAATACTTTCATACCAATTTTCAATGTTAACACCTGAAAACCAGCGCTGTATAGTTGCAGCTCACTGAGCTTGAGCTTATATCAGCAACTGTTAGCTTAACTTTGTATGTTTTTGTACTTATTCTTGTGTATAATTGTTATACCGTTAACATTGGTTATCTAAGTTTTATTTTCGAGGGAAAATATCGCCCACTACCGTCTCAAATGTCCTATTTATCCCTATACCCAAATTCAACATAATTGTTTCAGTGTTTCGGCATAATACTACTTTCCTATTCAATATATTTAGAATGAGAGATATTTTTCTTTCAAAATGACAACTTTCTCGATTAGACGTGTAATGAATACTATCTAAGGTATGAAACAAAGCAGATCCTTACATTAAGCGCGGTGGGTTACATTTGTGCGTTACATTGCATTATAGACGGTTTGTTTAATGGAACAACGCCCTGGGTCTCTTTTTAGCGAGAAGATGCCACGAATGAGTGACGCCTTTGCGTCGCTTTGGTGATAATCTGAAAAAAAAAAGCTTATTATATTCAGATTATAGAATAAGGGCATGATATATTAGTTCTTTAGAATGGCAACATGTTGTATCACATGATAACATATTGTCTGCCGTCCTTATTCATTTACATAAGTGATAGCACTTAACATCAGCTGGTTAGCAATTCCCATCATATAAAAAAAACATTTGATACAAATATATTCAACTAATGTTAATAGTTGCTTTTGCCACATCCAAGTTGACTAGGCCTCCAACTGGCGACCTTCACTTGGTACCCATGGAACCACCATACTATTTTATTCCTGTTAATACAATTTATTATCCATTAAAAATACCTCATAACAACATTGTAGGGATACGTCGTGAATAGAGCATTTGACCCCGAGATCCCTGTCGTTAACATTTTTGTTAATCCCGAAAATTTTTTCGGGATTAACTAATTTTTTTATGAATTAATAATTTTAGTGTTTTTGCATGAAACGAAACCAACTTGTCTCTTTAACATTTATTTATGGACATAGAAAAAAAAGTTGAAGGTATAAGTGTATATATATTTACAACTCACCCATGATCAGGCGTGTCAGGCATGTACGGGGACATCCGGAAGTCGCGACTGTGCGGAGTCTCGATACCAAATGGACTGTACAACTTCGTGGGGCTTCTGCCAAGTATCTGAATAAAATATACTTCACTTATATATTTATACAGAGATAGGCTTTTCAAAGTCGTCTTTGTATGTATCTTTGGAGGTACTCAAATATTAAATAGGTACGAGTGAAGTCACTCGCTGATTCCATTTCATCAATTTGATTATCAATAAAATAAACGAAAATTGATCGTAAATCGATGCGTACTACTTCAAAAAAAAAAACTCAAACCTTGCGTACGTAACGTTTGTGAGTGTGTGTATACAAGTATGTTTGTTATTTCTTCACGCTCAAACGCTTGGACCAATTTTTATGAAATTTGGTATAGAGGTAATTGACACCCTGGATTAACAGATAGGCTACTTAAACCGCGGGGCACAGCTACTGATAAATAAAAAAAAAGTTAGTTTAAATATTAAAATAACATTAACAATGGGTGACGGGTAGCGGGGGCAGCCGAATGACGAGATGAGGCAGGCGCGGGATAGCGCGCGGTCAATCATAGGTGCTCCATACTTTTACGGTGATGATTGTTATAAAATAATATTTTGGAAATTGTTCTTGTTTTTACTGATAGCCGCACATACCCCTTGATGCAACTTGACATACCATTAATTGGGAAACACCAATCTAATCTATAGTGGTAAGTTCAAATGGGTATATTTGAACTTACTACTATAGCTTAGATATAGAGCAAAATGCTGCCTACAATTTCCTGGATCTCAGATGTTTAATTCCATTTTATTTGTATTTTTTTTAACTCAGTAAGCCCATTAAATAAGCAGTCTTTATTGACAACAGGTAAGATTCATTACTGTAGTTTGTAAATTTAGTCACAAAGTATAAATGTGAGGATGGAGGCCCCTTCTCCATTGAAGGAGATTTTTAGTAATGAGGAACACCATGTATCATTCCTATTCCATTCCTAGGGAAGGGTAGATGGTTAAAAAGTGCTAAAAACATCACAAGACTAAGGGACAACCCCTTACAAACACTATTCTGTTATTACACTATACTTTGGTAGGGCCCATCCATAAATATTTGTCCAATAACAATCCATATAACTTGGAGTTTAGAGGAGTAACAAAATTTATATAAAAAAATCATGAAATCTAGAATGTTCCCACCCTAACTAGGAGGATTCTTAGATTTTGTGATATCACATTTCAATTTAAATATTAATAAGTTTTAACTATTTAAATGTTAATATCGGTGTATCTTAACACACATAATTTATGCACGAAACTTCACAAGATTTGATTATAGACAATTGAATTCTATGTAAGACAATGTTATTTGCTTACCTTCTTTTTAGTGACAGGTGTGGATGGAGTACGGCATGGAGAGCCAGTCTCTGCTAGACGATGCCTGCGTCTCCCACCCAACCTAAAGTGCTAAGATTAGAAATAATTGTCTATTAGATTAACTCATAATGCATTTTATTATTTTTTATAGGTATTTGGAAAACCAAGACTATTTACAGGCATTTGTAAACGAAACAGAGAAGTCAAAATAGGTTTTAAAAAATAATAATCTTTGCCTTTTGAGCCCCTGTTCTTTTGTTGCATTTTATTATTTTATTTCCTAATACCTTTTAATACTTACCAGCTGTTACCTGCTGTTTATGATAAAAGATAGCCAATGTTCAGTCTCATGACACAAATTTATATTTATCAATTTCCATTTGGATTATAACATGCATTTAGTTTTTGTGAAAGGTAACAAATAGATACATAAACTTTTAAATGTATAATATTAAAAGACAAGACAGACAACTAGGGACCCACTCTGCATTTGAATGGGTGCAGTACAAATATTGGAATTTCTCCAGTTGTCTGAACTAAAACATGCATGTATTATACACATAAACCTTACTCTTGAATCACTCTATCTATTGCTAAATACTGCATTAAAATCCGTTGCGCAGTTTAAAAGATTTAAGCATACAGACAGCGTTGGCGAAACAATATATTAAAGATAAGCAAACGGCCATTTCATAGAAAGTGGAAACCATAAAGCCGGCTAGTAATTCGCCGAGATTACTGAAATAAACTTTATTTGCTTAAAAATCTTGTAAAGAAACTAACAATAAATACGTATAAAATATAAATAAAATTTATAATAAGAATTAAGTATAATTTATTTAAAAAATCGAATACCTGTGATAAATTTCCGAAAGTATTTCTCACACTTCTAAAAGTTCTTGATATCTTTTCAGCCCCGGATTGCAAGGCACGACGTGAATTAGCGAATGATTTAGTTTTGAATAGCTTTTTATTGTAGCACCCATCAACGTTTTTTAGACTATGAATGGGCGAATCAATAGTTGCGTCTGTTTCAAATGGATCCTTCATATTTGATATATAATATAGGCAAATACACAAAGTTACTGTACGTTTCTATGTATTAACTAGATCTCTATACTAAATAGAAATTTGTATATAAATTACATTATCACTATTATAAATTGAGAACTAACGTGAGTGATAAATCATTTCAAGTTTCGAGCCGAGTAACTGTCAACTGATTTTTGTGTGCGACCAACCGAGAAAAATCACAGATTAGAAAGAGTTATTATATGCATGAGTTATTTATGAAAAACTACTCTATGCTAGTTTTTGCGGCTACTTTGTGTATTAGTGCTTACTTGCTTAGTGAATGAGTTTCGTTGCTCATTGCAATGGTGGCAAATATATATTTTTTAATTCAAGAAGTAATACAAAAACATATTTTATAGTTATAACAACTATGATATATAATTCTCTAGAGACCTAAATAAAATATAATATTATAGATATATTTTATTTATATCTCTAGTGAGTATAGTAAATTGAGAAGAGCGTGATTATATAAAATATATTATTTACGAAGGTGGCGCCATCATGTTAAGATTTAAACTAAGACTATCGCCGACATGCGTCTTAAAAACTGACAAAAGTAAGTTTTTTTTTGAGTAAGAATATAAATTACATTAAATGTTATATTTCTATTTGAGATTTTTACTGATTTTTGTTCAGAGTGCTTGTTCCGACTTTCTCATCTGATCTTTGGTTTGACTCAAATCGTTGTTCGATTCTGTATATTTCAACAGTGCTTACTAAATTCTACATTAGTCTATTAATTCCAAAGAGAGTAATTTGGTAGAAAAGAGCACAGAGAGTAATTCGGTAGAAAGAATAAAACGAGTTATATCTATATCTATTTATTTTATTAATTATTAAAGTATACTTATATAAAATTTATCAACCTCGCTGATGCATATAGTAGTCTATTACTGTTGAGAACGCTGCAAATCCTGCAGCACCGAATATACCAGCTCTAAGTCCTCCTGAAATATGAATATAGTAAAAAAATTATACACTTTCTATTGGAGTTAGATATGTTTCCTTTTTTTGGTATTCAACAAAAAAGTTTCAATTTACAATGGAAAATACTTAAATGTCGAAAGAAAGGTGCTATATCAATATATAGCTATATAAATTTTTGATGCCATTGATGTCTTATATAAGACATCAATAGCTTAAGTTTAAGTCTTATTTCATTGTAAAGTTTTATGTAAGTACCAAATATCAATTGCTGTTTGTAAACAATATAATAAGATCTATGATACTCTATGAAATAACTTTCATTCAGAAATTGTCTGAATGAAAGTTAGAAAGCAAGGGACGGAAGCACTTAGTGAGAACGATTTGATGAGTCGGGTAATCAGGTCAATTGTATGCTAGTTAGCAATAGTAATATTAAAAAACAATTCTTTTACCTCTCAATCCAATAAGTCCACCAGTTACACCTCCAGCATAGGTTCCATTTCTCCAATCTGATTTTCCTCTGGCTGTTTCTATACAGCATTCAACACCAGAGAAGACAGCACCCAAAATTGCGAAATTTTTTGCATAACTTAACATGGCTCCTTTCATTTCTCTTAATATCTCTCTAGCACTTTGTGTTTGTGGAGCTGTTGTGTCTGTTACATTTGGCATTAATGAAGATGTGAAAAGACCAACTGCTGCTCCAAGACCATAGCCTAAAAGAATAATTTAATAATTCAGTGTTACTAGTAATGAAATGACAATGTGAACTTTTTTATTTAGATGAAATTATATTTTAATTTATTTGAATTAAAATGAAGACTACTACTGGGTATTTTTTTTAATTAGATAAAGAATAAAACTAACAACAACAACAGTGTCAAAATAAAAGAGATCAATTTATACAATGCTTCTGTAATATAGTGAAATATGTAATATGTTCATGCACACATTCACTATATTACAGAATTATTCTAAGAATTGGCAACACACATAATTTCCAAAAACAATAAAAAGATATATAAGTGAATATAGCACACTGTTATATATTTTGTTTATTGTTTGGAACTACTATGTGTGTATAAATAGTCAGATAAAAGGCACTGGATATCACACTGTGTGATCCAGTGTCTAAATAATCCAAGCTTGTACTGGTACATGGATATTAGGACATGGGGATAGATTTTTAAAAATAAATAACATACATAATATATATATATATATATAGACTACCATTTAGATTAATACAAACTGACAAACTTAAAAATATAAATTATAGCACTATGTGGTATTCAAACCGACTATCATCAGAAGGCGATGGTATATGGAAAACTGCTACACCACAGGGGTGAATAGACTGTAACATACAATGGTGGAATACAGTATAATATTTTTTAGTAGAATAAAACATATAATAAACAGGATGCAGTAATAAATAAACTAACCAGTACAAAAAAAACTCAATATTAATTACTGTGAAGAGTAATTGCGTAATAAAGGCTGGCTACCATCATTAGCCTCAGCAGTTTCGGGTTTATGATGAAAATCTAACCTCAAAATTAGAAGTAATAACTTTTGAAAAATTTATTTCCAACACTTTTTTGCGTCCTAATAAAAGACCAGAATTGTCGATAAATGAATACTTACCAATAATACAACTAGTTACTGATTTAAATGGGCAGCTTTCTACTGCGGCTTCAATCATTTTTTCTTCATTTGTTTTTATTACGACTGGTCCTAGTATTCTCGGTATTATAATATTCTCACGGAAGCGACTGTAGTTTCCAACTAAGTATTTAGCAAGAGAATCATAGTCGTTGTTGTCCGCGAACTTTTGTAAATCAGGATCGACAGGGATTTTCTTGTACTCTGTCATATTTATTTTCAATGCAAAGTAACACTTGAATTATTATAGGCTGCGTTAGATCTATGTTGGGTTTAGAGCATTATAAATATTTTTCAATCTTTGATTATCAAATTCAATTTTAATTCGATAGGTTTTATAAATTTGAATAATTTTGTAGAGTACTTGCAATCTTGTGCATCTACAGCTGTTTTTGACAATCCATTATTGTCAACAAGACATCAAAATCTGTTTGATAGTTTCGTTCATTATTCATTCCACAGAACTCAGAAGAAAGAATCTATTCTCGCATTATCAATCACTGTTTTTTCCTCTACCTCACAAACTATTGACTGACAAAGATAATATTGTTTTATCATCCAGGGTCACGAAAAAAAAAAAAAAAATTAAAGTAAACAAATAAATTTGAAATAAATACTTATTCAAGTTAGTGCCAAGAGAATTAAAATACTTATTTTGTATTAAGAAATCATGTCTGATACTTCAGAAGATGAGGATTTATCAAGATTTAAGGAAGCAGTAGATAACTCCTTCGTAAAAATGATTGATACGACACGAGGAACATGTGTAACCAATTCTGAAGAAAAAGGTTAAGTTTTATTTTTTTTACAAGTTTAAAGGTACATGTATATAAAACAGATACACTCTTGGATTTACTTACGAGACGTCTTGCTTGTATTTTTTAAACTGCTGTTGCTGATGATATAAACCATTCCATGGTTGACCCATTTGTACTATCGGTGTACCCCGGCGTTCCAGTGTAGGATGACAAGATGGGCATAATAATATGGTCATGTAATTTAGCACATTGTGGAGAATTCTGGTGAAGTCTACTTTGTACAAAACACAGTTGCTGTTACTATTAGTGATAATTTACTTTATCAATTTTTATTCATTAAGAATAGTTTTTTTTGCAGATATGAGCAAACTCAAATCAGAGAGATATCTGGAAGTGGCCAGTCACTACAATGATGTGAAAGTACCCGAAGAACTACAGAGACAAATAGGAGCAAAAATATCTAAAATTATTGATAGAAATATAAAATTTGTTGATATAGAACAAAATGGCATCAAGTTAGTTAAAGTAAATTTTATATTTTATTAGTGTTATAGAATATGTAATTTTAGGTTTTTTAAATGAGTGACAAGAGTTGCGCTTGACAAGCTGATGTGGCAGATAAGTGGACATGGACATCACATTACTCCCATAATACTCTCTCAAACTCACTCATGGTTTAGTTTATCAAGGAACTGCTTTGTGGCTGGTTGAAATAGTTGATATAGAGTTAAAAGATCCACTCAACTGGCTACACCACAGGACACTTTGTACTACAAAGTGTTCTGTGGTATTTCTTATTATTTACATTCTTTAAAAAAATAAATAAAATTGAAAATTTTGTAAGTAATAATAATGTTATTGTTCAAAAGACATAAAATTCATAGTACTGAAAATAATATCTGATTGCACAAAGAATATATAAGTATAAAGCATAGTGGTTTCTATGTAGAATATTGTATGCCTTTTAACTTGTTACTATGTATTTATAATATTTATCAAAAGAGCAACATGCCACTTTTCGCTCATTGTTTTGTGATGAGTCTGCTTTCTGAATGATTAATAGAATAAAAAAATATGACTATTCAAAAACTGCTTCCATTCAGTTTACTTTAATAAACATTATTTCTATCCTATTTGTTAATTTAGTAATTTACTTTACATCAGGAAACGTAAAATCAAAGGTGGAGTGAAGTTATTCAAAGATTCTGATAGTTTCTTATCCTGTGAAGATGTAAAGGACACATACACTGAGAAACACAATGCTGAATCAAAGAATATGAAAAAAAAGCGAAGAACAATAGAAGATAGTGCTGATAATGAACTTGGTAAGAATGTGTTGTTTTATCTACATAAATAGGAAATATTTTTTAATTATTACAATATATCCATTATCTTCCCTAAAAAGAAAAAAAAACTATTTAGCGGCAGAAATAAATGAGACAGAGTTACTCTAGCAGATTAATTGGTACAGTATAGTTTGTTTTTGTTTAATTTTGTATGTAAGCCTTAATAATTTCAAGTTTTTTTGAGTTTGTTCTTGTCCAATTTTATTAATTTGTAATCTTGTTAATTTTTATGTTACTTTCTTAGTAGTAATTTAGAACTTAAGTGCTATAGTCGTTGTCAATCTCATATAGTATTAATTTACTAGTAAAGGCTATAACAGAATAGCGAGGGTGGACTCACTGCCCTCTCTGAGTTATAGCCCGTTTTGTCTCATTCATTACTTTTAAATTTATTATAAGCAGTAATTGTATTAGTTTTTATTTGAGATAAATAATATATGATGTGATATACAGATGTATGTTTTAATTGAGTACTTAAAATTCCACTACATTTCTTTTCAGATAAAATAAGCGCTGTTGCCGTGAGCGGAGAATACGTGCTATCCAAAGAAGAGATTAAATGTTGGAAATCAAGGAGGAAAGAGAAAGTATTTAAATATAAAAAACAAGATAAAAGTAAGATACTGACAGCAATCGAATAAATTAAAATGATTATTTAGTAATATATCTTTCATTTTAATCATTATATTTAAAAATCCCACTTGCATGTAGTACTAGGTTGCAATTCGACCATAATTAATTTAAATTATAAGTTTGAACTTGGGAAGTCCTCCAGCAAGGTGGACCGACGATCTGGTCAAGATCGCGGGAAGGCATTGGATGCGAGCAGCGCAGGACCGATCGTCGTGGAGATCTTTGGGGGAGGCCTATGTCCAGCAGTGGACGTCTTCCGGGCTGCGATGATGATGATGATGATAAGTTTGAACTTTATTAAGGTTCTATTGCCAAAGACTATACGTACTTCTATAATCACAGGCACTGGTAATAAAGAAAAGGTATATATGTGTGTGTGTGTCATATACATGGTAGTGTTTGTAATGTCTTTTTATTTATTTAATGTATTATATTTTTAATGCAAAATTTTAAAAAGCATTTAGTACTTCTCTGTGTTAAGTGCGCGAAATTATTGTAAAAAGGGGTACAAAGTTTTTGCTTCACGTATTATATAGGTAATAGGACTAAACGCAGCTTTATATAATAGAGCTGTGCCCGCGGTTTCACTCGCGTTAAATTTATAGCCTATATGTTAATCTGATGTATAAACTATATTATTGTAAAGTTTCATCAAAATCCGTTAAGTAGTTTTTGCGTGAAAGAGTAACAAACATAATACTCATATCTTTTCGTGTTAATAATATTAAATAAAAATTATCGTCACGATGTTTGTCCGAGATGAACTGCGAAACCACTCAAATATAGGGGGGAAGATTAGTAATGTGGACTAATTACCCCATTGCTAGCAATGTATCATATCCTAGCGAGCGTTTATATATGAGAATGTTTATGATTCAAACTGAGCCGAGTCAGAACGGGTTTTATTAATCTATACATATAAATAAAATTGGAGTGTCTGTTTGTACTATTGAAATAACCATTTTTTACTACATGCATATGAATATGTCTGTCTGTCTGTCGGTCTATTTGTTCCGGCTAATCTCTGAAATGGCTGGACTGATTTTGACGGGACTTTTTTTGGTAGGTACCTGATATAATAAGGAGTAACTTAGACTACTTATATTTAAAAAAAAATTTAGAAAAATAAAGTTAATTTCCACGCGGACGAAGTCGCGGGCTAGTACATAATAAAAATACAGGAATTGTTGAAATATGTAAATGAAACGAACAAATATAATTATTGTAATATTAAACGTTTTATTTACAATAATCGGTAAATTAACAAATAAATATGTACAAAACATTATCACATAATCAACTGCTTTCGTAAACCTTTCATAGTTTTCGACATATCAATTTAAAATGATGCTTACAACTGTATTAATTGGGCGGCGTATAACATCTTATATAGTAGAAAAATAAAAGAAAATAATATTAGTACAATTAGAAAAACTCACGGAATCTTACCGCGTTTTCGACTCAATAAAAATAAATAAAACGTTGCCGTAATTTTTGCTAATTGTATCTACTGATAAACACGTCAAATTTAAAACCGTATATAAATAAAATAGATTTTCGAAAAAGGAAAAATTTCTCATTTTTTTTCGTTGAGATGTACAAATTCTTTTTCAATACGCTAATTAAATATTTCCAAGTTATTCAAACAGTTTTTTCTGTTTTAGTGCAAATGTCATAGGTAGGTATAGCGCATTGGGGTAAAATGTAAAACCTATCCTAATTTAACTTATTAATTTTCTTTTTCTAAAGTTATTTATATAAACGTAACGTAGTACGCCCCGTAGATGGAGCGACGACATACGTAGAGTTGCGGGTAAAGATTGAACATCAAAGGCTAATGATCGTGCCCAGTGGCGTACCTTGGGAGAGGCCTATGTCCAGCAGAGGACTGCCAACAGTGGGCTGATGATGTAGAAAGTCATTTATTTAGTTAATAAAATGAGTGACATCAGTTACAAGTGGAAGTAGGTGAACTACACATACATACATACATGTACACACACGCATACACTCACACAGACTCACACGCAGGTAGTTGCTGAAAGTAATTCAATTTCATGAATACTTTCGCTTTTATAAATCCTTTACGACTAACTCTATGTAGTTTATTAATATTTAAAACTGCACTGTATATTGAACACTTCCAGAATTATTAAGTATTAATATTAATTGGAATATTTACCAGAGAGACAATTCATAATATTCAGAGATATAGAGATTATAGAGATTCATAATATTATAAACTAAGCGTGTAAACATTATGTCAGTATCACAACTCCAAATATTGGCTATGGTAATGAAAAAAAATGTTTATCACAAACTAGATTTACTAAACACCTGAGCGAGGTCTTTTTTAGTAATCTTTAAAATAGATCCTAGCATTATAGCCTATTTCTTTATTAACAAACAAAATATTGAAATATTGTTTGACGTAAGTAATGAAGTAGTGGCGATATATACGTTTACTAGAATATATTTTTAACAAAGATCGACTATTGCAACTTCATTTATTTTCATAATGAAAGATAATCTACATTATGCTCATTTTTAACTTATAATGAATAGAAAAAAAAAACGTTTTCTGGCAAGTCTTTGAGATGTTAGAACATCCGTTTACTATATACATTTAGTATTTACCTATTTATATTACTTCAAATCTGAAGGTGGTATATTAATTAAGACCAAGAATCAAACGATTAATAAACCTCGAAAACAAATTTAGATTTTGTTCACTTAGGAATCTTTCATTATTTCTGGTAGTTTGAGAGTGGATTTTTACATTAGCTAATATAAAATCCCAGTAATAATGGAACAATCAGAAACTATTGATACAGTAAACATCAAACTTCTAAATATATCTTTAAATCTACATATTAACTTATCATATAATTCTTTTGTACATGCGCTTCTCTGCTAACTCCTTAATGGCTGAACCAATTTCTATAAAATTTTATGTATATTTCAATGAGTTCCTTGATTTGATGACAAAATTGGACTTGGTAAGTATAGCCTTAGTCATACCAATTTTGTCGCTGCTTCTCGGACAGCATGATGTCTCTATTCAGACGCTAGTATATGTGCTAGTATATTTTCAATTAAATAATGATTTACGTTCGTTTCACAATTCTTTATCATTCGAGATAGCTCGAGAGTAAAGTATTCGATTTTAAAAACCTCTGAATTTAAAAACGTGGAACACTCAAAGGCTTTTGACACGGTGTAACATGCAATTCCTAAATATATTTTATGTATTCTACGTGTTTACAATCTACTCGAATCTGGTGGGGATGGTAGACTTCTCCCATTCCTCGTGGGTAGCTCGTCATGTGTGAACGCGGTGTTATCAAGTCCCACAGGCTTGGCTGCTGGCGTTTCTTTTTTCTGTTCCACAGGGCCGTCCATTAGGAACATTGTCAGGAAGAACAGGATACTGCCTGAAAAGTGAATAATGTTATTATATATTTTATTCTGCTTTGGAGAAGTAAAACATTTTTCGTATTATAAATAAATTTACCTAATATGTCTAGATTTATGAACAACAGGGTAACACCTGTTATGTCTTTTTTTGTTTTTCTTTAGATAGTTTATGTCCGTCCTTTCAAAACCCTATGCGACGACGCTCTAGGTGGTCTAGCGGTTTAGTTTACTACCTTACCTTTAATGGTCGTGGGTTCGATTTCTCGCACGGTATATATTCATGAGTACGATTGTTCTGTCTGGTATGTATATTATGTGTTTTCTTATGTATGTAAAACAACAACAAAATGTATCTAAATATCAATTGTAGAGTAATACAATCCTATCTAGTCCCAAACTAGATGGCGCTGTGTGAATTGTCCAAGATTATTATTACTGTTATTATCTATCTATACGTTTTTAAATGAATTGTTATAATTTCATCATAAATATACTCACTGATGCCATAAAATCCGGCGTAGAAGATCATAATGGCCTCTCTGTATCCAATAGCTTTGGAGACTGGATCGACGAGGATCGGCAGGTTGCCACCGACGTTGTTCATGACGAACAGGAACACGCCAACGGTGGTGGAACGGACGGACAGCGGGACAATCTCCACCAGGATGGCGAACACAATGCCGAACCACATCTCCGCTGCGAAAGTAGACATGTTAGATTAGATATTATTGATGATCAGATATAGATAGATAAAAAGCCAAATTTATAATTTGCAATCATTGTCCTGCAAAACTTCTGTTGGGATTTGTCCGCAGGCACGTAGTTATCTCTTATTTACTAAGTACATATGTTATATAGACATGTACGCATAAATAGTGAACGCGACAAATTTAAAGCAGAGTATAAATTCATTAAGTAATGCAATGGACATCCGAAAATAACACTCATTTCCATAAAATGTCGACATTTTAGTTTTATGCTAGTATTGTTACTCACCGAAGAAGTATGAAATGGCCAATGTGATCATGGCCCACAGGGGTCCAAAGATTACGGATCCAAAAGCTGGCAGTGTGGAGATTAGTTGCGACAGTGCCAACACCAGGACGCGAGATCTCACCCCCATTTTTGCTACAAACCTGGTAAATAAATACTTTATTAATCCGGGATACAACACAATGTTAGACTTACCTTAAACTAAACAGAGTTTGTACTACTCGTACTAAACAAAAGAGTACACTGAAATTCTATAGCAAAACTAGATTTTAATCTACCCCTATAATCTATATCCTTTGTTGAAAGTAATATTAACATTTCTTGTCTTACCTTTAGTCAAATTATTTGATTATACGACTCATTCGAAACGCAGACTAATCACAAGAAGAATAAATTAATAACCGTGGATAAATAACACATCTATCTAGTTACACGTTAAGCAGAGCTTGTGTTATGGGTACTAGAGAACTGATATAAATACTGAAACATTTTTTTGTAATATACATAGAAAACACCCGACCGATACAAACAATCATACTCAAGTATACAAATGTTTACAACGTGCGAGGAATTGAACCTGCGACCATCGAAAGAAAAGCGGTAAACCAAACCGCTAGACCATCGAGTCAGAATGATAAAGAAACTTGCGTTTTGTTTTTTTAAAGAAATGTTCAGGATTACATAAATGTTATAGAAGATATTAAGTGGTCAAGGTAAAGCAATTACTTGTCAGAGACGACACCGCCGACGACCACGCCCACGGAGCCAATGCCGACAGTGACGGCGAACAGCCACCAGCCCAGGTCCACGTCGGGGAAGTAGTCGCGGTAGTACAGATCGGCGTTGTACGCGAAGCACATACCACCTGCAACATATAAAGTGGCATTGATAAAAGGAGTCGAGGCCTAACGCGAGTTTCGAGGCGTTTGTGGCCGGGTCCCGACAAACGTACTGACCACCTTCTTTAAGGTAGAAAGGCTACCGTGGCAGATTGTCGTTGTCAGTGCCGTGACCAAAGAAACGATTTATATTCTATTATTATTACATATGTATGTTAGTCTATAAGGTATTTACAATATGGGCCATGTAGCCTGAATTAAATAAAGCATAATTGAGGTACACATAAATACACAAATAAAAGAACCGAAGGTAGCTTTGATATAGAGCTGCAAAGGTATATAGTACATATAGGCAAATGTGGTTACTCTATCTAACCTATTTCAGTGGCCAAGCAACTTGCTTTGTATGCTGTGTTTCGGTTGAAGTGTTGAGACACTGTGAGAGTACTCTATTGCTGTTTGCCGCAGTTGGTCTTTACAGCTTCACCGGACGATAGAGGGCGAGTACAGATGGCACTTCAAACTTAATAGAGCGGCTGAAGGCCAATTCCTACTTGTTGGATATGGAAGTGACATTATAGTAATCTCAGGACAATTCACACAACGCCATCTAGTCCCAAGTTAAGCTGGCTAAAGCTTGTGTTACGTGTATTAGATAACTAATATAAGTACATAGATTTTTTTTTCGTAAATACATACATATTATACATAGAAAACACCCAGACCGATAAAAATAATCATACTCATGAATACAAATGATTGTGCCGTGCGAGGAATCGAACCCGCGACCATTGGACGTAAAGCGGTGTGCTAGACCACTAGACCACCGAGGTCGTCATATATAATTAGTATACGAGACCTGTCATTTTGTCCTCCTAATGGCAACGGATGAGTGGTATCGTCAGAGTCCTATAATCACGTGATGCCTGTAGTGCTGTTTTTTGTATAAAGACGACGGTTACCACTTACCATCAAATGGACCGTCACCTTGGCAGTCCAATAATATAAAAAAATTAAGTAGATGTAGCTCATTTCATACTAATATGTCGACTCAATTACAATGCGTTTTTTATCTTACGTTCAAAGTTAGATAATATACTGGACATAATTTTTATAATATTATAAACTTTGAAGTTTGTGAGTACCGATGTTTGTTACTCTTTCACGCAAACACTACTGAATGTATATTAATGAAACTACAATAGTGTAGCTTATACATCTGAATAACACAAGCTATAAATTTCCAGCGGGTGAAACCCCGGGCACAGCTAGTGTTTAATAACATTAAAAACCCGTGTTTTGCTAATAAATGAATTAAATTCATCGAACATACTGATCGTTGACCAAATCTAGTCATGAAAATACGTTTTAATTCACCATTCACGGATAATCAGCACCCTGGCAGGACAATAATAGCTAGAGGAAAGATTGATGGCGTACTGAAATACTTCCGTATGCCAATGATTGATAATTTCACGGTATGCACGGACACCCAAGAAATTGCTACACCAAACAATGCGTTAATTTCCGCTTAACAATGCCAGTAAAGCAAGTCAACCTTGATTTTGGTGACATGGCACAACCGATACCGAGAATGACAGGATCAAAGACAAATGTATTTTTCAGATTGATAAAACTAATTTATATTTTACACTTTATAGAAAAGGTTTAAGGTAGAGTTTGCAAAAGCCCCGATGGTAGGTTTAGTTGGGGTCGTATTTAAAGCTCGACATTGACGATGTATCTATATTTGTAATCAAACACGACTTTTGATAGAATGGTTGACATGAATTTAAAGAAAACTTATCCTTACTAAAATTATAAATGCGAAAGTAATTCTGTCTGCCTGTCTCGCATTCACGCCAAAACTACTGAATTGATTTAAATTAAATTTGGTACACAGATAGTCTGGACTCTGAGAAAGGACATAGGCTACTTTTTAATGCGAAAGAAGGGTTGTACGGTTGAAAGGGGTGATGAAAGGTTGTATGGAAGTAACGTTATTTTTAAAGCTAGAAAGATGAAACTTATTATTTGGTAACAGTCAGCACAGTTAATTTTCCAAAGAAAACCAAATTGGTCTGCTCAGTAGAAATATATACTTCGTAATGGTTTTACTATTCACATGGTATCAAGTTACTACTATCCAATAAAAAAAATACATCGTAAATGGCAGGTTTTATATTTAGCCGTTCAATAAAAAGTGTGGTTAAAAATCGGCATGTCATGTTCTTTATTAGAAGTGTGAATAAAAAACAAAAGCTCGATCAACTGGTAGCTAACAGATATTTATCTGACATCTAATCATTAAAATGGTGATCGATACATTGGTACATTTGTCAATTATTCTTAGATATATTATATAGTCAATACTATGATTGAACCGCAAATAAATAATTTATTCTCAGGACTTTCCAAAGAGTTGAGTAAGTAGGTATACCAGAGGAATGGTCAAGTGGTTTTTTAATTGACTTTAATAAAACAAAAACATTACTAAATCAAATTCACAGTCAAAATCAAAGGCAAAGTCGCACAATCACAATACAGTCTATTTCTTATAGCTTAGGCTTCTCTGAATTTGTAGTAGAATGTTAATTCAATCCATCACTCCGGAAATGGTACCCTGAAGTACCTATGTACATCGTGGTATTTTAGTCAGTTAGTTTACCACTCCTCACTCACTTCCCCCGCCAAGGATATCCTTGGTGAGGATTTTTACAGAAGTGAAAAAGAACTACTCTAAATCCGAATCTCGTTATTATCATCTGGTGGCCATCTCTTCATTCCAGATGTCCCACTAGTGTGGACAATTCGGTTAGAAACAATGTTCATCATGCGTAAAGAAAATTAATAGAGTAGTTGCTGTTACGCGTGATACATTGTTTCTGTGAATGCATTTAGTTTTTTTTTGTTCACTGTTTTACAAGTGTTTGCGCATATAATTCATGTCAATTCAATTTATTATGATATTTTTATTTTTTATTTCAATGATTTTATATCCAGAGACATGTTTAATATTTATATATTATCAATAATTTTATAATTAGGTTTTTGCTCAGTCCGCCATTTTGCCGTAGTTTATAGACTTTTTTTATAATTAATTGATTATTAAAAAAGTCGATAAAGCACATATATTTGAAGAACATCGGAAGGTGCGAGCTGGCGCGCGGTCTCTCTCGTCCTCTTTGTCTATATTTACATGCACATTCTTTCCTGCGTGAAAGCCTCAATTTGCGGGTGAACGATTCGTCGATTTGTACGTGTAAAGGCAGCTATTAATCGATCACCACACCATTACTATTGATAAAAAAATACAATGCAATTAGACTTAGACTTACCGCAATGACGAATAGACGCAGCCAGACAGAGCAGCAAAATCCTGGGCTGTGCGATCACGTGCCAGATTGTCACCTGTGGAATCTTCTTGCCTGATTCCAGGCTCGCATCACCTGCTTTGTTGCCCACACCTAAACAAATAAAAGAACCTTGAGTATACCATTTAAATATCTATGTACAAGAAAGGGGATCGTTAGAAATGTGATTACTAGCTTTTTTAAAGTTAACAAGTTGTTACCTGCAAATCCGTACATGTGGAATTAATATAAATAAAATTTCTAATATAAATTTAGATTGAAAGTGCCGATAATATCGATATCGGTCAAGCCGTTTCAGAGATAAGCAAGAACAAACAGACAGACAGATAAAAAATGTTTAATTAATTTTTTTGTTAATTTGAAATTACTAACGTTTGTACTTACTTCAATTTTATTTATTTGTATAATATACTATTATTTAAAAAATGTTCCATGTAATACATAAGCCTACCTAATTTATATGCATTAAGTGAAATTCTGTAATTTTGGAATTACAAATCGGATCCTTTAATTTTATTTATTTGTATAATATACTATTATTTAAAAAATGTTCCATCCCTATGTAATACATAGCTTACCAAGGGTATATCAAAGTCAGTTCCACAGTAATGGAAAGGTCTTTGTGCTGTTAATGTATTTTTGTATTTAGATTCCACAAAACAATTTGTTTTTTTGACAGAATGTAATAACTACTACAATACGGACAGAATCATTAATTTAACGAAATGTTCATTTATTTATTCTTTTGCACACAAAATTGTATACATGGCGGATATATTTGCCTGATGATGATGCCTGATGCCTGATGCCTGATGCTTGATGATATTTGTTATCTTACTAATATTATAAACGCGAATGTTGTGTGAGTATGGATGGATGTTTGTTACTCTTTCTTTTTGATTGTCACATGCCTAATCCTTGTTAATTAAATACAATTAAATCAATAATTATTTAAAAGAGCATCACACAAGTTTCTTGCTTATTCTTCTTCTGATGAATCTGCATTCCGAATAAGCGGTGGAATTAAAAAACTTATGTGCTTATATTAAGTTAATTTGAATAAGGATTATTTCTATTTTTTTCACGCAAAAATACTGAACGGTTTTTGATGAAACTTCACACTTTAATATAGCTTATTTATGAGAATAACATATGGGTTATAGTTTCAAAAGATATTATGTAAATTAGTTGAAATATAAAGATAAATGTCAAGTAAGTGTGATGCAGACGAAGTTGCAGAAGGAACTTGTGCTGTTTTAGATACACGTTCTATTATAGAACTTACTACAGTTTTAGACAGGCCAAGATCTTTTAGAATATTGTAGAGAGATTTCGCTGGTATACTTCTCGCTCCCGCTACAGTACTAGACAGGATCTTTTAGAAGATTGTAGAGAGATTTCGCTGGTATACTTCTCGCTCACACTTCAGTACTAGACAGGATCTTTTAGAAGATTGTAGAGAGATTTCGCTTGTATACTTCTCGCTCCCACTTCAGTACTAGATAGAATCTTTTAGAAGATTGTAGAGAGATTTCTTACTTCTCAGTACTAGACAGGATCTTTTAGAAGATTGTAGAGAGATTTCGCTGGTATACTTCTCGCTCCCACTTCAGTACTAGATAGAATCTTTTAGAAGATTGTAGAGAGATTTCTGGTATACTTCTCGCTCCCACTTCAGTACTAGATAGAATCTTTTAGAAGATTGTAGAGAGATTTCGCTGGTATACTTCTCGCTCCCACTTCAGTACTAGATAGAATCTTTTAGAAGATTGTAGAGAGATTTCGCTGGTATACTTCTCGCTCCCACTTCAGTACTAGACAGGATCTTTTAGAAGATTGTAGAGAGATTTCGCTGGTATACTTCTCGCTCCCACTTCAGTACTAGATAGAATCTTATAGAAGATTGTAGAGAGATTTCGCTGGTATACTTCTCGCTCCCACTTCAGTACTAGATAGAATCTTTTAGAAGATTGTAGAGAGATTTCGCTTGTATATTCTCGCTCCCATTCATACTAGACAGGATCTTTTAGAAGATTGTAGAGAGATTTCGCTGGTATACTTCTCGCTCCCGCTACAGTACTAGACAGGATCTTTTAGAAGATTGTAGAGAGACTTACTGCAGTTCTAGACATGTCAGTATCTTTTAGAAGATTGTAGAGAGATTTCGCTTGTATACTTCTCGCTCCCACTTCAGTGCTAGATAGAATCTTATAGAAGATTGTAGAGAGATTTCGCTGGTATACTTCTCGCTCCCACTTCAGTACTAGACAGGATCTTTTAGAATATTGTAGAGAGATTTCGCTGGTATACTTCTCGCTCCCGCTACAGTACTAGACAGGATCTTTTAGAAGATTGTAGAGAGATTTCGCTGGTTCGCAGAGGTATCTCTCGCTCCCACTTCGACAGAAATTTACCACATGGTACCAATTCGTATATAAATTAACCACATGGCCATTTTTCGTTAATTCGTTTATTAGTTCGTAACATTTTTCTTATTATGAAGTTTTATATGGTTTATATAATATTATATAGGTAAGTATTTGATTCAGCTTAAATGGACCACATAGCCGTTGTTGGTTACTTCGTTTATTCATTCGTAATATTGTTTTATTCTGAATTGTAATAATACTATATAGGTAAGTATTTGATTTACCTTCTTCACCGATTGTAGTTCTAGGCGGTTCACGAAGGGTCAGGAAAGTGAAGAATGCAATTACCAATCCAATGATTCCAGCACCATAATAGCACACGCGCCAGCTCTGTGGAGAATTAGAAATTACAACTCATTAATATAATATATTTATCTTATACATACTTTTCTTTCGATTATATGACATATAAACCTGTAAGTTTGTGAGCATGGATGTATGGTTGTTAATTTTACGACGCAAAAACAACTCAATGGATTATGATGAAATTTACGGTGATATAGCTTATAAATCAGAATAATACATAGGCTACAATTTAAAAAGATATTATGTAAATTGGGCGAAATATAATGATAAATGTCAAGTAAGTGTGATGCAGACCAAGTTACTAAGGTCTTTCGGTTTCAATCGGGATACTAAATCCAGGACCATGACCATGACGTTCGTAATTAATTCAAATACTTTATAAATAGTTACAACTAGTTAGGTAGACCTCCACGCGGTTCCCCCTGGAAATCATCATGATAAATTCTTGGTGAATTTATCACGATGGGCTAACTGACCTGACTTCATGTTCATCTTATCATCCTCCACTGGTGCCCCGCCAGTGTAAACCGTTAGCGCAGGCGGGTGCACCATTCCATTATGATCCATAAAAAATGGCGGCAATTGTACGCTCGAAATATTGGGGTACTTTCTAGTCAATACAGTATATGTGTTTTCCTAACTCTCGAGGCGCTCCCTTTGTTCACAAAGCTAAGCCAATTCAAATTATTTTAATTGCAAAGAATAAAAGATTGGCAATATAATTTCTATTTCGCCGAAAGGTATACATTTTTCCAGTACCGACCAATTTTCTTAATGGAACATTTTTTTAAAGAGATACTTTACAAAACCTTTGTTATTTTGTTTCGCTATCTTATATTATTCAATTTGATTTTATTGAAGTTAATTTCCATAATAATTAAAACTAGTGGTCGCCCAGTGGTCGAAATTCGACTATAATAAAAACTACAAAAATATCTTGGGTCCATCATTAACAAATATATATATGATTAACAATAAACAAATAGAAAACTACAAAAAAATTTTTGAAGAAATATGTACATATATATATATATATATTAACATTAAAAAAACAATATATATATGCGTGTGTGTGTCAAATACAGGGTAGTGTGTGTATGTATTTTTATGCATGTTTAAAAAAAACTATTTGCACTCCACTTCCATATAAACTGTAGGTATGTTTGATATTCTTTCACGCAATAACTACTGAACGAATTTTGATGAAACTTTACAGTAATATAGCTTATATATCAGCGGTTTCACCCGCGTCCAACTTATAGCCTATCTATAAATTTCACGCGAGTGAAATCGCGGGCACAGCTAGTATTAATATATATTCTATTGCATTGGTTTAAGTGTACATATGTGTGTAGTAAGATATGAATAAAATTTCTTATCTATCTATGTATATCCATAAGAACTTACCAGACCCCATGCGTTTATATCAGGTATATACCTCCCAACAGGGAAAGCTATACCGTATCCACCATAGATGCCCCAGTTGAATATCGACAGTACCAGCGCCCTCTGGTGTTCAGGGAACAGATCTGTGAGTATGCCGGTAGCTAGCGGGTTACACCCGGATTCTCCTGCCGCCATGACCATCCTCAAGAGAACCAGATGCCAGTATTCTGTGACGGTGCCCATGAGAAGAATGGCGATTGCGAAGACCAGAGTGCAGCAGGCGAGGACACGAGCTCTGTTGTATCTGTTGATAGAAATATTTTTTAGTCGACCCGCGCAACTTCATCTGTTTTTATTTGCAGCTCACCTCCTATTGGTTGTAGCGTGATGTTATATAGCTTATAATCTTCCTCGACAAATGGACTATCGAACACTAAAAGAATTTTCAAAACTGGTCAGCACTGGAACCCGGAATACACAAACCTTACCTCTTTATAATTTTTATTAACACTGCAAACATTCTTATAACAAATATGCGATTTAATTTAATGTTACAAACTCACGCCTAAACTGCTGAATCGATTATGAGTAATTTCGAGTTAGAAATAAATATGTGATTAGTTTTTTTCGAACTATAGGATAAGCATAGTTTGAAAAAAAAAGCTGTTACTGTAGCTACGTCAGCTTTACTGGAAGAATACAGACGGCAGTACTAACTCGCGGAAAGAATTATGAATTAAGTTCAACTTTCTATCTTCCATCTTACTTCGATGGCCGCGGGTTCGATTCACCGCACGATATTAACAATTGTATTCATGAATATGATTGTTTGTATCGGTCTGTATTTATAAAAAACTGTATCTATGTATTCATATCCATAACACAAGCTTTGCTTAGCTTCGGACTAGACTAGACAGATCGCGCTGTGTGAATTGTCCTGAGATATTATTATCTGATGCAACTGACGTATAATCATGAAAAGAAACAAATAGACAGATTTTCTCATTTATAATGTTAGTATGAATAACCATAATTAGGCCTTAGCGTAACATCAATCTGCAAATTTTGCCAAGCAGAAGAGGACACGCCACTACACACCTTATGTGGTCCCACTAATGCATAAACTAAATTTCTGCTTTGGAATACACTATATCCCGAAGAGATAAAAACCCTCGTTCCTAAGAATATCCTACAATTCTTGTCACGGGTTTAGGTAGCGAACTTTGTATAAGGGCGAGTAGAATAGATCTATATATGTCTCAGTGTTTATAGGTTTTAGCACCTGACAATAGCACCCCCAATAAAAAAAAACGAAAAGCGATTTTAAAACACTTACCTATCAGCAACCACGCCAAGTATGACTCCTACAACTGTGAAGACGGCCATAAACGCCGGTCCTGCCAGAATCTGGTAGTCGATCCCCAGGCCGTTGTATCCCCACTCGCAGTATCTCGTCCCATTTAGAGTCAGGGTCTCGCATCTAAACAAAAGAAATTACCATTATATTTAGAGTTGTTTCCATGATTCATTTTATAACTTACTAGTTGTATCATGCGGAGCTGCTCGCATGGATATTAGTCTATATTACTCACCAATAATCCTATATATTAGCTAAAGAATACTGATTTATTTATTTAGTATTTCGTCCTATTTGGTAGTATGTATTAACACATATCTTAATAATATTAAAAACGCGAAAGTTTCTGTGTATGGATGGATGTTTGTTACTCTTTCACGCAAAAACTACTGAACTGATTTTAACGAATCTTTATAGTAGTATAGCTTATACATCAGAATAATATATAGACTATAAATTTCATGCGGGTGAATCCGGGGGCTAGGAGCTAGTTTTAACATAAAAATGTAAATTTACAACATTTGTTTAAAAGAGCACGCAATGTCTCTTGCGCGTTTTTCATGTGATGATTACTTTTCGGTGAGTAGATGTATAATTATTCTAAAGTGTGTGTTAATTACACAATTTAGGTTTAATTGAATAAACATTTTTACCTATTCTATTCTAATATTTTCATTCTTTAAAGTAAAATTCAGTTTTTAGTTGAATTATTATTACTATCTATTACGTAACTCAAATTATATAAAATTAAGTAACTATGACGTTTCATTATCCCAGGGTGTTTTTCTTTAAGTTTTAAATCTCGAAGGTCATAATCTGCTTATTTCAAGCGTCATTATTTACGCAGTATTGTATCGACACAAGTAGCGTAGTCACGCGACGGTTTAGTTGTTAATTAATATATAATTAGTGCCTTTATCCGTTTGTCTGTCATAAAAGGTATACCGAGTCAGAAATAATATTTTTGAAACATAAAAAGTCTTTTATTTTAATAAAATGAATCGGTTAAAAAGTTATTTGCGTGGGTACTTCAGTCTCACCTACTTCAGTCGCCATGCATTTGCTTCGTAATATATGTTTAGATAGATAGATAGATAAGAATTTTTATTTGTATCTCAATACACACATATAGGTTTAATTAAAAATAGTATACAGTACAGATTATTTAAACCAATGCAATACAATATGGGTAAACCTGCATGTGTGTGCTATGGCAATATAAAATGGTACAGAACTCAGCGTGGAGAATCACTCAAGGAACAAAATACTGATTTTCATCGTTTACAGGTGAATGTACTTTTTTTTAAAACAAAAATAACTGCACGTTACAGTATGAAATAAATAATAAAGGAACTTCAAAATAGGAGTTCCAGTTAGAGTACCAGAACTTTATAAATACCGGTGTTGTTTCGGTTAAGAGTTAGCTGAAATAGTGAATATAGAATAGGTTCATAATTCTACAGTTGGTAAATAGTTTTTGTGGTATAAGATACAACAAGTGAGTACTAGGTATAACCCTGTACTTAATGCAGTGCTGAATCAGAATGTCTGTGATTGTGCCCATAAACGTATTATCTTTTTAGCACATAATTATTGTTGAATGCTCTAAGTTTTTGCAGTTCTTTTTTCACAATACACGTTTGGTATCTATTATTTATGTTGCTATTATATTCTAGAAAAATCGATTGTCATTTCATAAATGACTAGGGGCACGCCTCGGCTATGCCTAGGTGCTCACGATACTGGGAAATTTGTAACCGTATGTTCTTCTTATACTCTGGGATAATGTTCCTTTAAGACTGAAAATAAATTTCTTAAATCTTTCATAACAAAATTAGCTCTCTCTCTTTATAATACATATAAGTAGTATAGATTAGGTGTTTCACGTGATTTTTCATATATATAATTGGTTCATATTTAGAAATATTATAGTTAACTAAATTTTAGCAGCGACTTCTTCCGAATAGCAGGGATATATTTATTGATTGTAACAAAACTGGACTGTTTTCAATAGTCTATAGTTAAAATAACTTACTGTCGAAAACACACATTTGGTTTTCATTTGTTTTATTTTATACGACTTATTAACTGTTTGAATGCTATATTAGAGTACTAGTTTAGCACACCACTGGTTTCCTTCGAGAACGCTGACAATTTGTTGGGCCATTTATCCATCAAAATAGACAAACAAACGCACTGTTTTTGTAAACATTTACAAAATATTAGCTATTATATTAAACAGTTCGTTTATATATAAAGAGTTATGTATCTAAACTTTTTGAGTGTACTATCAGGTTGTAATTTAAAATCTTTTTTACCTATTAAATATCATAATGTAACTAGATAGACATTTAAATAAAAACTAGATCTACATGACTAGATCCTTCCGTCTATTTTTTTAATGCTAATAAAAAGGCTGATGTTTTGTAAGTTAACTACGTGACAAAGTTGTTAGGTATTTAATGAGTTAAATTTGAAAAATATACTACTTTGGTACTAAATACACCTGAAAACTTAAACTACATTATAAGACTGTAAAATAAATTTCATATTTTATTTTTCAGTAATAACGGAGTAAAGAAATCGTCGAGGTAGACTTGTTACTTTGTAAAAAGAGGTTTGCCTGGGTCTCTCAGTCTTCATCTATATTAACTAGCAAACAGCATGCATGTATTTCGGTTGAAGCATTACTTAGAATAGAAAATTTTTATATTCAAATAAACTTAAATTTAAACAAAGTTTTAACTATTCAAAAAATAGTATTTTATATATGATACATATATTTTTAACCTACCGCTTATTCAGAAAGGAATTCCAGATAGAGTGACATAATGATAAAAAACTGCAATTTTTGAGTTATCTTTTAATGTTAAGTGTGCGATATGAAACTTAAAATTCTTTTGGTTTTCCACTTTGCTAACTTAGGGAAAGTTGTTCAGTTGAGTTTCGACTCGAACCGTTTATAAAATGTTAGTTCTATATAATTAGATACTGTTACAACTTGATAATCATTGGGCATTGATGGTCATTAGGCTCCCTAAAATATGGTCGAGTGCAGTGATAGCTGGCTCATCCGTCATACTCGTGAATGAATGCTGCTTGTAGGGACTGGTCTGCTCTAATCACTACGACTGATTTAGTCTTATTTAGTTACTCAACCAGTTGGTTGTGTATTTAATATTTTCTCTATTTGAGTATTTAATTGAATTAGTGCTAGTTGGTAGTATAAGTGACAAAATCATTTAAAAGAAAAAAAAACCACGCAAGTTTTTGCTCAGTCTTCTTGTAATGAGACAGCTTTCCGAATGAGCAGTAGATTAAAAAAAAAATATGATGACTAATCAAAAGTGCTTCAATGTAAGTTTATTTGATTAAATAATTTTCTATTCTATTCTATTCTATAAAATTATAGATTGTAATGTATAAAGTAAAGGGCGGATAAGGGCCTTGGTACAATCCTTCGACCTTGTAACAAGATCAAGTCATCACGAATGACTAAGCTGAATCTAATTATTCTAATAAATAAGTAAAATTGCGTCTAATTTTACGCGTATCAGCTTACTTTAATTATTTACACTTGCTGCGTATTTTAAAATATCTTAGTCATTTGAAAACGTCATGGTATCGTGGATTACTATCCTAATTTGACATTGAAAGGTCGTAAGGTCGTTTGTGTATATATTTAAATTACTGATTGTCCCATGAATGAATACAGATGACAAGCAACATTTTTTTTTAAAGTAATAATATATTTTATTTTTAGTTTCAGTTTACATGTGACAGAAACTTTACAAAAATAGATCTTAAATTTATGACGTCAAAAAAAAATTGATGGGTTGCTTGTGGTTTATTAGTTTACTTTTTTTTTTCGGACAACTCCAATACTGTTGACCGAAATGGCCTTTACAGCTTCACCGGACGATAGGGGGCGAGTGCAGATGACACTCCAAACCATAGGAAGGACTTATGAAGCGGCTGAAGGCCAACTCCCGCTTGACGGATACGACTTTAACCTGAGATTACCGTTACGGGTTCGAACCTCGGCTCAGGCTGTCGTAATATCGATCCCCGTTTGAATTGGACGGGGGATCGATCGGAAGGAACTGCTTTAGGGCAGTCGGTTCTGATACCGTACATAGATTTTTCATTTTCATCAAGTAATAAAATTTAAATATGGCAGTTTTACATTTAGTTAAGTGTGTGTGAGTGTGTATTTATGTGAATCTGTCTTTGAATAGTTAAATTAATCTGAGATCGGTTAGTATGCTTACGGCTATTAATTCAAATATTTTTAAAGCATTACGTTACAAGAGGTCTTATTATTTACTCTACGTTTTATACGTTTATCTTTATCACGTTCTATGCAATAATATTCAGCGAAATATGGGTATAAATTCCGTTCAACACAACATTGCCTCTATCTAGCCCGTCTGGGATTGCAGTCGTGAAGGTACATAAGCGGTATTCTTAATTGTGACAGTTCTGTACAAGTATGATTTATAACCGTTTCATTGGGATCAATTAGTACGCTAAACTGCAATTTCAGATGTTGCCGCTAATGGATCTTGACTAATTAAGAGCGTACACAACCAATGTTTCAATCACCAGAGAGTCAGTTAGAAATATAAATTGACATACAAAGTTCTTTGGTGTCCATAAAATTCACGATCTTTGAGTTAAGCATTAGGCTACTTAGAAGTTGCTACCTCAGGAAGGGCATATGGAGCGGCTGATGGATATGACTTTAAACTGATGTCACAGATAGGGGTTTGAACCTCTGCTCAGTCAATCGCAATTTCGATCCCCGTTTGAATTGGACGGGGGACTTTGATGTTGTTAATGTATTGAGACGACAAGATAGTTATAATATTTCTATTATAATTGTACAAAACCACTATTATAATCCCCGTTTTCAACATTTTTTATTGCAGCTCCACTCCTATTGGTTTATTTGTCGTAGCGTGATGTTATATAGCCTATAACACGCACAATAACGTAGCTTTCAATTAGTAAAATATTTTCAAAATAGGTTCAGTTGATCCTGTAATTATATACAACCTCGCAAACTCTACCTCTTTATAATATTACTATAGGTAAAAAATATTTTAAACTGTAGTCATTATTGCAGCCTAAAAGCAAAAAGTGCCTAAAATCTAATATCTAAAAATCCCTAACAATCATCTTCACTCCCCCTTCGCTCAAGATTTTTACAATACTATATAGCGAATTAATATACAATATGTCTTTGAAAATGTATGGGCTCTGCGAAAAATAATTTACTTGACGTCTCAGTGGTCAAGTTATCAAAAATGCGTTAAGATGAGTTGTGTATTCATCTGCTAAGTTCGAATTGGCCGCTCCAAAACTTGCCGCCCGAAGCATGGCATGGCGAGGCAGGCCTCAGTGGTCAAGTCGTCAAAGGTTCGTTGTTGTGTTCATCTGCTAAGTTCGAATATACTACCCGGCATGGACTCCGTGTTGCCGGGGCTGCATTATTCTGAGGTATTTCATTTTTCAATGTTGAAGTTGTTACACATACTGATCGGCCCGAGATGGCCGTACAAAGTAGGTCGCATCTGTCGCATCTGCTGGCACTTTATTTTCCATATAAGTTCAAGTATGTATATATCATGTAGGTATGTATGTTTTTGTGTTAACACATATTTTATAACAAGTACATAGAAAATACTCGAGCCTTACTGTTTTTTTAATTATTGCAACCGGTTCTGACTTACCTTTGCTAGTTAACATTATAAAAAAGATTTGACACATAATTGGACTTTGCTATGCTAAATCCTGCCATACGCAACTACACGTGTTTTATATTTAATAGTTATTGATTTGTAATAATTTTTATTTTTAATAATAAATATATTACTAGATGCTGATGGAGATCAGCATCTAGTAATACATTCTTCCTAATTGAATTTATTGATTCTGTATTCTAATCTGTATTTTTGTAATCATACACAAGTTGATTTGTAAAGAATAAGAAATTAATTTCTTGTCAATTCTTAGCTCGAAAGCATACAGGCGCACCACCACTATAGGCTACGGTAACCATTTATGATGACAAACACAATACGGCCCTTATTATGTTTGCCATCATAGTTATATAATAAAAAACTCCGAACTGACGGTAGATTGGACATATTGTAATAAATAACCCAACATGAATAAAGATATTTTGATATGATTTGAGTTGTAATTATTGTGGTAGTAAAAATATATTGGTCGAATTTGAAACCGATTTATTTAGTTAAACACTAAAAACAACAAAATATAAATATTTCTTACTAACTCTCTGCTGAAGCAAACACCACTAATAGAACATTAGTCATGACACTTTGGCAACTGTCGATGTTGTGGTCAACGCAATGCTTACTATACCCACATTATAATGGTGTAATTTGAAACCTAATTTTTAGTTAAACGATAAAAACTACAAAGTATAAATATTTTTATTAACTCTCTGCTGAAGCAAACACCACTAATAGAACATTAGTCAGACACATTGGCAACTGTCGATGTTGTGGTCAACGCAATACTTACTATACCCACATTATAATGGTGTAATTTGAATCCTATTTTTTCGTTAAACGATAAAAACTACAAAGTATAAATATTTTTATTAACTCTCTGCTGAAGCAAACACCACTAATAGAACATTAGTCATGACACTTTGGCAACTGTCGATGTTGTGGTCAACGCAATGCTTACTATACCCACATTATAATGGTGTAATTTGAATCCTATTTTTTAGTTAAACGATAAAAACTACAAAGTATAAATATTTTTATTAACTCTCTGCTGAAGCAAACACCACTAATAGAACATTAGTCAGACACATTGGCAACTGTCGATGTTGTGGTCAACGCAATACTTACTATACCCACATTTCGCTTATTATGATTTTATATATTCGAATCTAAAGTGACAGGGGAAGATTCTAGCGCTGTCTCCCGAATTATTTATAGGTTTGATATTGACGGTTCCTTCACCGGAGATTCAGTTAGAAATATAAATTGACACATAAAGTTACTTTGGTTCGTGTAAGATTGGAACTCACTACTTATGACTGTAATTAAACGATATAATCCTGACATTTTAAAGTATTTATGGTATAGGTAAGATTTGATTTCCTGACCTATAAGTGTAATTAAGTGTAGTAATCCACTAGGCTACTATGCGAGAGTCTTTATAATATATTTATGTATAAAAACTAGCTGTACTCGCGACTTCGTCCGCGTGGAATTTAACAAGAAAGTTAATTAGAGATTTTTTTATAAAATAAAAGTAGCCGAAGTTACTCCTTATTACATCAGCGACTAGCTCTGAAATGGGTGGACCGATTTTGACGGGACTTTTATTGTCAGAATAAAAGTCCCGTCAAAATCGGTCCAGCCACAATAAAAGTCCCGTCAAAATCGGTCTAGCCATTTCAGAGATTAGCCGGAACAAACGGACAAACAGACAGACAGTCAAAAATTGTAAAAATGTTATTTTAGTGTATGTACCGATTTATATTCATATGCGTGTGGTAAAAAACGGTTATTTCAATATTACAAACAGACACTCCAATTTGAATTATAGGTATAGATTACGTGTCACTTTGTTTGTCTGCGATGGACTCTTAAACTACTGAACAGATTACAAATTTGGTTTGCACATTGTATACAATTTGATCCAACTTGAAAGATAGGATAGCTTAATCTCAATTTATAGTCGCAATATTATTTTATTCAAGAACCTCAGCCAGGTCTGCCAGTTAGTATATGAAATATCTCACGTTTCTGAGGAGTTGACCTTCTCGCAGACGAGTGGTAGATCGCTCAGCATGAGGTCGGTTGCGTTCAGCATGCACGACTTGTCGCCGTAGTGGAGATCGTCAGCTGTCACTTTGGAAGTGGTACCTGGTGACAAGATGTTGAGGTTTAAGACAACCTAAAGTCAAAAGTATATATATATCTTATTTTATATCCTATCAGCTGTATCTGCGGTTTCACCCGCAGATACAGCTGGTAGGATATAAAATAAGTTTCAATATAAAATATAGCCTATATATTATTCTAATGCATAAGCTATATTACTGTAGAGTTTCATCAAAATAGTTTTTATACTCTTTTAAATTTTGACGCGGTCATTATTTATACGTATAATTAGTAAAAATCACGGGATCTTACCACGTTTTATATTTATTTGCTGAGTTCCCGATATTTCGGCAGTGTTTCAACTACCGGTATCACGGGTAAACGGGATCAGTTTACCCGTGATGGTCATCATGGTAAACGGGATCAGTTTACCCGTGATGGTCGTCATGGTAAACGGGATCAGTTTACCCGTGATGGTCATCATGGTAAACATGGTGATGGTCATCATGGTAAACGGGATCAGTTTACCCGTGATGGTCGTCATGGTAAACGGGATCAGTTTACCCGTGATGGTCATCATGGTGGTTGAAACACTGCCGAAATATCGGGAACTCAGCAAATAAATATAAAACGTGGTAAGATCCCGTGATTTTTACTAATTATACGTATAAAATAGTTTTTGCGTGAATGAGTAACGAAGATCCATACTCAAAAACTTTTGCGTTTATAATATTATACAAAGATTAAGATTAACATAATCCTGTAAACAATCGTGAAAAAAGTTTAAAATAAAATATTTATGTTTAAAAATAATAGACTTCGGTTAATTTAACGGCCTCGGTGGTCTTGCGGTTCAGTACACCGCTTTATCCGATTGTCGCGGGTTCGTTCCTCGCATGGTGCAAACATTTGTATTCATGAATATGTTTGTTTGTATCGGTGTGGGTATTTTCTATGTATATTATGTATGTATTTAAAAAAAAATATCAGTTGTCTATTACCCATAACACAAGCTCTGCTTATCGTTACACTAGAGGACCTAGTGTGGATTGTTCAGGGGAAAAAAAGGTTTTTTTTAATAGATAGAGAGACTCTAGAGGAAGGCTTATATGTATAATACATGTACCCGTGCGACGCCGGAGCGAGTAACTAGTTTAGACTATAAATCATGTCTAAATATCTATTATACGCATGTAATAGATATTTAGACTGTTTGTTATACTTGACAATGTTAGCTATTGCATGTTAGTGATAACTAAATGTGAGAGACAATTTTAAAGGACATTTATAGACATTTATTCTAAATTTTTAAGACAATTATAAATAAATAATAGTATTGGGAGGCAGGGGATTGTGAGTAATGTGTACTTATGACCCCATCATTAGCAATGTGCCATCTCAGATCGACTACCACGCGGTTCCCCTGAAACTATTGTGATAAATTCCTGGTGATTTTGAAAAGTCTTTTCTATTTTTATGTAATTAAAAGTGCAAACAATTCAAACAATTCCTGGTGAATTTGTCACGATGGGCTAACTGACCTGACCTCATGTTCATCTTATCATCCTCCACTGGTGCCCCGCCAGCGTAAACCGTTAGCGCAGGCGGGTACACCATTCCATTATGATCCATAAAAAATGATACTATTCTGGGGTTTTTCTTGCTACCCTTTGGGGTAGTAAGGTGGTTAACCACAGGGCCAACAGCTCACCATTACATATTCACACGTAGTTGTTTTATATTCAGAGAAACCAGGTGATGTGCTAAAAATACTATATCGATCACGTCAAGTTAAACCGGCTTGACATTTAGAAGTGGGACACACACGTGCTCCACTATATATATGGATATATGTTTATACGAGAATATATTATATACTAGCCATTTTCCGCGACTTCTTATAGGTATGGCACCAAAATTGCGTTGCATAAGCTGCTTATGTTTAAGTTTAGGAGGATGAATTTTTTAGGTAAGGAAAATGATATTATTGAAAGAAATCATCTGCATTGAGTTGATCAGATTAAAGAAGCCTATATTCGTTATTGAGATGCTATTTACCTGCATTTAAATTTTATTGAGATTCAATTGATTAGTCGTGAAAAGGTAACAAACAGACAGACATACATGTAAATAGGCAAAAAGATACATTTTCAGACTTATAATATTAGTAGGTATTAGCGACCCTTCAACTTAACTTACTTAACTCGGCTTCACGCGGGTACTAGGAATATATAAAGAAAGATGACCATGGTTTTGTAAAAATTTAACCATATTTTTTATTTTAATCCATATTAATATTATGAATTTTAAAACGTGATTGTCTGTCTGTTATCTTTTACTTGTTATCCTTTACGACTTAATGACTTAATGAAAGTTGATGTGAAGATAGATTTCATTACCAGGACAAACATATGATGGTTTATCTTTTATTTTAAAAATAGAAAAGATAGACCACCCGTTATCTTAAAAAAACGATGTCGTGAGTAACAATTAGATTATTTTTTAAAACAGTAACTAAAAAAAAATAATAACACACTTTACTGCGCACTGGAAAATAAATACAAAAGAAAATTTTACATAAAGGTTATATGATATGTATATGGTATATTCGTTTTATATATTTTATTTCATATTTATTTATAGATTAATATATTAATTAATATATTATATGTATTTGTGTATGTATATTGTTAGATATATCAACTCTATATACTAGTAAAAGTATGTATTATAATAAAATAACAACTATATAACATTTATTTAACTATGTCTCTAACACAATTCACTTTAGCAATTAAAATACAACCAGCACATCCTGTGCTCAAAGACCGAATGCCGCGGCCTTTTTTTTTTTTTTTTTCGGACTACTCTAATGCTGTTGGCCGTAGCTGGCCTTTACAGCTTCACCGGACGTTATGGGGCGAGTGCAGATGGCACTCCAAACCCGCGGAAGGACTTAAGGCCAACTCCTGCCCGACGGATACGACTTTATGCAGACTAGGGGTTCGAACCTCGGCTCAAATTTCGATCCCCGTTTGAATTGGACAAGGGATCGATCGGAGGCGATGCCGCGGCCTATATGAAGATATGAGTTATAACGTTTAACGATACCGAGTAATAATGAAACTACCTTCTTTTAATATTAAATATCAGATTTTTCGACAATATCGATGTGAACCCTAACAATATGCACATGTGTTTACATATATTTATTTCTAGTATATATATACTTTTTATGACATACTGTTTTTCTTATTGATTACATTTGCACCGCCTACAGTTTCTCTGCACAACCTGTGGTTGACTGGTAGAAAATGCCGTAATGCGTTAAGTTCGCCATATGTACTTTTACCTTAGTATTTAAATAAATTACATAAATAAATAAAAAATAAAGGTGCTAAACAAAAGGCGGCCCTATTATGGAGTATATAAATGTCTCTTAGCTCAAACCTAAATATAATTATGTTATGATATGAATATACATACATATTTATTATATATGAACTATAAAAAAAGATTATTAATCATAAAAAAAACTTAAATACCTTCTAACTCATTACTACAAAAAGTCTTGTTACTATGTCTAGTTTATGGGCAGCCTATATCTATTACCGTTAAAAAACAAAGGTAAACCAGTAAGCAAATATTATTAGCACTTAATCAATTTAACTCAATCAAGTATGACTCGTTTTGCTTTTTGCATTCGAATCGCAACCTTGACATTGCTCGTGGTTTAAACTTACGTAATTACTGCAAACAGAAAAAAAACGAGCAATGATTTTTTGTTGTCATTTTTCGTTTTTTTATTAACAGTCAGTGGGTAGTATTGTTTTTAGGTAACTGGAATAGTAACTAATCTGACGGTCTATCGAAAGCACTATGAACATCACTTTATGACGTTGCCATTTCTTTTGATACTACGATGGCGGCAAACAAGCATTCGCCCCATCTGGTGGTAAATATTTTTTTACTAGGATGGTGCCAACATACGGCCTATCTGATGGTAAACGGTTACCGTAGCCTATGGACGTCAGACACCACAGGTGCGTGCGCGTTGCCAACCCTTGAGAAATTATTCACATTTCGAAGGACTAAGATATCTTGTCTCCGTGTTTTGTACTTTCTCTACCATATCTCCCCATTTGGAAGTACAGTGCATGGAATCGAACCCGTGACCATCCCAATAAAGAAATGGGCTCAACCGTTAGACCACTGAGACCGTCAAACTATTAGCGAAGGTGGGTTAATTCCATCATTATTGATTAATATACATAGACTTTAGTATTACATCATAATACTTAAATATATAAATCATCTTTAATATTAAACGTGTTATGAATATATTGGTTGGATGTATGAATTGTACCTAATTATAATTCATACATATAAGCGTTAGTTATAATTAATGGAAAACTAATATTGTGTGTACATGGAGTTCGACAAATATTATACATACAATTTGAGGAAGCTATCTAATTTTTATTAATATCATGTTATTGAATAAACAACTATATATTTTATTAATATTTAATAATACCCCTGGCCAATTTCGATGATTTACGCAACGCCATCTAGTTCCAAAGCAAGCACAGAGCTCGTGTTATGGATACTAGACAACTAACACAAATACTTAGATATTTTTTTCTTTTGTAAATAGGTATATTTACAATATACATAGAAAACACTCAGACCGATACAGATAATCATACTCATGACTACAAATGTTTGTACCCTGCTAGGAATTGACTCCACGACCATCTGAAGTAAAGCGGTGTGATAAATCACACAACTGTTTACAAAATAGCATGTCAGTAGTATTACAATTGTAATATATATGTAATTAATTATTTTAAATGATAATTGTGACATAATTATCTGTTAACATATAAATGGTATATAGGTACATTGCATATACACAAAATAAATAAAAAAACACTATTAATGTTGTGTCTTAATTCTACATTGAAATTCAGATATTCAGTCACATTGTAAAAAAGATGTTGCTGGAAATATGATTTTTTTTGTTGTTTTACTAGGTAACTTGCTGACATTTTTTTTATACCACGTAGGTGGCAAACAAGCATACGGCCTATCTGATGGTAAACGGATACCGTAGCCTATGGACGCCTGAAACACCAGGGGTGTCACATGCGCGATGCCGACCCTTAAGCTATTTTAAGTAAATACCTTGTTTGAATGAATACTACAGTTTAGTACATGTAGTAATTAAGACACAGATACTTCATTTAGTATCGACCTCAACTACACCATGCTAATTAGTCGGAAGTTATTAACACTACACCTGAAATCAATGTTAATTACACCTAAAGTTCTGAATTTCCTTTATCAGTTAAAAAAATATTTTTTCTAAGTATTTAAATGATACTAATATTGGAATAATCATGTACATTTTATAAGATCAGGAAAATTACCTGCTCACATGAATCTCTATTTGCCATATGGTTGATTGGGAGAAAATGCCTTAAGGTGTTAAGTCATTTATTTATATGTATGTTGATTTATGTATTAAAGTTTTAATAAATAATTAAAATTCGTTCGGTTTTCACAAAGATATCCTGTCGACCACGCTATTATTATACTCAAATAAAGTAGCAAATTTTTTTGGTTATTTTTTTTCTCGTTAGGCTAAAGGACTCATACATACATTGTCTTCGGTACAGGCTGATTAAAATGGCGGCAAAAGCTGGCCTGACATGATCTTGACACATAAACAAACATCAGGTATTCCAAATTTAAAGTTTTCCTTAATTTTTCTGTATTTGAAATTTGAAACATGCAGCCAGTAACATTTTTAGCAATAAAATATGGTCTTATTTTTACTGAGTTATTAATAAACTAGAAAATAACTTCTACAAATTTCGATATTTCGAATGTTTTTATTACATTTCCGAAACGAAATGTTTATTGTAGTCCGATATTAAGTAAATGATGAACTGGCTATGGCGGTGGCAGAATTATATAGTATATATACTTATTCTATGTGATATTATCATCGAATTAATTTCATTATATACTCACCAATTAAGTAGTGCCCCAGCTCTCCAAGAATGTAGCCGATAGACACCAAACCCAGAACGTACCACTTGTAAAAGCCTTGCAGCTTCGTCCATATGCCTCCGTGAAACATTGTTATTCAATTCTGGAACAAATGACGTATTCTTAATAATAGGAAATGACAATTTTGTGTTTTCTTAACTAGACGTTCTGAATTTAGATGACATAGCACATTGTTTTTTTTATTCATGATAATGGAATGGTGCATACGCCTGCGCTAACGGTTTACGCTCGTGGGGCCTCAGTGAAGGATGATATGATATAAATACTTAGATACATGTTAAATATGTATCTATATATTTATATCAGTTGTAGTACCCATAACTCAAGGTCTATTTAGCTTGGGACTAGATGGCGCTGTGTAAATTGTACTGGGTTATTATTATTATTATTAATGACATGATGTTTACACTACTGTTCATGTAGGCGATGGTTATCACTTACTTTCAGATGTACCAACAGTTTGTTTACCATTCCATTAAGACTTTAATAGCATTGCCAGTTTTACCCAATTATTTTCATATCTACGTTATCTTTCCTCTACAGCGCTTTGACTTGAAATTTTACCACAATTTTTTGCGCACTTACCATTAGATGGCGCATCGTTTGGACTAGCTTGTTTACCATTTCAGTTATATAAAAAACATAATATCTTACAAATCATAACATTGCTAACGCCAAATTACAGCTCCTCTCGACCGTAACCACCTTTGACGGCTCTCATCCCCAATTTGCGTCCAAAACCGCCAATTTTGCCGTCACTCAGTTCTATTTTAGGCAAAATAGAAACGTAACAATGACCTAAATATCAACAATGACGTAATTAACTGCAGTGTTCTAACCAGGGCTGCCAACCGTAAGAATATTCTAATATTTTGACCTAAGGTATTTTAAGAAATATTTTTAAAATATACAAAACCTTGTGCTGTAGCATAGTAATTGAGAAGTGTGTAATTAGGTTGCTGTAAAGATCAAAATCTTGAGATCGTAAATATGGCCACATTATTCCAGATATTGCACGTAGAAAAATAAAGATTATCATTCCTGATAATCTTTATTTTTCTACGTGCAATATCTGGAATAGTGTGTGTATGTTCTATGGCATCCGAAATAAAAATAAATTGTTATGAATTTTTATCCACTTTTTAATTAATATTGTTCAATTCACGTTAAATGTCGAATATAATCCATATTAATAAGGAGATGGATTTTTAAACGATCGGACAATAAAAAAAGTCTATACTTTCCTATTTATTATTATATTTACATATTAATATTGTATAATATGAGTATCGCAGTCAATATACGAGTTTTTTGAGCTTCGTAAGAAGTAACATAAATATTTTAGGGCTGGCAACCCTGGCTGTGATGTTGCGTGCTACCCGCGCTATTGTATTGTCACAGATGATTTTATGATGTACCTATTTTAATTTATACCGCAATGTTCATTTCTATAGTTACTGTTAACCTGGTCTATTTATATCTACTCATTAGACCTGCGTATTATATTTAGTACAAAGTAATCTACGTAACTTACTCAAAGCACCTTTAAATGGAATCCTCTCTCCTTAATAATTCCGTGTTCAGGCCATGAAAAAACCAACCTCAATCTCATTATTAAGGAACTACTACTACCATACTAGAAGTGCCAATTTTCAAATAAAAAAAAGAATTATCGAAATCGTACTCTTGAGAAAATTTTGATGGGACCATATCAGAAGTATATGGCCTATCAAATAGAAAAAGGAATTATCTAAATTGATTTATGTAGAACCAAATTCAGTGGTAACATAAGTACAATCGCATTCAGAAACTCCTTTTTTTGAAGCCAATTGTAAAGTATCTTTTCTTACTTCAGTTTTACATATTAGCATACTGTTAATTATTTAATACTTACTGATTTCTATTAAGACTTTAATAGCATAGCCAGTTTTGACCCAATTACATTAAATTCAATGTACCTTTCCTCTAAAAGGCCTTGACTTGAAGTTTTACCGCAATATGTTAGGTTATCACCTATCACCAGATGGACCATCAGCTTGTTTACCATTCCATTAAGACTTTGATAGCATTGCCAGTTTTGACCCAATTACATACATTAAATTCTACGTTACCTTTCCTCTAAAGGGCCTTGATATGAAATTTTACCGCAATATGTTAGGTTATCACCTATCACCAGATGGACCATCAGCTTGTTTACCATTCCATTAAGACTTTGATAGCATTGCCAGTTTTGACCCAATTACATTAAATTCTACGTTACCTTTCCTCTAAAGGGCCTTGACTTGAAATTTTACCGCAATATGTGAGGTTATCACCTACCACCAGATGGACCATCAGCTTGTTTACCATTCCATTAAGACTTTGATAGCATTTCCAGTTTTGACCCAATTACATTCAATTTTACGTTACCGTTCCTCTAAAGCACCTTGACTTGAAGTTTTATTAGAATATTTGCGATTTCATCAATAATTATGATGTGCAGCTTCATTATTCAGTTATCTATGATCTTGTTTGGCATTGGCAGTTGCCAATAATGGCTTATTATAATTACTTATATAGATAATTATAATTCTACTAATATTATAAAGCGGAACAGGTTGTTTGATTGAATCACAGGAATTACTTGTTCGAAGTGAAAAATTATTTTATTGTTGCATAACCAACCTGATCTTTAATTTTTTACTCAAAACGAGACGGTTTATTTGCCTCAATTAACTGATACTCAATGTCAAAGTTACGGATTGAAAAGTATACCTGATAAATTTAAATGTAACTAAAGTTTCATTAGTCGTTTAGTTACATACATATTGAAACAGATTTGCTTTAATAAAGCTAGTGAAGATTTTAAGTAAGAAAGAAATTCTTGCCATGTTTTTTTATGTTATATTTTACCTTAAATATCAACATTACAACTGGTCGGCTAAACTACTCAAAAAAGTTTTGCGTTACAGATTTCATTTTGGGGACACCGGAACTCGTAATTATAAAAAGGGACAGTCCCGTTGAAAATAGGACGTTTGGTCAAGTTACACATAACCCATTTATATAACAAGGCTATAGGCCACTACGCTATGACCAATAGGAGCGGAGAATAATAGAAAAATTACCAAAAAATGGGAAAAATATATTCCTTTTGAAAGCTTCTTGTTTTTTACATGACACAGATGAAATTGCGCAGGTCAGCTACATATATGTACATATTTCTATGCAAATTTGTTAGTGGTCAATGCCCTCTTGTGAGATAAGATCTTGATAAGCTAGTTCTTTGTGGGTGTGATATAAGTTGGTTGTAGGTAAACAAGGTTATAATTAAATACAATATTTACATACTAATTCTAATATAATGCAGTCAATTACATTATAAAATCTACATATTTAATGGAATCGGTGGTCTAGTGATTTAGCACATCGCCCTACTTCCGATGGTCACGGATTCGATTCCTTGCACAGTACTAACATTTATATTCATGACTATGATTTTTGTGTCGGTCTGGGTGTTTACTATGTATATTATGTATGCATTTAGTAACGAAATGTTTTTAAGTATTTCTAACAGTTGCTTAGTACCCATAACACAAGCACTTAGCTTGGGACTAGATGTCGCTGTGTAAATTGTTGTTGTTATATATAAACCAGCTTCTGCCTTAACTTTCATAGCTAGATCAATTTAATCGAAATAAAAAGTAGCATTATCTTCTCCCATCAAAAAACAAGCAAAACATACTTTTGTCTTCACATTTTTTATTTCTTATAAAATATTGATGGTTTATTACGCAGAACATAGATACTATCCACATCGGTGCAACAATACATAATCTAAAGTATGCTTCATTTCTTAGTTTAGGACCTACTTTGAGTATATTACTAATTTAGGTACACATCATAATAATTTTGATACAAATTATAATATACACGATATTGAAGATCTTGGGTAGCCTATTGTCATGATCCTTATCCCAAATGGGGTGGACAGAGAGATTGTCAACTATCGACGTCATTGTGAACACTTTGACGTGCTCACATTGGAATCCAACCCAGCAAGGGCGAATCTCTATAGAGTCATCCTTGCCGAGTTGGATTCCAATCCGGGATACGTCTATACGCCTCCTGGATTTATTAAAAAAACCTCATTTTAATAGTGTACTAAGTAACAAACTTATGATTCGTAGTGACCGAAGCAGAACACAAGTAAATTTCAAGTTACATCCATTCACAAGTATGATGGATGAGCCAAGTATAATTACATTCTATCATTAGCGAGTCAAATAACTCGACCCACCTTAAATTTTGTAAGTAGCTTTGATGTGGTCTAGTGTTTTGAGTAGTCATGCTCACTAAAATGTCCAGACTTGTGGCGGCGTGTTGGGCCGGGTCATTGGGCTCCCTAAAATATGGTCGACAGCAGTGATGGCTGGCTCATCCGTCATACTCGTGAACGGGTGCTGCTTGTAGGGACTGGTCTGCTCTAATCACTATGACTGATTTCCTCTTATTAATTGTTTAACCAGTTGCTTATACATTCAATAATTTTTCTATTTGAGTATTTAATTGAATCAGTGCTAATTGGTGGTTTGTATTCACACACATAAACTTCAAAATGTAAATTAATAATAAAATTATTTAAAAGAGCAATACGTAAGTTTCTTGCTCGTTTTTCTTGTGATGAGACAGCTTTCCGAATGAGCAGTAGATTAAAAAAAATTTATGACTATTCAAAAGTGCTTCAATGTAAGTTTATTTGAATGAATAATTTTCTATTCTTTAATTCATTATATCGCATTCCTGTTTACTTTTCCGATGTCGGTTATATTGGTAGTACCGGGAAATAGTTACGACAACGGAACAAGGGGAGGAAATGAACTTAATTCATACGCGTATTCAATATGTCGTTAGTGCACTTCTTCCTCAATTATAGAGTCTCATTTCATTACTTGTTTATCATACGACACAAGGGTGTTTCAACATATTATTATATGAACTACTAGGTAATGACATCCGACTTCGTCTGCTACGACGTCAGATTTTCTGCAAGTTTTGATTCTTTTAAAACATTTTATCCCTTTATTCAACCCTTGTAGGGGT